TTTCTACCTTTAATTTTTCTTTTCTTTGATAATTCTTTACTTTTCTTATAATCATCACTCGAATTACTAGCATCACTATTAATTTCATCACCTGAATAATCATTATCTATTATAGGAGTATCCGATATATCCATAGTTAAGAAACTACTTTGTATTTCAAGCATTTTATTTAATTTATTTTTATTTTGCTTTTCATTACTAACAACAATATCTATTATTTTCTTTCAATAGGAAAATCAAAGTTCTTAGTTTCCCATAACTTATGATGTGGCATAGTTGGTACATTAAATAACTCACAAAATTTCTGTATATTTTTTAATAAACAAGCAGCCTTAAATTGTAAATTATAAAACTTTACATTATCCATTTTCACAACTGATTTGTTATTATTAAATCTATGAAATTTATTACCTATTGCTGAAAATTGGTTTTCAATTTTACTTCTGAAACTTCCAAATGTTTTGTTAAAATGGTCTTCTGTAATTGATAAGCTTTCACTAGGATTTTTTCTAATAGGATACACAAAATTATCATCAGTAAAATTATAACCTTTAGTTACTGATAAATCTACAAACTGTTTTAAAAATAAAGTTTAACCACCATCAACTGCAACAGTATCTTTATTATTAAGTTTCCTATATAATAACATATTCAAGAACATACTACCATCAGAGCTATCTGAACAATAATCACTTTTAGAAGTGTAAATAATCATATCATTCATATCACTAACAAATTGAGTTCTTAATCCATTTTTTTTTAAATTTATAACTATATAATCTGCTACGTTTAATTTCTGTGTTGGTATAATTTATTCTAGAATCATGACCGTCGATAATCAATGTTACATGTTTAAACAATTCTGGATTATATTTATGGGCGGATAAAATTCTTAATTTTATATTTGAAAACATGTTATCCAATGCATCATTTTATTCTTTTATAATTTTCTTCATCTATCCAAAATTTTTTATAAAAGTTAAAAAAGGAACTTTGAGGAATAAATTTATCAATATCATCTCTTCCTGAAGTACTAGATACTAAATGGTATAGTAAAAATAAACCTTTTTCTACTTCAAAATAAGGAGCAGGATATTCTTTATTAGTATATAATACAACCAAAAAGAAAAAGACTGCAATATATCCTAATTTTTCTACTAACTTTTTTTTAATAATATCAATGTACTTGATATGTTTTATTTCTGTTCTATGTTTATACTTATTATTAATGATAGGCTAATTATAATTTAAAAAAGCTCAATGCATTACAAGTATAGAATTTACTTCATCGGTAATCAATTTATTAATATCCATTGTTATTATTTTTATATTAGAAAAAATTCAATTTTTTTTATGATAAAATAAAATAGTTTTAATTTTAGAAAATAATCTTACAAACTATAAAATCTTTATTACCTATAAAATCCTTACAATCCATAAAAATAAAAAAAACTAAAACTATTGGTATATCGCCTATAGCGCATTCTTATGGAAAAGAGGCATAGACGACTGCGATACTGGTGCCGATAGGAAGTGCTCGCAAAAAGCATCTACACTCTTCATGCGGCTATACAATTCCACGCAGTTGACAAGCAAGGCATTCGTATCCGTAACTAAAATTGAACCAGCAAAGAGCTGGGCCAATGCATACCACATCTCTAGGAAGAAAATCTAGTAAGAGATTCTGAATTATTTGATGAAATAGAAGATAAAAATACATCACAAGAAAAAGAAGTACTTGAATTCATTATTTATAATGTAGATGATTATAATGACTTTACTAATTACAAACTTTATAATAGATTAAAGAGAAGTAAAGATTTAATAATAAGAATTAAAACATCTTTCTATTCATATATCAGTAATATACAATATGAAGCATTTAAGGATTTTTTGTATAAAATATTAAATATTGACCCATTTAATATTATGCTACAGATATTATCTACATAGAAAATACCTAAAAAATATAATTTTATACATTAGCTTTATTGCACCTTATATGTATCGTAAACTATAATTTAACCCTAATAAGCTTTATAGCTTTGCACAAGCACAATACAAGTACAGAAGCAAAACAATATATCACTAAAATAAAGCTTTCGACAGCAGTTTCAGAAATGGGTATTGAAATGGGTGTTGTATTTCATAGGTTTCAATGAAAAGGGTTATTTATTTACTGAATTTGGCCTGTTCTTTTATTCTCTCCTTCTTCTTTTAGCTTGAATCTTATTATTAAGAAGCATCAATATCTTTTGAATAATAACTCATCAAGAGATGTAACTGAAACGGGTTACTTGGCAAAGTTGTAGGTTCCCTTATTTGACAAACTATTTACTGCTGGAAATAATTTGGTACGAATCAAAACGAGAACTACAGTGGCCGCTCGTTATAGTGATATGCCCAGTGAGACCCAAACCCCATCACTATATCGAATTATTACTTTATCGAATTGCAGTTCCGTCAAAGATATCTGGTACATAGATGACCCGGGGTATTTGGCGAGCTCTACAGAAGAAGCTCTAGAATCACATCCTGTCAAAATTTATAGTATGCAACTCCTTAAAAATTTTAGTGTAGGAGAATAAGCTGAAAGGCTTCTATCTAATGAGCTTGGTGCTGGCTACTAGGATTAGGGGTCGCAATTGGACGGGTTGGGTCAGGTCAAGAAAACACTGACCCAACCCGACCTGTTCAACCCGATGGGTCAAAACTCGGGTTGACGGGTCAAGACTGATTTCAATGTAGTGATGAAGGAAGTGCCAATCAACCTAAACTTGAGCGCTGGAAGTGCAAAACTCCATATATATATAGCTCTCCAAGATGATGGCACGCAAATTCCTAGCAGTGCTAGCAACATCTACGTTTTGAGTGATTATTCTTAAAGGTAAAGGGTTTTGTGCCATCATAAAAGAATCGCTTGGGCTCACATGATTTAAAGAAAGCATAATATTCAAAGTGTGGTTGAAAAACGACTTCCCTATATGCCCCTAATCCTTTTCACTTTTCTTTTCACTTCTTTCTTCTTCCTTCGATTTTCTTTTCTCAATTCCTTTTCTGTCTTTTGTCAAATCGCGTCTCTTACTGCCACCCTCTATAGTATATTCTCATTGCACTATTGCTACTTCTTTACTCCTATCAAAAATATTGCTTATAGCTTACTTATCCCATACTGTTGATTATAAAATATAATCCCACAATAAAAAGAATTAAGTACGTTTGATGCTATAGTTCTATAGCAGACATATTGACAACTAATGATGCTTCCCAGCAAGAAGATTGACTACTTAAATACAAGTACCTCATACATATTATATGTATACACGGGTCACAACGGGTCAACGGGTCGGGTCAAGGGTTGGACGGGTCGACCCGCGGGTCAGAAAAGCATCAACCCGACCCGTTGACCCGTCCTCAACCCGCGGGTCAGATTGCGACCCCTAAGTACGATGAATTTGGTTGGTCGAAGCTTGGTAATGACATATGGATCAACAATATACAAGTACCATTTCACGAGAAGATCCATACTCAACATGAGTGAAAATACCCTCCCCATTTGCCATACATCTCAAAATTTATATATAGTGCCTCTTTCTTGTCCTATTTCCTTTTGATATATAGTTATCCTTTCCACATATACACATAGGCCTTTACATAATTAATTAGCTCGTGATCTTACTATGATTGTCGAAAGTATCGTTATTACTACTATCTTGTTATGAGTGTCGATGGCCACCATTATTAAAGTATTTGCCACACGTACCAGTTGAAGTACAGTTTCAAAGACCATCATCATAATTCATAAGCGACATGGCGGACAGAGGATTGCAAGCAAGAAATAAAAAATAATAATCTATAGTTAAAAGTATATACCAGATTAATTATAATAAAAGAAAAGTATACAAAAAATAAAGTAATATAGACAAATTTGATTTATTACTGACCATCAATGATTATGGAATGATGACCGTTAAGGTGCTTCATAAGTTGCTTTGTTACAGATAAGGAATGGAAAGGGATATGCACTTTCCTTGAAGCGGAAAATCAATCGGCCGCAGGTCACTGTCTGCATTATCCTCGAAATTGATTTGACACACCGAGTGCGATGCTGGCAGTACGCCCGCTTACAGGTTTCACTTGACTTTTCTTCCCCTAACTTTTTCTTTTCACTTTCTTGCATTTAGCCTAGTGAGGCTGAAGCAAGATCAGTTGCCATGCGAGTAACAACAGCAGAAACACCAGCAGTAACAACACCTCCACTACCACCAACACCGGCTGATTCTGGGGACAGTGTAAACAGCATAGTTCAACTCCACGTCCTTGAAGATGCCTTTATGCTTGTTAATCAGCAGGGGCAATCGCTTCGCATGACCTATGATGGAGGGATCGCGTTAGGAGGTTTTTATTGCAATACACAAAGGAGAGAAATTGGACAATATACAACGTGGTTCTCAAATTATATTCTGCTTCCACCTCATTCCCCTTTGCTCCTGCCTACACCTTATTAGAAAGCGACTGGGAACCACCCAAAGATAATAATTTTCGATCGTACCAGATATACGGCATCCTAGGCATCCTTGAAGGCATTCGAGGTAACACAGCCTGCAACAAAAAACTTAAAAAAAAAGGAGTCGGAGGAGGAGACGCGGTAGTACGTTGTGGCTAATAACCATGAAAAGAAAAGTTTCTTGTGGTCATCACGCGAGCGCAACTCCTTGGTCGGATCTTTGGACATCCAGTATACGTTATCGAACAAGTTGTTTGCTTAAACTTTGACGCTCGAAAAGCTCGTCAGAAACTCGATGCAAAGGTTCGCAGGGATGCGTGTGAAGAAAGGACGGAAACGAATTGGGGAAACTGATGACTTTCACTATGTACTTTCTAGTCAAAATTGCTCAATAGTGGAGTGGCAGATGACAATGATGATTCTTCGTCCGACAGTGATGATACTGACAATGAAGATGACGACGACGACAGCGCTACTCTTGCGAAAAAAAGCAGTAACGTCACACCAACTGTGTCGGCATCTACACCTACGTCCAGAAGCAGCCCGTCATTTTTTTTCCCAAGCAGCTCGCCTGAATCGAAGGATACAAAACGTCCCGTATCGACATCTCCATCACCCACAAAGCAGCGACCGGGTCCGCTGATGTCTCGTTTTCGGCTATCGCTAGGCGCTACAAAGAAGAAACCGACCAATGATGCTAAAGAGAGCGAGAGTATCGCGGTGGTGACGAGATCGAAATCGTTGAAAACATCATCATCGTCTCCAACTGATGTCAATACCTCGACGCAAGATCTCTTTGCTGCACTCACCCAGAGCGAAAACATAGCCCTGGACCAACGCTTGGTGAAGCAAGTGACAGAGTTGTTTAGCCGATCTATGTTTATATATTCTCCTGATTATGGTACGCCTTATTAACTGGTGTGTACGGGACGGGTACTTTTTCAACGGGAAATTGATTGTTTTGTGGATATTTGGGTGACACACGCATATGTTTTCCAGATATCACCAACAACTTCCAGCGTTCGTTTGATGATCCTACGAAACAACCACCAGATAATATACCACTATGGAAACAAGTAAGTGCTGCCATGTTACTTTACTGCTCCTAGGGTACTGCAATGATATAGAAAGCTTACGTAACTCTTGATGCTTGGAAAAACAATAGGTCGATAAGCGGTTTTGGTGGAACGAGCACATCACCCGCGAATTTCAACAGCGAAATGTAAGAACACATATTTTCCATTTTTGATCGCTGTGATACACATTCTTATCATTTATGTGGCTTTTACGCTATGTAATGACTCTTTTCTGAAAAAGTTGGACGACTGGATTATTCCCGTGATGCAAGGCACAATGCAAATTGAACCTTGTGAGATTGAAGGATATGAGTTTGACTTCATCCTTATTTCACGGCGCAGTCGTGAGAGAGCTGGTATGTTTTTTTTATGGGGGGGGGGTGTTTACTTTGAGCCCTATATTTCGTTTACCGTCTCTCTCGTGCGCTTCTTGGAGAAGCTGGACTTCTAACCGTATAGTACGAAATTGTATCACAGGTATGCGATATCAGCGACGTGGCATCAATGAACAAGGTCAGGTGGCCAACTTTGTTGAAACAGAACAGATCATTGTGTTCACTGTAAGTACTTTACTTTATGATTCAAAAGAGTAAGATGCCTATTCCTTCCTGCTAGGGTGCTTATCTGCGCGCTCTTGTATAGAGAGATGATACGCCACAAGTTGCATCCTTTGTTCAAACACGTGGATCAAGTAAGTAGTGCTTGAATGGCGATGCTGATTTAATGTAGTGATTATTGGCAACATGTAGCTATATAACGCTAAAGCGAGATGGAAAAAGTTCCTGTGTTTTGGAGCCAATCGCCTTATAGCTTACATCCCGTACCCACGCTCGATCGCGATGAGGAAGAGAATAATCAAGCTTTTGAAAAGCATTTTGTCGAACAAGAACGACTGTATGGAAAACAAATTGCTGTGAGTTTAACGGAATTAGACGGCCGAGAAGCTATCGTTGGATCTCAGTACCGTCGACATATTGAACACCTGGCGGATCCAAATATAAAGTTGGTACATAATGGCAAGGCGTCACGGGAGGAGGATAATATGTGGGGACTTGAAAGATGGAGTGAAAGACAATATGGTTTATCGGGCATACATGGATGGCAACAGAATGAAATTAGCTAAATAAGTACGTCCGTACTATCTTTTATTGGATAGATACGTGGAATTTGACTTTCACCGAGAAACGAAAGGGATGAGGTTTGAGAATATTAGCAAGCTCAGCACCAGTTTACGAGACGATCTTGCAAAGTTAGCGTAAGTGTTACTAGAGAAAGAGTACATTATATTAGTTTGAAAACGTCAATTGACGCTGACGTTTTTTGCTGCCAATTTTAGACATTTTTGGCAGGCAGGAACCAATACAGTTTACTGCAGACAAAATGGCGTTGTACGAACGGTATGTCCTTCAAAAACAAAAGACAAACATTGAATATGTGTGGTGTTCAATATTCCGCTAACTGTATAACTGTATTTAAAAGAACTGTATGGATTGTTTGGACCGCACAAATGTCGTACAGGTATGTTTATTAAAGTGTTATTTTTATGGAGTTAAAATTATGGAAACGAGCTTACTGGTCTGCTATCCCTTTGATTTCCTTCTTTGGTCATAAAGAGCGCATTTGCAAGAATTATTCTAAATCTGCAGTTGATGCGGTTTGGGATTTCCGAATTTCCGGATGAAGGCATACGTTACTATGGACATTTTGAGCGTATATTTAACCACGGTAAAATATCGTACAATTTTGGGGACAGTGATGGAATAAAACGGCAGTAATGATTGCAGAAGTTAACGTTTAATTTATCGTTACTATGATAGTTTGGGCGAATAATGGTGACATGATATCGCGCATGTATGCAGGCACCAGTGCGCTCAAAGGGGATTTTACTCGAACGGGAAAACGAAATATTACTGGCATGATGAACGATGCATCAAACTCCTTGGCACGCATGTACCTGAACACAGTCAAAGATTTTTGGAGACAGGCGACAATTGATTATGTGTTAGGTAAGAGGGATTAACAGTGAAGTGTAACAGAGAATGATTACGGCATTATGACTGAACTGCTGCTTCGTGTATTCATGAATACAGGCTACCACAAGATTGAGATATTCCGCCATGTTCCACAGAGTACATTGATGTCTGCTGAACCTGGGGTAGAACGAAGATGGGTGAAAGTGCGGATGGATGCTAGTAAGTAGTCATGTTGCGCATATTTACAATTTGTCTAGTATTCGTCTGCTATAACGACTCTCTCGCTGACATCAACTTTTGGTTATACTAGTCGAAGTCAGCAGTGAAATTGTCATTGAAGACAACGAAAACAAGTTTGCGGGATGGACTTTGCTGTCACCCAATGAACCACTAAAACGGTAAAGTTAAATTCAGACATACTCTGTGGAATTACCGGAAGAAATATTTCATTATGTAAAAGACAGTTTAATAATAATTCCTTTATCTGTAGACGAGCCAAGAAGTTTGAAGAAAAAGTTGTGTTATTAACAGACAAGGCGCTTTACGTATGCAGCTACAACTATAATCTCGAAAAAGTAGTTCAGTTTAAGCGAATTCCTTTGGACACTATCACATCTATTCAAGTGGGCGAATACATCCTATCTTCGACGACGCCAGTGTCACGCGACGTTGACCAAAACTATGGTTTTCTGCTTTTTTATGATTCGAATCGCGAATTGACCCGCTTGAATACGGGCAGTATCTGGAACCAAAGTCTCGATGATTTGAACATCAGCTCGACGAACGTATCATCCAAGACAGCTACAGCCGAAAACAGCCATTATCGCAGCGGCCGTCACTCGTCATTGTCATCGTCATCTTCTTCAAGCTGTAGCGATAATGAGGACGAAGCCAAAGAAGTTGAAGGTATCAACGACAGACAGGCGTTTCTGGCATTTAAAGGTGTTCGCTACAATGTTCTAGGCGAATTGTCAGAGGAAGAAATCAAGAGCTGTCGGGAGCAAGTATTAGATATTACGAAGCAGATAGCAGCAGTATGTGGACGGGAAAACGATCAAAAATTTTTGGTCCACAAACCAGTTATCAGGTGAGCGAAATTACCTCGAACCGATCTGCGTGCCTTACACTCTTATTAACTTATACACGCAAACACGCATTTCTATCATCTGTCTTTCACAGCATTGAACAAGCTGAAGACACTGATGGAATATTTAAAAAGATGGGGCTGAAAATCAAACGCGCAATTTGGATCTAGTAAAGGAAAAGTTACTTTTGTTATGCTTGGCTTTTCTTTTCTTATTTTCCATAGTGCGCTTAAAATCTTATGGCTTTTTTAAATCTTACGTCTCGTGTGAACAATGCGTCTTTGGGGTACATTTCGTTTGAAACAGCTAGGAAGAATATGATGGACCAAAAACCATGCTGGAGGAGGGAGATTTGCCGATGCATAAAGTTTATTAGAAAGGGTGTATGCGGGAAACATACATGGAGAGAGTATACAGATAAAATATCAAGTAAACTCGAAGCGCTTATTTCAGGAGTTAAAGCTATTTGAACTGGAAGGGGAGCTTGAACAATCTACTGTACAGTATCATCAATTAAATATAATCCTTTACTGAGGAGCTTGCATACTCAGCATTCAAGAATAATCGTTTCTTATTGACCAGTGAAACAATGTATCTATTGTATATATCCATAATTGTTCAAGATATAGAGTACGCTGTTTCACATCTGGTGTGGTCAAATCATATCGTGAGGTGCAAAGCTACTGTCAACAGTTGCCGTCATGTTTGCATCCCTGTATTCTTATTCTATTACCCCATGCAATCTTTTGATCTTGAAAAGAGCAGTTTAGGGAATGCAAACAACAGAGAAGATACAATTGTTGCAGTAAATGGCCGGAACAAAACATGGGCAACGGTACCATATGCATATGATAATGACAAGAAAAATCAAGTATATGTATAGTAGATCCTGACATTTGCGACACTGCTCCTTCGATAGCAACAAAAAATTACCGTGCTACAGATGTAAATATTACATTTCATAGTGTTATTGACTGATAGTATATGTGCTGTACATCGCTTTCCTGTAGTAATAATTAAAGAACCATTTGCATGACCTTGCTGCGGAGTTGCCTATTCTAGTGAGCGCGTTTTGGTGTTGAATCGCGCCCTCCTTTTCTCTTCTTCTACCCTTTCACCTGTTGACATATTCTATACACCATGCACAGATCCAGACCAGAGAATGCACGAGCATTAGACAATCGCAAGAGAAGAGAGAACGATTGTTCAAATCTGAATTCCCCGATTGGAAAGCAAGAGACGACGACCGCACACTCAACCGATCCGCCAACAGCTCCTCTCCTGAAAGATAAAGACGTCAATCAACGATCCGTTCATTCTTATGGACATGGTACAACAAAATCAAATGAAAAGGAACGAGCATCTTCCGCTAGCACATCATTGAAGGGCCCTGCTTTTCAAAGTATGTTTGTTGTCTTTCCATTCCAAAAAAAAAAAGACGATTTGTTAATTGCTTTTGACTGGAATTACTCTCCCTAAAAAAACAGAAGGATCTAAGCTCAAGGTATTCAGCGACAAAGAGAACGCCGGCAGGACAACAAAGGAAACGCCTTCAAGTTTACGAAAGAAACCCAACGTTGTACCAATCAAACGATCAAGCTCAGGTAGGTCTTTATAGATAGTCGACTTTCAAATTTCGATTGAAGGAAAGATCGTTCCCGCTAATCGTTGAATTTCAACACCTGACTAGATCTGGACACATCGTCACCTGTGGGCAAAAGAGTGGAAACTGAATCACCAAGTACAAAGGCTATTGAAAGAGGATTCTTACAAGAAGAAGGTGTGTTCTCTTAAAGTACTTGATTTCCTTCTTCAAGTACTTCAGATATTAAAGAAACAACTGTGTTGTTAGAGTTACCGTATCTTCCAGACGTTGAAATCGACTTTTCAGCGTTCAACGATCGACTCAACTTTGATGCATACGATACCACGGCAGCCGAGGGAGAGGATGAAACGCCGATAAAAATTCATCTCGATACCAATGACGAATGGGACATTCCATTTGAACGCAACGATGCAAGTCCATTGAATTTCTTACGTTCAGAAGAGGCTACAAAAGCATCAACCCCAACAGAGACAACAGAAACAAAGGATGAATTGAAACATGAAGCAAAGTTGGAGTTTCCATCAGAAATCGAGTATGCACCACCGAAAGAGAAAGGTTTGTTATTTTCCAATCTTAGGTGTGCGTGGACAGAAAAGAAAAAGATTGATAGACAACGTTATTGTGAGAGATCATTCATGTACAAAAAAGCTTAACTGGTACTACGACGATGAACACATAGAACTTGCATATGAACCGGCAGTTGCCCTTGACGTGTCGGTGTTCTCGGAAATGCCTTACCTAGTTGCATACGAAAACCATAGTTTCGATCAGGAATTCACCACCCTTGATACTACAGATGATGATGACGATCTGATCAACCGTAAGATAAGCTTGAATGCCTACGCTAGCAAGTGGTTGGAGTGTGAGATCGAGGACAATGGTGATGATGACAACGACACAGAAGGTAAATATACTAAAAAGCGAGGGACGAGCTCTTTTCTTCCTCCCTCTCCATTTCCTCCTTCTTTCTCCTCCCACTCCTCCTGATTATTGGGAAAAAAGGCAATACCGTGCACACACGCACGCACGCACATACATAGATGCACACATATATACATGGCGGCTAAAAAATATAATGCACAATGATAGAATTCGAGCTGTTGACTGATCTAGAGCAAGATCCCTTCTTCCAAGTTATGGAGACCATGAAGGCGGAAGACGAACCCGAACTGTTTGCTGACCATCTATTCGACGTCAATGCTTATCCCAACGATAACAATCAACAAGCCGCCACTGCTACTGCAAACTAACACTGCAAAGAAGATTCTCCGAGCTATTTCAATAAAAACAAAAATACCTATCATTCCATTACTGCTCACTTATTCGCCAAATATGGTAGACATCTCCAAATGTATAACTTGTAGGAGGAGTTCGGGTCGGGGAGAGGTCGGGGTCATTTTTCTTTTCTGTTTGTATGGTGGAAGAAGAGGGGTTTTTATTTGCTTTCGCTGGTTGTGGATGGTCAAATAACTCCTGAAGCATGAATGTGTCAATTCGTCGAGGGGCTGAGTCATGATGAGCAGGGGCACTGAACTCGATCACGATGGTCATGCTGTACTTTAAACAAACATTGTCTTTTCTATAACAAGTATATAAAAATAGGTTATTCATCCAATCATTTGTATAAGCTTCAGGAGTAGTACATAGTAATTTATTCGATAATAATAGACGATGCTGATGATGATGTCGGTATGTGTTGATGCATATTCGCCTCTCCCACTAATTTGATGGGTTGCTGCTACCTTTCACACACACTTTCTCTATCTGTGTGTATGAATCCCAGGTGGACTCCAGCATATGATATAGCCCCTGCTTCTCGTTTTTTCGCAACCGGTAAGGTGCCACATGAAACCACATTGCTGGTTTGTACCTCGGGAAGAATGCAATGTGCTTTTCTTTTTGCCGCAGGTTCTTGCTTTTCCCTTATACCCCCTCCTTCCTACCTCCGTTGCTGGTTCATCTCCTGCGCCCGCTCCTTCTCGCATGTTGTTGTTGTCCACATTGCATGGTAGTAGTAAATATAGCCACGCGAACAACAGAAGCAAACATCGGTAATAGTTCGCGCGTTGTTTATGTGAAGTTTTCCTTTGATTTAACACCTCGTTCTCCTCCTTGGCTCTCCTTTGGTTTTCATATCCGACAGCCACTTTTTTATCTCCATCCAACCTCTTTTTGACATAATACGCACTATGTAATTGTATGCGTCAGATAAAAGCCGCTTTATCATAGTAAAGTCTTTGCACGTATCATATGACGATAGATAAACAGATGGGTTGTGTATGATTTTGTATGTACGAATGAATAATATATATTTTCTGTTGATGATGATCAATCCATAATATAGTATGATGAATGACTTGAGCAACCTGGCCTGGTGTCTTAGTGTGTGTGTGCGTGTGTATGTGCGTGTAAATATGGGTAAAAATAATAGGTTAGAATTATCAAAAAAAGAATGAGTGAAAATATAATAGTAATCACTAATAATAATTGCTACTGAAGAGTGCTGCTGTTTTTGTTGTTGCTGTGCTAGACGATGAATCGATAGTAGATAGAAAAAAAAAGAATAAGAGAGAAGTTTTACAGAAAAAATGCAAACGCAAGATAACCCAAAAAAGAAAATGTGAGCTTAAAAAAGTGAGAAACCGTAATATGAGGATGCGCATAGACAACAAGGAATAAAGAAGAAAAAAGAAAATAATAATAGAGTAATAACTAAAGTCAGAAAAGAGATGCATGTGAGAGGCTGAGAGTGTCAAAAATGTTGTTGTGGTAGGTGTAATTGGAGGGATTATGCAAAGGGTAACGTTAAAACAAGATAAAAGAAAGAGGGAGAAAGACAGGTATAGCGAGAGAGTGTGTGCTTGAGCAGATAGAATGGCTGTTGTTGATATCGTTGCCCATATTTTAATAGTACTCCAGTTGGCTAGTGGGTTGCTGCATAGGATGGGGATGGTGAGGATGGTGATGATGATGAAAGTCCTTGGAAGCAGCCAAAGGATGGTGAACTTGAGGAGTTGTTGTGTACACCATATGCGGTTTGGGGTCAATAACTGCTGGCGGTGAAGTTATAACCTTAGTAGCCTCCAATGCAACTGGAGTCGACTGCTGCTGGGAGAATATCATCATATTGCTGTGCTGTTGAGGCGGCACTGGCGATTGTGTTGGTAGTGGTGCAGAAACCGGTCCTTGCGGCTGATGCTCTTGTTGTGGTGGAATATTGTGATATCCTTCAGTAGCAGGTGGGTGTGATGGGAAATGCTGCTCGGAAGTATCTCGATAGACGGCATCGTCTCTTGCTCGCTGTGGTTGATGATGTGTCTGTTGCCAGTAATCGTTCTGTTGTTGTTGTTGTTGTTGTTGTTGCTGCTGTTGCTGATCATGAGATGACTTTCGCGGGATAGGGCGACCATAATGATTATATGGGGATGGTGGAGGTGACGTGCTTGCTGGACCATCTGTCATTGAGAACGAAACTTGTCTTGATGATCTTACTGGTACCTGCAAGTGATAAGGCAAGCTGGAATGCTGCTGTTGCTGTTGATGGCCTATGGTTGATGTAGGACGTGGGTCGGTGACAGTGGGTGAAGGCATGAACACCGTAGATGACTGCTGTCGCGGTGACGAAATATCTGCTACGGCTGAAGGATAACCCAGCGGCATCATTGGCGTGCATTTCGATATGGCGACCATTGGATCACATACTTGAGTCAGCTCATGCTGTTCAGGAGCCGTGTTATATCGTACCATGGGGCCCCTATTGCTCACAACGCTACTGCCACGTGAAAGCGCCATATCACCAGTAGTGGGCACTCCTACATCGTTATTATCGTATGTATTCAACGTCATTGCTCGCACGCCGCTATCGAAGCTTGTTTTGGAGGATTTTCTTGAGTACGTTGGCTCTGAGTACTCTGAAGCACGCCTGCGTAGTTGTTGCCCTGGTGAAATCAACATTATCGGTTAGATATCACTAGTGTCGTAGCAAGTGACACTCGGTAATGCGGCTGTTGGAAATGCATAAAAAAGGATATAATTAGAAGGAAAAAGGTTTCAGAAAAACACATACTAGGCATGGGGTAAGGAGACAAGGCAAGTGACCGTGGCGAAAATTCCATCTTATCAAACATGTCTGTATGTTCGGCCATAGGAGGGATACGGAAGCTTTGGCGCAAGAGCAAGTCTGGTGATATTTCAAGTGAAGCAAGTTCTGGAATCGAAGAAGGCGTTTGTAGTCGGTTGTTCAATACATCTTCTTTAGTATAGTAGCTGATAAGGTGCTGTGGTGACCCGTTTACGACAATGCTCATCGTCTTCTTAATTAGTCCTCCTTTTTTAAAGTTGTACGACGTTGTTAGCGATCCAACCAATGCACGCTCGCGGTTCCGATCAACCGCCGAGGCGGTGGTGCTCGTGCCATCTGCTCCTAAGTCCATTCTGTCGTCTTCGAATTCTTGATTGACTTGGCAATAATTGTATCCCGACGCCATGCTTCCAGGAGGTACAGCAGGCATTGTTGCCCGATGGTGAGCATTGGCACGTCGCTTATCGGTCGTCGAATCGCGTCCGTCAAGTTCACGATAAATCAGAAAGTTGCCGAGGATGCGGGAGGGGCTCCAAACAAACCCGTCTGTCCAACGTTTTATGCCTTTTTGTTATTGTTTTCAATTTTGAAAAGAAAGACGTTAACAAACTATATTATGTTGTTTGATCGCTTTATGGATGGTATATTAAGAATGACGAAGAAAATGCTATTTACCTGATTCTCGTTCGTCAAAGACAAACACAGTGCCCGACTGCACTGCACCTCGTTCTCTTTCTTGTAAACGACGATTGATTTTTGGAAAGATGCCTCGACGACATGCTTCAAAGATTAGCAGGGTGTCTGTGGTGGTTTCCACAAAACCGTGAAATGTTTCATTTGTTGGCATTGCTGTATAATGTAGGTAGGTAGGTAAGTAGGTATAGTAGTGACGATACTTTTTGATTAGGGTTTAAAACAAAATAGAATAAACAAAGAGTTGGTGTGTGCAGTAAAGTTTAGCGAATTAAAAAAGATGTACAAAGGAAAGCAAAAAGAAAAGAAGCACGATTTAAATGTGAATGCAAACGAAGGAAGAGGAAAAGAGAAAAGATTATACAAACGAGTGGCGTGAGGGCTCGAAAGAATCTTAAAAGAAAGAGGGAGTATAGGAGAACGGGGGGTAGAAGAGAGAAAGCCAGAGTTGATTAGTAAAAACAGACAAATAGAGGGAAATGGAAAGATCGTGCGAGCGAGAGCAAAAGAACATTACAGTGGACTGAGAGAAATAGAGCGAAAGAGCTGGGGGGTAATGTAATAAAACATCGAAGAAGGACATGCAAATATGCAATACTGTTCTTCTTCGGCAAGGTGCGAAAAAAAACATACAGGATCTTGTACCAATTAATAAGAATAACAACAATAATGAGAATAGCAGCATCTTGGTAGGGCTGTTGCTGCAGTCGAGCGGCTGAGTCGCGTGGGTACAAGAGGATGTGGGTGAAGGGAAATAAAGATTGACCCTGAGTATTGGTGATATGTGCTGTGCATCCGTTTCTTTACTTTGTGTTGAGCGAGCGAACGTATTTAGTATGTACGCAGGTAGGTAGGTAGGTGGGTGGGTAAGTAGGTGTGTGCGCCCGGCATTAATAGTGGACTCGATGACTTTTGAGGAAATTTTTCAGATTTAAGTGATCCTCAAATAGAAAGTACAATCATGTCAGGATCGCTTTATGCTGCTCGTTTGTGTCTATCAAATAAAAACGAACAAAAGGGGAGAGAGGAGGATTTTTCTGCCGCTAGCAGGGGCCACGAAAAAAAGAAAAATCTTGATTCCCTTCTGACCCGTGCATTATTTTACAACATAGCAGCAGCAGCAGTATTGTATGTCCAAGACAAAGTTAATGACCTCCTTTTGGAAGATTCTCTTTAGTAGCAATCGCTATTATTGGGGAAGGATATGCTAGTAGCATCACTATGCAAACATACTACCATGTCTAGTAGTAGTCCTGGCTCTGCACAGTGCTTTTGACGAACTTTGTTGCTGCTGTTCTTTCAATGTAGCTCCATTACCTTTTGGAGATGAAGTGATAGATAGAGACAGTCTATGAGCGCATCTCTAAAAAAAGCCTTTTTCAAAGAGAAAAGCTTCGACCCCTTTGGATATAGTAGACCCACGTGCTGGGCACTTTTGCTTTTCTCAACCACGTTACCACTTTGAATAGTAGCAAAAGTATTAGCAGTAGACAAATAAGAAGTAGCAGCAGTAGGCAATGGGTATCTGTGCGTAGAAGGGTAAGTTATTCATGCTCTCTCTTGCCTTCTCCGTCTGTCTCCCATTTTGTGGTTTACCCATCGAGCGCGTCATAGCGAGGATCTTTGATGTGTTATTATGTGAGGAGGATGAACCTGCATCCCTTTCTCTCTTTTCCTTTTTTGAGCGATATGTTAAGCTCTCCTTCATCTTCTCTCTTTCTTTTCCCGTAACATAGGGGAGCACATATCTTGATCCTGCACGCACGCTGTCCTTACATATTCATTTTTTCCTTCAGCAACGTGGTATGGCGTTTCTCCTGTAGTACCGTAGGTCTTCCTCTAGTAATATCTTCGCTTCTCCTTCTTCTCCTTCTCCCCACTCCCTGTCTTTCACTCTTTCTTGGTCTCTCTTTCTTTGTCGGCGGGATAGTACGTGCTTAGACGATGCTGTTACTACATACTGTCGGATAAAGAAATCTCGCTTGAGGTGTAGATCTAATGGTTTATTATGTGATGTTGTGTATTGCTGTTGTCGCTGTCTTGTGGACACGAGGAATAAAGAGGAGCAAAAAAAGTAGCCACGGACAAGGAAAAAACATGGTAAGGATGAACCACGTTTTGTCATGTATTTTATATCTGGTGAGTGCATGGCAAACAGCGACATAATTGTAGTAGTTGATATTAAATCGTGTCAAACTCTGAGTAGAAAAGATACTACATTTCTATGTACAATAAAATATGTCAAGGACGTGCTCAAGCATAATGTCTTGTTCTAATCCTGTCTTTTTTTGTGCTCCCTGCAAGAAAAGATCACACCGCATAATTCTGCTTACTGCATTACACCTTGCATACTAGTACATACCACATCTAAGCACACATTCGCGCCGAGGCTAAAAATATCAATGCATGAAATTGTGAATGACGTTCTTTGTCACATACCTGTTTCCAATTATTTCGGCTTTTGAAGATGCTATTATTTTATCTAGTCTCCATTCGTCTAGAACAGAATAGAAATAGGAGTCAGTATAATGGTTTTGCACCTGATATACATCCATGCGCATATGCTACTATGCACATTATGTACATCCAAGAATGTATTGCTTAGTAAAAACACCAATGCCTCTTCTGCTGCCATTTAAGGTTCGATAATTTTCTTTTCCTTCGCATGTACATTGAAATTCTTGTCCTCTTCTTTGCAAATTTTACCGTATTTTCTCCTATTTTGAAAGCATAATGTATACTAGGTACACTTAAGACACTTCTGCTGATGACGGTGATATCACTGATTATTAAAGGTTTACACCCCGAGGTCATCATTGTTTTGTTTCACAACATCCAAAAGTGCGCGCGCAGTCAAAGTAGTAATATAAATATATATGTATATATGTAAGCTTGCTTGGTGTTGTGTATCCAGGAGGCATCCTTGTTGGGAAGCAGCATCCACATAATCCACACACCATTCGTGAGTTTTAAGGGATAACTAATAGAAGACAAGTGCCTTTGTGTAATTTAGTCATCTGCATATAAACCTATTCGGACTTGCTAAATCCCTTTCTGGCATATCGCCGAAATAAGCCAGCAGGTTCATGCGTGGCAAGCCTCACATTCGCCTAATTTGGTATCGTTTTAAAGAATTTCTAGGGAATGCGTGTGTGATGTCTGCAGCCTGAGCGGATCACTCCTTGCTTTGACTGCCCCTGAAGATCATTGATGTACATTACACACACACACTACCAGTACTTCTAGTGTGGCCCATATAACACTTTATTTTATCAAACTCCCAGTCCGGCCCCGTATGTCCGCGCTCAATTCTTTTCGCTGTTTTGTTGCTGCCGGAAAATCGCTATTATGTATATCAACTTTTTGTCTGACATAACGTAGAGTTTGTAATGATCGTCTAATTGAAACATTCTTTTTTGAAACCAGAAATCTGGCTATCTACCCCGTGGTTCCAAGAGTCAATCATGTATAGCCATACCTATTGCGTATGTACAGTACTTCTTGTCGGTACCAGCAAGAAAGTAAACAAGTGGCAAACCGGGACGATAAAGAGGAAGACGAGGGTGAAAACCGCTCGATTTCTACATTAGCCCACTGTTGTCTATTGGTTGGTATACTACTTTTTTTTTCTAATTTTACATTAACACTACTGCAACCACACTTTCACGGCATACCATAACAACGAGGAGGGATCGAAGTGCTTACACACCCGCGCCAACATTTCTATTGTTTGTTTACAATAGCCAATTATCTCGATCGCTGCCTACTATCGTAACTAATAAATGACTTTCTCCCACTCAGTAAATGTACTCTTCATAGTCTTACTAAAGCCGCCTGGTATGATTAATGTAAGCTACTGATCATATATGCCATTTACAGTCAAATCAATACTTATCACTTACTGGAAAACAGCTTTTTTAGTGTAAGATGGAGTGAAAGGATCTTCAAGTATATCCGGCAATTGCAAATTGTTTAATTAAATGCTTTTTTCGCATTTAATCTTGCACTGTTGCTATATAAAAGTGGGAGGTAGTTGCGCCTTCAATATTGATACGGGGTACAGTAAAATAAGTACCATATATATCCAATTGATACACATCTCCGTTGTATATGGTGGCTCATGTCTTTGCTACATATGTTTCTAGTTGCTACTACTTTTTTGAAAAGGGCGCTTTCAGATCAAATCTTACCGTTACTACCTAAAATACACATACATATACAAATTCAAACATATATTGATCTATGCTATCAATAGTCGTACACAATCTCGTTAGAAGAGCATTAACTTTGGATGTTTTCGTGTCTCGCTATAGTTATTGAACATCAGCTCATATTGCATGCCTACTTGACATATGTAGTCGCTCTATTCCGTTACTCTATGCAAGTGGTAAATGATGTGGACGTATTCCCTCCAGCATGCACTATGTTTGACAAACATTAAAACATCGTAATCGCTGCTAGCAGAGACTCCATAAGTACTGATTTTTTTAATTCGCTATAATACCGAGCCTCAAATTGTTTGGGGTGACAGGCGCATATTACAATGTGCATTCTGAGCATTACTACCTGATATAATATACTTTATGTTTATATTACAACGTCGCAAATGACGATGGGTTCCACGAATCAAAAGCTAAAACAACAAGCGTCTGACATCCTACAGTAATTTTTAGCTCGTGATCGTACTCTCCTATTTGAAAGGTTCTTTATGTTACATAGTCCTTTTAAACTTTCCTTTTCCCAGATCTTTGCAATAAAAAGTTTCAGATGAGACAACGAAATCCTGCTGTTACTTTTATCATATATATGCTAACTACGTTAACTACTAAATATGATAATGGATTTGTCAAACATCAGAAAGGATTAAAGCAGGATCACCATAATCACCTAGATGTACAAGTGTTTTCAATTATGTGATGTGATAGGAATCGGAACAGGAATAGTACATTAATGTGTAACAAATCAAAACCCTAAAAGCGTATGTCATCGGAACCAACATCATACCGCGGTTCGGCTTACTTATAAAAAGAAATCGGTCTATTATACATGCATGATGAAAAGGTAATGTATTATCATATTAGGAAAAAGATGAACTTGATGTGCTCGAAAGGTACGAAAATACTGACTAAATGGTACTAATTTCTCTTCTATAGATTAATCTATGATTCTCATTTCTAAGCTACGTCACATATGTAAATTCGGTTAAATTTACCACTTTGATGAAGATGCACCGATGAGATGAGGGACGGGGATGTGCCATGTGTCAGTGATATAAGAACTTAGCATATGGTAATTTTTACATTATTCTGGGAAAAATGAACCGAGATAGTAATACTGTTTACGTGATATACGCAAAAGCCTATCCACAAACTGAAGAAAGCCTCCCAAGGAAGAAAGATGTCGTGTAACAGCAACTTTACACTGTGGCTACTACACTAAGGGCATAATAGCACTAGTCAACAGAGGAAATCCATGGCCGCACACACAGATAGCAAACAGCAACAGCCTAACCACTTGCTACAATAAGCTCATCCCAGCTGCTTTTAATGACAAGCAATCTAGCAGATTGGTATAGGACAGTCATTCATGTGCAATATGCAGAAAAAACATCGATAATTGGTATGATATGCATTTACTGAATGAAATACACGCACTCTAGTTCTCTACTACTAGGAATGTTTTTATATCATACTCTTTGTGTTCGTGTGTGATAGAAACAGTAAAACGAACTGACGTACAGTAAGTTGGTTTCACATTTACGAACAGAAGTGATCCGTACCTCAGAACATGATTTTCACCAAATCGAGCCAATTTTCTTTTGGTGTAACACAATGCTTTACTTACATGTAAAGTCGTCCGCATAAATTCTAAGGATACAATGTCGCAGTTACGCTGAACCATACGGATTTTGGCTAACGTAATATTAAGAAACATGTTCACTTCCATTTTTCAGTTGGTGGACCGTAAGACAATTCTATTTGAAACGAGCTGTAAATAATTCATTAGTATTTTAAGTAAAGAAGTGTGGGAAACGCTTGCAAACATTCTGTGGTAATTATTTTGCCCGTTAAAGTACAATTTTAAATGAAGAGAGATGCTGTACATAGTATACCTATAATATCACTATATAGAAAAAAGACTAATCGCCCTTTATTTTGTTAAGGGAAAAATTGTGTGCCAACGTATTACCGTTTACGTGACCCGCCAAAAACCTTACTCACGAAACAAAAGAACGGATAAATTACCTCAGTTCAAAAAAGTGTATTACCGTACACAAAGGGAAAAACCACTGCCATTTTATCGATTATGCGTGTGTTATTCGCCGACAGATCAGTGAAAGAACAAGATGTACGTACTGTCATCACGTATCTGATTTTTTCTATTTAGATACAATTAGTATATAAAAGCCGATGCAATTGTTGTCGACGGGGAGTTAGCCAACAGAAAACACAACACTACTTGATTTTTTATACTCATAAAGAATTGTACGATTATTATGAAGGTCACCTTGTCTGTAACGCTCCTCGCTTACTTTTTTATGCCTCTCACTGTCCTCGCCTCTCCGGTTTACACCCGCCGTTCTCTTGAAGAGCGTGCTGACGTCCGCGATGCGACGGCAGAAGAAATTGCAGAGCTTGAATATTACAGTGCCTTGTCTGCAAATGTGTACTGTATTGGTGTGATTCCCGGAGGTACCTGGGTCTGCCCTAATTGCGACAAAACGAATAATCTGGAGATTGTGGATACCTTTACCACGATTGTGTACGATACCAATGTCCTGATCGCTAGAAGTGATTCTGAAAAGACAATTTATATAGTCTTTAGAGGTATATTTGATTTCTTTTTGTTACTAAGCTAGGAACAGTGTTGTATCAAATCCAGTTGAACTAAATTTTACTACGGTGTATAATCGTTATTTTCATCGCTGATGTCTTTATAATCGTTAATAGGTTCCGTTTCAATTCAAAATTGGCTTGCTGTAAGTACGCTAAATAGCTGTGTGTGTACCTACTTAATGAAGAGTTGTTATTAAAAGCCATAACCCATGCATATTCAATCCTCTCATTATTCTGGCCTATATCAACAGGATTTAACAGCCACTCTCGTTCCCTACCCCGATGCATCCTTGACTGCATACGTTCACACAGGCTTCCTCGCCAGTTATACCGAAGTCCAATCAAAATTGATGTCGACTGTGAAGAGCCAGATGAATGCTCATTCAGAGTACAAAGTTGCTGTTACAGGGTAACGACAAAGATTGAAATGCTTTCAACTTGTACCAAGAACTAATTTGCATTATAAATACTTACTAAATTCACAGCCACTCTCTTGGTGGTGCCACTGCGCTCCTGTGTGCTTTAGATTTGCATCAACAAGGCGTCTCGAATATTGAGCTTTTCACCTTTGGTATATACTTCTACTTTACTTATTCATATAGATTCAATAATGAAATCTTTAATAGAAAGCAACATTAAAATAAATATATGAGCTTATATCTAGCATATCATTAACTTTTAATCTAATTTATTAGGACAACCTCGCGTAGGCAATGCGGCTTTTGCTAAATACGTTGTAGATACTGGAATTCCGTACAAGCGAACAGTTCACGAACGTGACAGTAAGTCTTCGGCTTGTTATACTAATTCAGTTTAGGGAAGAGGGAAAACATCTCACCATAGAGTTTTTTTTGGTGTAATGATGTTATTTTACAGCCGTGCCACATGTGCCCTCCGTTGTTGCTGGCTTCCTTCACGCGGGCATGGAGTTCTGGGATGTTCCTTTAAGCAGCAAAGTCCGTAAGTACAAGTTCACTTTTTCTTCGTTCTCCGTGTCAGTTTTTATTTTCGCTTTGAAAAAAAATCGTATTCTAGCCCTTCCTATAATTACTACTTGCCACCTATTAATATTAACTTTCTAATAACTAGAGGTCTGCCCTAACGGAATCGAAACTGCTGACTGCTCTAACAGCGTTGCTACTTTGACAAGCTTTGTCGATCATACTACGTAAGTAAACTCTTCATAGTTTTCATGCTTATTCTGACATTATAAAACACTTTGTGTAATCTTCTTTTCGTTCATTATACTAACAATTGTTTCTGCTCTTTATGATACTTTTTAGATACTTTGATATGAGCACGGGTATTTGCCTCTAGAAATCAAAGAAACTTTAGTTTCTAGCCAATCAAAGTGATGTTACTATTTATCAGCTTCTATCAACTAAATCATTATTACTGCAATGGGTGCGTATTTTCGCTATAGCTTGAAAATGGACATTTTCTGTTGTCAGTTTATCTAGTTAGTCTTACAAGTCAAAATATATTCTTTTATAAAAAAAGCCAAAAATAAATGCCCTATACAGTACACATTTATTTTACTATCACATATATTACCCGTTCTTATACTACCTACACAACGTCTTGTTAACATGAGATATAGCGCCAACAAGCGTGATGTAGCAAAAGCAGTTGGGTTTTTTTGGGTATTTTGCCATTTGGAATTTCAATTGCTCATTACTGCCACGGTTCGCTACATAAAATTTGAGAACACTTGCCTTTTATGAACGAGAGCTGAGAATACTTTATAAATCGAGGCAACCGTTAACTAAAACTCTACTTATCCCTATACTCTCAAACCCATATCGGCTTATTTGCTCTTGATTGAAAGGGTCAATTTTGTAAGATATAAAAAAACTATTAAACATGTTCTACGTACGTATGCTTTATAGACTAACGAACCAAGCAATTATACATATAAAACCTTTTCGCGTTCTAGCAATGTGCACATATAGCAACGGTTCACGGTAGCTCAAAAATGGCTTAACATGTCAATCATTAAGACAACCAGCTGCGTTGTCGGTGCAAATCATAGAAGAAAATAAGTGTTTCCTTGTAGTAGAGATTACAATCTTACCGTCAGAAATGTGATAAAATCTTCTATGATTTAATTGCTTTTTAAATATATAACCCGTCCCTCAATGATGATACCTTGCACTCGAAATAAATTGCTGAGCATTTTTAACTTTCCAAGATTCCACATATCTTTATTGTCCGTAGTACATGAAGCAGACACGTATGCGTGGTAAAACTGTGGTTCCGTTTTTGCGATTATTTTTTTTACCTATCATATCCCGGATGCTTTAATAAAATGTCTATTGTTGATTTATGATACTGCCACACAACGATTCAGATCTCTTCGATCAAAATCTGTTAGATTTATGCGCAGATCACCTTTTCATGTTACCTCCCCACAAATTACAGCGAAAATCATTTTTTGTCTCACATCTATGAGCTCCAGATCGTTGAAAATCTGTTCGGTGGGGATATCATTTGTTACCTTTAAGAAGTTAAATGGTGCGGTCAATATTATTTTTCCGAATTCTTGGTACCTGGACTTTTGTCAGCGTTAAACCTGCGTTCGCGCGTCACTAATGCTAATGCTGCTACTGGTATACATTTTTCCTCGATGAGGAAAAGTATGTGTAAATGTAAGAGAGTCTAAGCGATATTGAGAAGAGTAATAATGTTGTACCACGGTACTACAAACATCGTAAGTGATGTAACGACATCATTACTCCATCTCTATGTGTGTGAATGATGGTGAGAAAATAATTATCCATCATACTCCTGATTCTCAGTCAACTGTATGCGTTCCGCAGCGGTATAATGTGATCCCAAATGATCTTTACTAATAGCAAAAAGACATTATTTTGATAGAACTGGCTAATATTAACGATGCAGACCAAACTTCGCTTTAACAAAAAAACCTAGGTTAGGAGGACAGAAGCGGTTAACCTACGTGATACGTATTAGCTCTGATTGCCTGGCGAATCAGTTGAGTCACAGTACAGAGTGGCTAAAAAAAGTACCATTGTACACTTTGCTAACTGTAAATTTTTAGGCCTGTTGCTAGTATAAGATATCACAGTAAGAAATGTACCAAAAAGCAACCGTATATGGCGTTGATGGGAATGACTAAAGTGAAAGAACACGCTTTTGAATGTCATAGATTTTAAAAGATTCATCTGTAAAAGCTCCTGTTTGTCTACGCAGTGGGGTTAGACGTCAAAACTTACACAAGTGTATGTAACACCACAGTCGATTACACGGTACACTGATTGACAAACGTGCCACAATAAGATCTTTTTTACACCCGCGGTGAAATACAGCAATATCTTACATTTGCCGGAGAGCAATGAAAATTACTTACATGAACATTTTTTAAAACTCACTCATAGATGAGCGATATGAGCTTATCGATGAAAGCATTGTTGAAGACCACTATTATATTACGGTATAGAATATGAGTGATCTTGCCACGCAACAATCTATATTATATCAGTTTATAGTTATCTAATTAGAATCAAAAGTATTGCATTTTGTCAATATATCGTTTGAAACCTTCTTTGCTTCATTATCCATATATGGCGATAAAAAACTTAGTAACTTGCAAAATGCATGAACTCGGAGCATTATACAGGATTTTCATTAAAGGTGTGAAGTGGAATATAAGTCTACGAAATCGCTTTACTTGAACACAGGTGTTTACGATGGTCGACCAACCGAAGCAGCAAAAAACATTGATGCATTACGTTACTTGAAAACGCAGAACGATCTTAAATTAGTAGTCGTCGAATCATCTAGGTAATAAATAATTCAACTAGATACAAAATCATTATTAACTATCTTGCTTAGTCTATAAAAACAGTGGGATGATGATAGAGTATGCGACTCATACTATCGAGGATACTATCAAGATTCTTGAATGTAATGTCGCCGCGTTACGAAAAGAAGCATCTCATTATGGTATTAATGCAACATTGGGAGACATTCAAGAAATTTAGTACATATGGTATCCAAGTAACCAAAACGAATGTGGCGTTATTCAAGACCAGTTTGGTTGATAAAGACAGATGGAAACACGTCCAGGTCAGAGCTGCTCAAATCCCTACCACTTGGAATGATCGGTTACTCCTCTTTAGAATACTTAGCGCTGTTAGAAGCATTATATGCAAGTGTTGAGGCAGTGGGATTCGGATGATAGTGTTCAGTCAAATTACTTAAATCTCATACTAATATATATTTACAGGTTGATCTCGTATACTCAAGAGATTCAAAGAGAACTCTTACAAGAACGCGTTAATGTAAACAAGCCTTCTGGACCTTTGGTTACATCTGTTATCCATTAGTCATATTGGCTATAACATGAGCATAAGCTTTCTTTTTTTCATCTTTGCATCTTCTTTTGTATCTTCCTCCTCCACATCTTGTTACAATTATCACTATCATAACAACCATTCCGATAATTTCAATTATTCCGCATCTTATTCCATACAACAATTTTATCAATTATCCAATGACACACACATTTTAATTTAGTATCATCACTTCTATGCATATACAATATATACAACATCCGTTTTTTTGCACATGCAAAATAAAAAAAGCAATATAGGCAATCATTATATATCTCACTAAAAGCTACTTACACTTTTTTTTTGAAAACTTTTGCTGATATAGGTTTTTTATTGTATCCGCTGTTCGTCATTGTCGTCTTTTACAAGCCATTTGATTCGTTGAATGACTTGTGCCCGACTTATGACTGTTATTCTATAGATACTTACTATTGTTGTTGCTGTGATATATCCATTACATAATACTTATGTATAGAAGATAATACGTGCCTAGCTTTAATGACCAATATTTCGGTACACGAATTACATCTGATGCAACAACATCGTCGGCCATTTTGATTTTCATCATGCGCCAAGTTGAAATTTCCCCGGTAGCCAAATGGAAATGGGTGTCACGCCAAGTTGATAATCAAGGTGTGGCAACCATTAGTGAAAATCCTGTAATCAGTAAAGGAGAGAGTGAGAAAATTATGAGAAAGTTAGAAAAACTTCGAGTAATAATAAATATGTCAATGATCAATTCTCTCAGACTCGTTTTGAGTTAATACATTATCCAACATATTGTGGTCAGATACAATTGTCTGCGTTAGCAGGCTGCATAAATTAACCATTTTTGGCTGCGGTATAGAGATCAGCAAACATACCGGAAGCATCGACAAAAGAAAGAGAGTCCTTGATTGAAACATCCGAGGCTGGTACAACGAAGCTACCTAAATAGGTGCTTTGTGTAAATAATCGATGTATTATACTATCCTTTTAGCTACATATAACATACACGATCAGTTCGTAATACTTAATTAATTGCTTGTGCATGTTTCACACCCACAAGATCTCAATCGGACACACGAGTTTTTTCTTCGCCTTCTGTTGTCCCATAAGACAACGATTATGATCATCCTAGAGTCCACTTTTCCGATCTGACAACAAAAACTCAAATCCGGGGTTCTCTGCCTCCTGGACTGCTTCCACCGGCTACCCCCTGGGGAAATGGCCAATCCACGCACTAACAAACGCTGATCCTCTTTACGCGATGCATTTTTATTTTACCCACGATAACCAAATCTAGCAACTATGCCACAAAAAATATGCTGGCATCCCAGCGGCTATGCGCGTGTACGCGTAGAGACACACGCAAAGCATGTGTGCGCGTTTGCATAAATCGTTTCTTATCAATTACTTCTTCTTCAAAGGGAAACTTAATATTCTTTGCTATAGCTTACAATGCGGATATGTGGAACATTCATATCTTGAGTTCCTTCTTGATTTTCGTTGAAGAAATATCGAGCGATGGAAAAAAAACGTCAAACAATATAAATAGGACCTTACAATTTACGAGCCTGACTGTCATCTTCCAACAAGTGATATCAGTCTCTCCAAATCCAAACCCGAGCTCAATAATCAAGATGAAGCTGGCTCTCCCATTGACAATCCTTTCCTATGCCTTGGCTGCTGCTGCCATTCCTGTCAACAAGAAGCGTCAAGATGCTGACCCTGAGGCTGATGCTATTGAGACCAATGGTCCTCTTCCGTCTGGTACGGAAACCTATGGTGATACCGAATTGGCATACAATACAACCGATTATCCTGATTCTGTTGAAGCTGCCTTGAATGGCACCCGTGCAGTAGCCCTTGCCGCTGTCCGTGAACCAACCGCTCAGGAAGAAGAAATGATTACTTACTACATGACCTTGGCCGGTGCTGCTTACTGCTCGAGCGTAATGAGTGGAACTTGGGCGTTGTGCTTACGCTGTGGTGATGTCCGTCATACCGAGATCATCGAAACCTTTGATACGCTTATTCACGATACGAACGCTATGGTGGTTCGCGATGATGAATCAAAGACCATTGTTGCCGTTTTCAGAGGTATATTAAGAACCTGCAACTGATTATATTACCTGTCGCTGTCACTGCTTCCAGCATCAAGCGGCTTTTGGATATCTATTAACTTGATGATTTGCAATAATTATAGGTTCCGCGTCCCTTCAAAACTGGGCTGCTGTAAGTGGTTCTACTTGGTTGAAATGTTGGGTTATAACTTATGTTCATAACCATATAATAACTTCATTTTTTCCAGAACTTGGATGCCACGCTGACTAATTACCCCGCCGGTGGTCGTGTCCATAACGGTATGTTACATCCAATGCAAAACAGTTTAAAATGGAAAATTATAATAAGAGATGTATATTGACTACCATTCATCGTATTGTGTATATATCTTTTAGGATTCTATGAGAGCTACGAAGATGTCGCTGACGAACTTACTGCTGTTGTCTTTGACCAGCTTGAACAATACCCCGACTACTCGGTTGCCACTGCTGGGTAATAAGAAGCAAGAAAAGCTTACTATGTTAAGCGATACAAACATGCTAGACGTCCGAAGCTAAATTCATCGCTCAATATATCTAAATGCAGTCATTCGCTTGGTGGTGCTACTTCTCTCTTATGTGGTCTTGATCTCCATCAACGAGGTATTCCTGCTGATAAGATTTCCATTCACACAGCAGGTGCTCCTCGTGTTGGTAATACCGCATTCGCCAATTACATTATCGACACTGGTATCTATTACACTCGTCTCACTAACAAGCGTGATCGTAAGTTTTAACCTATTCCGCACTCGTATCCGGCCTCTCCTCTCTGATATCTTAGCTCGCTAGAAACACATTATAACGATTATTACTTGTAGTTATTCCCCATGTTCCCTCAACCACAATGGGATTCATGCATGCCGGAGAGGTGAGCTAGACATCACAAATCTTGTTTCCAGAATGGACGGTTTATATCTCGAGTTAGTGTGTTGCTAAGCTATTCTTTTTGCCACTGTTTACAGGAATACTGGATCCGCAGCGATGACACCATGCAAGTATGCGAAAACGGTCTTGAGACACCTGATTGCGCTAACTCTACTCCTCTCTTTACCAACATGGCCGATCATCTTGAGTAAGTCTACATACAGTTCAAGAAGGGAATAATGATGTTCAGTGAACAGAGACTAACGCATTTCAAATCATCATTAGTTATATGGGTCTGCTCGGTCTTTGCCTCTAAGTTGTTCCAGGAAAAGGGAAACGGGCAAACCGACATCTTACTATCAATTTATCTGTCAAAGACAGAGAAACTCCATATTTTATATAAAAATGAAATAAAATCAACTGTAACTGTTATACATTATCTATCATATATCTGTTTTACAGTACACTTATGCGAGAGTGACGATGGATACTGGAGCAGGAAAAAGAAGGATGCGTGAAGTAAAAGAAGGAAGTGGTTGTAATAGCAGTTTACGTGTAAAAAAACTGATGTTGAAATGCGAATGATGCCAGGGTAGATGCTAATGAGGAGAATAGTAGTAGAGATTTATGTGCTTTCAAGACGCGTCTTGAGACTCTTGCTCCATTCCATGTAGTCTCTATAGCGCTTTGTGTCCCTGTAATCTTGACGGTTAATCAGTGACACAATGCCGGAGACGGGTACGTGTTTCTTTTCGTCTCGTGAAGGTAACACTGGATCTGCTTTTTTATTGCTGCTTTTTGCTGCTTTTTCTCGTTTTTTTGATGTGGATTCAGTTTCTTTTGCTTTTGTTGCTGCAGTTGGTCCTCGTCGTGGGCGCTTCGTGGGCGGCCCATTCTCTGCATTATCTTGTTGTTCCCGTTCCTTTTCTTCTTTATCGCCATCGTCATCTTCTGTCTCTCCCTTTCTTTTACGCCGAGGCCGTGATGCAACAGTGGATCCTTTTTTCAGTTCTTTGAGTTCCATATCAGAAACATCAGATACCGCTTTGAGGTATCTGTTGAACTCAGTAGGATTGGATGCACACATTTCTTGTAACTTGCTTTTTGCTATTCTTTCCTGTTGACAAAAGTACGTCAATCCAAAAACGTTCAATGTTTTTTTAACGAGACTACATAGTTTTATATTCTGCTTACACCAAACGCTTTCGCGCAAGAGTAGAATACTGCGCCTTTCCATGCTGGTTGGTTAAGTTCATCTTGTGCTGTCCTGCGCTGTGCTTCTCCCATTTTCGAGACATACGCCGTTGAAAATGAAGTCCATAGCTTTTGAACGTGCGGTATCATTGTTGTGCATCCAAAGGTCACGCCTAAACTTTCAAACGTAACGGTCGGTTGTAGTTGCAGTGTTTTGCGGACAACGCTGATTGTATTTTCGTATGCTCGTTTGGGACATCCCGCTAACTGTGCTGCTAGACTATTGTCCCAACCCGATCGTGATAAACTACACGTTAAATTGGATTTTGCAAATAGGTCAAAGTTTGCAAATTGAGCAATTGAACGCGTTGATGAAATGGCTTGTGTGCTCGCGGTGACAGGTACCTTTCGAACGCCATGTGGATCGCAGCGACCGTTCGGCAATTGGGACCTTTGTCAAAGATTTTGGCAGGAACATTGACAGCAAGTTGTCGTTGAAAGTATTCGGCCCGATCCTGAAGTTGTTGGTCGTCTTTGAGGTGGAGTCGATCAAGGCAGTGAAAGAGCGGATTTTCGCCAGACATTTTATAGTGTTAGTGAGAAAAGAGGAGGATTCCAAGCAAACTCAAATGCCGACGTTTAAGCCAGATACAAGCACACAGTAGCGGCCTCTTTAATGCGGGATAAAATATGCTCACAGCAACAGGAAAGCCTATTCACCGGATTTAACCAGCTTCATACTAACGACATACTAATAAGCAATCATAATGCTTTCTTTTTTTACTTTTAGAATGATCAAAGAAATTATAAACTGTACAAACAAAGAAGACTAATACATCACATGGGCTAATATTACAACTGATGCGGATAACTTCATAACTCCTCATCCTCCATCAATCTATCATTAATAAATCGCTGGACGTCACGCCAGTGTATTCTCTCCTGGCTGCCGGTATCTCTGTCGCGGATGGTCACCGTCTCGTCCTCCAAACTCTGATAGTCCACCGTGACACACCAAGGCGTACCGATCTCATCATGACGATAGTACCGTTTGCCGATCTTGAGTTTCTGTGCTTCGACCATAGTAAACCAGCCACGTCGTCGCAAGGTCTTGGCAACGGATTCTGCAAGTGGCATGAATTCGGGTTTGCCTGTGAGGGGCATTACTGCACACTTGACGGGTGCCAGACGAGGGTGCAGTCGCAGAATGTTGCGCGGTGGTTTGTTGTTTCCTTCCGACACTTGATGGAACGCATCGCAGAGATACGCCAGCATGGCACGGTTCAAGCCACAAGAGCTTTCAATGACATGCGGCACGTAACGCACAGGCTTCTCTGCTGGGATCAAGCAGTCGTCGGCTTCGATATGCGGTGACGATACACGTGCTTCCTCCTCGACCACCTCGAATGCGGCGGCGCTGTTCTTGATGTGTTGCGTCAGATCATAGTTGCCTCGATGCGCAACGCCTTCAACCTCGCCCCATCCCCATGGATAGAGATATTCTACATCGGTGCAGCCTGTGGCATAGTGGGCCATTTCGTTCTTTTCGTGGTCGCGTTGACGGAAGTTCTCTTTGTGACAGGCATGCTCGAGCCACCACTTGAACCGTTGCTCGCGCCAATACTTGAACCAATGCGATGACTCCCATGGTGGAATGAAGTACTCTAGCTCGAGCTGCTCGAACTCGGGCGTCCGGAAAATACCATGTTCTAATCGGATTTCATTACGGAACGATTTGCCGATTTGGGCAATACCAAAAGGCGGTCGCTTATTCATCGTTCGTGTCACCTGTTCAAAGTTGATAAATACGCCTTGAGCAGTTTCAGGGCGTAAGTAGACTGTGGATGGTCTGAGGACCTGGTCGACAGCTTCACGTACGGAGGTTAGGTTGTTATTGTTGTTTTCATGCTGTTGCGTGGTGGTCTGGATAACGCGGTCGATCGGATCGATCGGATCCAAAAACGTTTTAAACATCAAATTGAATGGTCGACTTGCAGTTAGGAAGGGTGAGTTGCTGTTGGGTTCGACGTAGCCATTGTAATCCAGCGGAATTGAACAGTCACCTGTTTTAGACGCAAAGTCAATGCGTCCCTTTTGACCCTGACTGTCAGGTTGCACAAACGCATTGACATGCAACATAATCCGTTTGCCTTCCAGCGTCGTCTTGATATTAGGTGCAATTTGTTCCTCAACTAGCTTTTGCCATGCTTTTGCTGTTGCTTTATCTGGTGCATCTACGGGTATACGACCACCACCGCTGACATTGTCTTTGTCTGTCGGTAGAAATTCAAGTGCAGGCGCCTTGTCAGGTCGAAATCGTTCTTTGGTCAAGATACAGTCAACCAGCAAGTCAGTAAATTCGTCCACGTGGCCAGACGCTTTTAATACAGGGTGCGGTGTCAAGATACTCGTATCAAGGCCAACCACGTCGTCTCGCCAATAAACATGTCGTTGCCACCATGAATTCAAAATGTTCTTTTTAAGCTCGACGCCTAATGGTCCATAATCGTATGCACCGCGGAGTCCGCCATAGATTTCTGCAGATTGGTATAAGAAGCCACGACGTTTGCAAAGGTCTAGTAACGCGCGGAAAGAAGCAGCAGCAGCAGCAGCAGCCATAGCGGACGTCGTTTGGTTTAGGCAAAAAGAAAAATACTGGGTAGTTGCTCGCCAGTAGAACTCGAGCATTTTGTGTCCGGAACGAAAGTTTAACCAGTCACAATGCTCGTTTGGTATGTACGTGTAATCTTGCTTTAACAACGCCTTTCTCTTACTATCTATTCTCTGCGTTTCCTCCCATAACGTCATATCAAATCAGAATGAATTCTTCCAAAGAAACTACCAAAAGCTCTGGCGAATCACAACCAGCCTCTGCGAAAAGGAACGAATGTCAGCTTTACGAATTAGTTCAATACCAGTGCGAAGTCGGGAGCACACATATTGAATGCAATCCCTTCGTTCGAGTCTTTTTACGGTATGCTTAGAAACGAACAATTACAATGCTGGCATGACAGTTGCCGAGTTATAGAGAGGGAAAAAATTCACAGAAGGGTTGCCATGCATATTCACTGAACGTTATCACGAAATAATAATCAAAGGTGTACTGGCAAGCCGACAACGGAGGTTACACCAGAATATGATCTCAATGGTGATCCAGTGACAAAGTAAGGATCGAGAGCGTAGAGAAAACGCGCATAATACCTCATTGATGCTGATTGATACGCCCATCATATGTTGATATATCTAGTGTCTTGCCTGACTTTGGAGCCGTCGGATCGAAAAAGACGCCTCCTGGCATAGCCATGATGGAAGAGGAAAACAATTGATCGTCCTGAGAGCATTTACTTTTACTGTACATACACACACACACACATTATATTCTACTTACTGCTACCACTGCACTCATTGTATACCACCAACAACAACCCTTTTTTTATGCATCATCCCTTTGTCAATTTATCTTAGACGATTCCAGCTTTATCAACCATAGCTAGTGTCAACCTCATGATCTTGATAAACCACTTGCAACTAGACGCAAAGTATAAAAACAATCCAGACGCTATTGCAGCCGTTTTGTGAAATTACCATTGCCGCATACTCTTCTTTACTGCAACATCGTCTTTTCTAAAACATGCGTCGTCTCATCCTCCCAATTTCTCTCCTGGTAGTAGCCACATTTGCTTTACAAGAAACTGACAGAGCAGCAGCATCCACCAACGAATTGTCCAGTGTCAGTGGTAATACGGGTATCTCTGTTGCTGACACCTCATCTTCCACTACCAACAATGGAGTTGAAGTCAGACGTGGCGATATCCCACTAGACGATGTTTTGTCGTCTGTCGATTCGAACTGGCGCGGTGCTTTGCAACAAGCCGCTAGTAGTTCTGGCGTTGGGAGAGTTCCGTCTGAACAAGGTGCTGAACAAGAACAATCAGCAAACGAACAAGAAGCAGCTGCTTCAACGGCTAACCAGCAGCCAGTGGAATCCGAGCCTGCTCCCGCTGCACCTCCTCCGCCAGCAGCACCGGCTGCCCAAGAACAAGCAGCACCACCTATCCAGGAACTAGCATCTACGCCACCGCCACAGGCTCAAGAAGCGCCTGCAGCACCCGCACCCGCAGAAGCACCAGTCCCAGCTACGCCAGCACAACCGCCTATCAGACAACAAGCGAGACCTGTAGTAGGACAGGTAGCTGGCGCTCCACCTGCCGCCGAGCAAGAAGGAGAGGGCGAGATGGCACCCAATGTGCAGAACCGGCAAGTAGTTACGCCGACCTATACTTTGCCGGAATCACCGACAGGAACACCCGGATACACTGATACCACACCTGCCGAAACTTATACTCCTCTTCCAACCACGATAACAACGCCTACCTTGACAACCACGCGTATGCCTACCACTGGTGTTTCCACAATAACGCACACGGTGACAGCAACCCCTTTGCCGCGCCCCAGCGCTGCCAATTCCCGCTTTGCTACAGCGTACTCTTCGCTTCTTATCGAAGTCATGCTTCTGTCATTTGTAGCTTTAGCCCTTTGAAAAGTAATATTTCCCTGTTTTACAAAATTTATAGTATATTTTAGTTTATAATACAATCTGGCTTTTCTCCTTCTTTTGCTGTAGCTTAAATAATACATCCAATGATATGTGATGCGCTTGTGTTGCTTCTGTGTACATCACGGGCAAACAGATGAGGGAGAAAAAAAAGGGGGAGGAGGGTGGTAGTATCAATGATGCGCTCTTTTCTCGAACAAGGCATGTGTCCATGAGAGTGCGAAAAAAAAGAAAAAGGCAAGAATTAAGAGCTATCTATAATGCGTATCGTCCAGTTTGCTATGCGTTATGTTTATCGGGAGTCGTGTGTGTATATCGTTGCGTTTTATATTGTAATTTGCGTTGCTGGTCGATGTAATATGTGCTGGTATGCAATCGGTTTTTCGTTTAAACGGCAAAAGATTCGCCGCATCCGCAAACACCTTTGGCATTAGGGTTGTGGAAAACGAATTGGGAAGAGAGTTTGTCTTCAACGTAATCCATTTCCGATCCAAGAACCGTAATGAGTGCTTTCGAGTCTACCAGTACGGTAACACCTGCATTTCGGGAGTAACAGCAAGAGTAAGCTATTTGTTAAAATCAAAACTTGCTGTAAATCTCTCTCTTACCGTCTTGCTGCACAATTTCGTCGAATTTTCCTTTTGAATCGGTAAACTCCAGAATATAAGAGTTGCCAGAGCAGCCTTTCTGTCTGACACCTACTCGAAGATATTGAGGCGTAGGTCCATCGGTCAATCGCCTCAATCGTGTCACTGCTGACGGGGTCTGATATAATATGCATATACAATTGAACGTGAGTAAGAGAGATTTAATGGAGGTTGTGTTTTGCTTATGAATCAAAAGAAAATCCCATAATAGAAAGCGAGAAAGATTACAAAAAAAGAGTACGTACCAGAGTCAATGCTGCTTTCCGCAGACGTAAACGAGAGCTGGCATTAGATGTTTGCTTTGCTGAATTAGCTGCTGCTTGCTTTACTACTGCACCAAGTGCCATAGTGTGTGTTGTATATTGTATGTGGAGTCGAAGAAAAAGTAACACACATTATAGATCCCGAACCTGTCCGGTTTAATATTGTGCGGGGGCAACAATCATGCGAAATTTATGTGACTACGTTGAAATGTCAGGATCCGGCACAAATCCCTTTAATTCAAATGTTTGTTATCTCGCAACTCTTCTCAGCGCATTATCATTCTTTCTGTTACAAGGCACTAGTTCATACATAGTTTGCTTGAACGAAACAATTTCTGCTTCGTACATCTTACCTCGTCATTTGCTTCACTCAACAGTTAGAATTCTGATGATGGCGATGTCGGAAAACGAGAACTTGGCAAACTAGTAGCTTCCATACAAAGTACGCTTTTCTCACGGCTTCACAGTATCATAGCAAACACCAATTTCTCTTATCGGCTGAACGTATTGCCGCAATCGAAATGCGCGTTGATTTTCTTTCGAAAGGTCCATGGAGAGGTGAATTTTAACAAACCAACAAGCCCAAATATGCTACAGGTATAAAGAAACGTTACAGATTAATTTCAAGTACGAAGGTTGTTTTAGATATCTATATTTTGGGTGAGCCAAAAATAGTGTTATATACACCTCAGGGATACAAAACGCATATACTCACCCGGATTGGCCAATATGCTCGAATGAAAAAGCATGATTTTTGCGTGTACGACAGTGATGGTGGATCTCTACCTGCTGATTGTTATAATCCGATCTCCTGCGTATTATTCTCATACGTTATATAGGTTTATCATTACATGATTGTTCAACATGTATTTTTTTGAGTATGCACTCTGTGGCCCATGGACCTGTTGTCTGCAGATTTAATACGCGGCGATTACGACAATGATTTACTGCTTCACTTCTTGATTCAAGTTTGCTTGACCATACAGTATCACAGAACTAGTAGCATCTTGGTTCTTATCCACTCACTGAATGATCCTGAGTGAGATGCATGCAAAACAGTTGCGAGAACGAGTTGCTATTGCAAAGCGTTATATACTAATTAACTACGGATGTTTTTCTTATCTTCAAACTATGCTCAAAAGGGAGCCCAGTTGGTTAAAATATCTTCGGGACAGTCAAAACTTCAGTACTTCAATCCTCCATTGCTACTCTATAGTCACTCTGTCATCTACACAGGCCAACTTGTGAATGATTCCTTATCATATGTGGATTAGCTGACATGGAAGCAGATTGCATGAAAGGAAGACTCTCGGTAATTCAGCTATTGCATCCTATTGATCGCATTTGATGCTTTTCGCTTCTATACTTACAGATATCACAAGCATTCTCTTCAATTACAATGCACATACAAGAAACAAAATAATTTCGGATTACCAAAGACCCCTAAGCGTCGCAGCTTGAATGGTACATTTGAACTACAAAAGAGCAAACAAACCCAAAGTTCTGTCACTAAAGGCATAAGTACTAAGTACAGACCACCAAGCCAGCAAGTTCTGCTTAAAAGTGTTGTCATTAAGAAAACCAGAAGGATGGATGGGAGGAAGTCAACACTGAGGAATCGTCAGACAATACCATTTGTATCAGAAAATGCTTATACTATATGATATACTGGCTGCTTGGGCTTGTCTGTCATCTGTCCCAAAACACATTATAGCGCCGGATAAATCGTATTTACACTACTGCCTTTGAAAGGTCCTGATATTGGTCCTAAAATCCAAGTCTGCTTTTCATTTTTGTACCATCATGCAACTGCGGCTTTATATTTAATACGTGGAAATTGTTTTAATACTCTTTGCCTTGCTTAATCGATGGCTAAGGAAATCAAGAAACTACCGGCATCCGCTTTTTGTTTTAATAGACTATTTAAAAGCATGTTTCCAAAGCATCCAACTTATATCTTTCCATCGCCCTTGCTGATGACGGTAATTGCGACAATAAAGCTTTCTTCTTTTCCCTCCTCTTTCTCGTCCATCGGGAAACAGAAATGCAAATGACCCTCCATCACTTTGAAGTATATAGTAATTGCTTCGATATCTTGAGGTTTAGTGCGATCTCCTTCCAAAGTTTTTTGTCTGAGATTCATCCACCTTACTTTTTTTTGTTCCGAGATATATATGGGCAATGATGCACAAGTTGAATAGAGCTACTACCATACCTACTTTCCCAACGTAGGCACCGTTAATGTCAGATACGATATTCACGAAGAATGGCTACTGCAGTAACTAATCGTGTACGAATATCCGACAGTTGAGTCATTCTCATCAACACTTTGTTGAAATAGAAACATATAGCTCCATAACACATCATTTCTCCCTAAATAGCAAGTTGACCGCCGGGATGACAAATGGTTGTTGAGCAAGAAAGACATGTTCGTTCGACAACCATCCACAGCAGACTCACATACTACGATTCATAAGGGTTCATATGTAGTGCCACCATATGTCATACTGGCTCTTATAGTTTTAAGCGACGAGCGGCGAAATGCTTGGGTGTGTTCCACGATATGTGTGTATGATCGATCGAACAAACGAATGGAAATGAACAGCTCATCCATAAAGGACGACTAAGAATGACACGCTTGTTCAAAGCACTTATTATTTCTAATTTCGAACTTTAGAAGGCAATCGAGTATGATCAACGCCATTCGTTTCGAATTGTTGTCATGCGGCAACATCGACTCAGGTTGTGTCTCTTTCCACAAGCACTGACGACACCCACAACTACTGCGTTTTTTATATCATTTTCTTTGTTTTTAAATTGTGTCCCCAATGACAATGCGCTTCTTCTGAAAAGAAAAACACACGTCATTAGGAATGAAAGTGGTGAGATCTTGCCCCCAAGGGCTTATTGAGGAGAGATATGGTTTTTCACACACACAAACGTGTATCTGCTTGCTTCACTCTCGCCGGAGGGGGACCATCCAGGGGCTTTCGGGGTGCCCCAGAGTAGAGTAAAAAAGGAACCGTTAGTAGCCGGGTACTTTCTATCCTAATTACAAAAAGAGTGACAATGAACGATAAAGAAAAGGGAAAAAAGGCGGACAAGACAGGGTGCGGGAAAGGCAACGAGTCGGCGTAGTGGAGGTATAGTTTTTATTAGCAGTTGTTCTTCTAGCTACTTTGTGGGAGCCGGTTATACTCGCATATGCAAAAGGCGCAACACTGCACTGCCAATAGCCAACCCTACCAACCTGCTCCTTTTCTCTTCCCCCAAAGAAGCAGTCGTAGGCGTCCCCTGAAGGATGGTTGAGGGAATCTAGGGGGATTGGGCGAGAGTGAGCAAGCAGCCGTTTGTGTGTGAAAAAAAAAGTTGGAGAGGAAAGGGAAAGGAAAGGAAAAGAGTGAGATAAGAAAAAAAAGGACCTGGACCAGTTCTTTTATCTTTGGTTTTTTTAGCCCCCGCCCAACCGCCGCAGCATGCTCATCACATGGCTTTCTCTTTCAAAGCGTAGTCATAAAGGGCAGTGACTTGCATGAGATGGTGATGGTTGGTGTTGTCTATGAGAACGGTTCGCTGCGATACTGGAAGTGTGTGCACCTTATGCAGCTCATTGTTCTCTCTAGATTCTTTTTAAGACACCGCCATGTCAATGCGACGCGACCTTTGTTGCCTGTCAGTGTTCTGGCAGCATATCCAAATGAGTATTTACGCTGATGTCGATTGGTTTTATACAGACTGCCCGTACTGGGAAGTAATATCGACTGTAGCTTTGCCCTACTTGTTCTCCGCTGTTGCGATAGCTCTGTCCAATAAAGAGCCTGGTTCTTTCATATAAAGGTATGTACTTGTGTATTTTTTGATCCGCTACTGTCCAAATTGTCACTGGCTGCATTTCCAAACCAAGAAGCAGCTGATTGCGTACGTTGACAGGCGCTCGACCTTGTATCAGCATGTATGATTGATTAAATTACGATAAATCTTTTGGGTTAACGGAATGCTGTTTGAATACACTGTATGTTACATATTACATCGAGAACACATTACCGTCCGCTTTTATTATGTAGAGTAGGCGTATATTAAAGATGTAAATACAAGCGATCGTTAAGATTAAGACACAATTTGTTTCTATATACTACAAATCCCGTTTCAGTCCAACTCTTGGAGTGTCTTCCCGTTTCTGACCTCGATATGAGGAGGAGGAGAGAACAACATTGCACCAACTTCTCAGAACGCTAGTCTTTGGATCCCAAAAACGCGCTTGTACTTCATCTCGAGCACAGTTATGACCATCGTTTTGAATCTCATTTGTCTGGCATGCTCCGTTGCCGAGGTCATCAACATTTTGCCGAGCCCCATATTTTGACAGTCAGGATGTGTCGCAAGTAGTGCTATACAGTATTCGTCAAACCTATTCTTCGCAGTAGTATGGTCGTTGTCGTCGCCGTTGTCTTTGCTCCCGTCACCAGCTTTAATAGATCCATTGATGTTTACAACACAACAACTTTTTTTTCTTTGATTTACTGTTATCATTACTGCTGTTGGAACGATATGTCAATGAATAGCCAAACATACATCTCTCCAATACGCCAAGAAAGGTAGATTTCATGCCAGCTTTACGGATAACTGTAACAATATAATGGCTTGTAGCCCGGTCACCATGTATAATGTCTTTTCCCGAACTTTCTAGAATATAATGCAGGTGCATGTACACGTTAAGAAAATAAATCAATACCCATTTACGCTGGTCACTATCGTGCACGTCAATGATACGAAAAGCTGATGAACTACTGTAAGAAAGGATATCTTGTGAGTGGATTGGTAAGTCATTCAGAGTTAGGCGATGCGTATAGAAGGTCTTCAGTGGGGAAACCATCTTGTGTGTTTGTCTTTGACAGGCTGCTGCTGTTGGTTTTAGTGTGGCAAGAGTGGAAAATTGAGAAGCAAGGATTATATTGACAATGAGCCTATCCTTTATAAGGATGGATTTCTAAAAATTGGTATGTATCCCTAAAATATAGACTGTGCACCACGACATTGAATCATATTATACCCACTATGTACATGGTGAGTAATATCTACTAAATGAGCATCAGGTGACGCACGAATTAAGTCTGTATAGCGAGACGGCTCTTTTTTTTTATAACTGGATAGATAAAATTACAACAACATATATAAAAAACCAATAAGTACAAAATTAAAAGTGATGATTGACGAGCTTGAATATCAAAAGGCGTGGGTGGAAAGAAAAACGGTGGTAGAGGTATTAGATGGAAAAAAATATATATACATGATGTACAAAACAGAACAAGAACTTTTCTGTCATTAATCTTTTACGGTGTCCTACGGAAATGATTCCTTAACCGTTCAAGAGAGGTATCAAAGATATCGGCCACAAGTGCATACCCAGGCAAAGGATATTCCTCATACATATTCAATGGAGATCGTTTCTTCGTCCTCATAAACACTTCCAGAAGCGATAAGGATGTGGGAACATGATGGCCAGATGGAAGAAATGAGTCGATGATGGCAAAGCACTTGTGAAACGCTGCTTGCACTTTTGGTGGAAACTGAACTTCACTAGTAGCTGTGACGTTGCATAGCGCATGGAGGAGTTGCATCAAGAAATCAAAGGGTACTGTCATATTTAGAGAAACAGGTTAATGCGTTATTAGGTTGAAACAGTTTCCATAATCACACAAAAACAACGAAGACTTACGTGGAAGTGAGTCTGTCACCAGTTCCAAATTACGTCGAAGTGCAAAAATCATGATTTCGGATGATCGTACGGAGGTTGTGAAGGCGCGTTGCTGTATAGCTTCCAGTACGTCTTTGGTGATCCCTGAATCATTGCTTAGATGGCGTGGATGTAGCAAGCATGAATGGAAGATCGTTGTGAGCGTGTGGATAAATGCAAGGACCAGCGTTTGTGTTGGTTCTTGTATGTTCTCTATGTTACCCAGCGCTTCCGGGGAATATGGGTCTTCAAACGGTCGAAGCTCGTCTGGTAAATCGGCCCACCATTGCCGTGCAACAGGTTCAAATTGCAATATCAAGTCAAGGCTCAATTCTCCAGGAACGCCATGTACATTGCAATTTATTTGTTGCTACAGGTTTTTGTTTGTGTAAAAGAAAAAATTAATTTTATATACAACATTGTCATTAATCCCATTTCAATATAGCTCTTACTTACCATGACCATAGCTGAAAATGACGACGACGCAAATCGTAGAAAATGATTATACACAGATATATATTTTCGTGTGATTAACGGTTCATCAGGCGCCGTCTCGAGCTCGATGGGCGTAAATCGATAATCAGTCTTGTCATCCAACACCATATCACACAGTCGAATAAATGCTTGGTGATATATATAGTGTCGCTGAAACATAATCCTCGCAACCAGCGGCGTGCTAGAACGGTCACTGTAAAGAGGTTCGATATCCTTGCAAATCAAATAACCAATCGTTGCCAACCTCCGTGATTCATCGTACTGGATCAATCCATCAGCCAAGTACTGTTGCAAAAAAGTAATCGTCATGGAAATCTGCAATTTCTTGGTTGGATCATCGGGCATATCGTACACCATATCTTTGCATTTCAAGAAAAAGATCTCGGCAAGATTTCGTCGTTCTGCTGGTGACATGTTGGTATGAATCCGGGGACTGACTATTGCATCCACGCAGATAGCCAAAGTGAGCGAACATTTCATTGGGTCTTGCAAAGATCGATAATGTGCCAGAAACGTGGGAACATGGATCAAGCCCACGCTGGGGTTGCTGTGCTTTATATATTCCATCACAAGCGTATCGATAATTGCCCGATAGTTGCAGCTGAGTGGCTCGTGCGTAATGGCGAGTCGTTTGCGTGGTTTTCCGGCAACGGACCGTGATATGAAGCGGAATGGGGCAAGCGCTATACTGGCCGAAGTTGGTTCAAAGTAGACACGCTCTTTTTCAAATAAACCAGCAAATGGTGATAGATAACGTAGAGATGCCTGGCTGTATATGTACAACTCTTGTAGGTTTTTGATGCTGCTTTCCAGTCGCAATCGGCCATCAACTACGCTCAGCTCCCAATGTGTTTGCTGCTGCTGTAGATCGTTTATTGACATGGTCGTAACTGAAGTACTAGTCTCTGAGCTAGCCGAGCAAACGGATTCGCTGTACTCGCTAGGCGTTGTTGACCGACTAAAGTCTGGAGGTGTATTGAGATTACTGGACGGTAGTGGTAGTGCCTGCTGTTGTGCTATCGTCGACTGCCGGATCGCTTCGCTCAGTTTCTCCATTTCGGTTTCAAGCTGTAAAATCTGATTTTGCCAGTATTGCAAACGAGCATAATTATACTCATTCTCGACGTCGTCATCGTTCAAGTCAGGGTCATCGATGGGAATGCACTCGAGGTGGATTTTCGCACAGCGTTCACAAATTGTCGAATCGGGTCGATAAACGCATTTCCGACGACGAATTCTGCAGTCTACAATGAAATTAACAATTGTATTAGAAAGAAGCTATAAAAAGCGGTTTACTTTACACTTTTTATAATACAAAGATATAAAGTTGGTACTGACTGGAGCACGGCGTATCGTTTCTCATATAACCAAAATCCAAAAGAAGAATGACAAAACCACCTCTCCCCCGCTGCTTTACAATATAAGCTATTGCTGGGTTCAAGTCGAAAACCAAAATTCCGACGAGATCTTGTCCTTTTCAATGGCGAACAAAAAAGTGTTATCTTATCAAGTCGAAGCGCTCCAGAAGATGAGACGCAGTTGTAGGAATATCAGAAATCAATGCGAGTCCGAGTAAAGGGTTTGTTAATAAACAATTACAGGGGAAGGTCTTCTTTATAGTTCTTCAGCAGCTGTCGACGTTGATGTTGCTGCCAGGAAAGATTCTAGTTTTGAGTAGCCCAAGGGAACACGGTGATCCGTGGGAATATAACATTCAAATAAACCAGAGCATTTCTCTGGTATCTTCTGCATATCTGAGAAATGGCCGAAAAATGGGATATCTCTCAAGTCGTAATAAATCGAAATGGGCCACTAATATATCGTGGGCGTATAGTTATAAATGACATGGTAAGTATATCGTTGATCGGAAAGATACAGTAAGTATGACCAATCAGATACAAAGTCTACCATTAACTACGCATAGATCTTATGTCGCTTTCAATACAGCTGATGGTTATCGCATAGATGACAGCTTTGCATGAGCGCCAAGTAGGTGACGCGACCTTTTCTTGTAGTATCTTGACCAGATCATGATTCTCGACGAAATTCGAGCTCGAAGAATTGTCGAGTGGATAAAAGCTGTCCATATAATATGTAAAGTAACAAACGGTAGTACCGCCATCCTTGCGTTTTAGGGTATAATGCAGTAGATGGAACATCGCAAATTCGTAGCTCCGCAGGAAGTTCCATCCACCAACTACAAGCCATTGTTTCAATTGCAAAACAAAATCGGGACGAAGCTCACTTGGTTTGTCATGAGTAATCTGATATATTTTTCATTGTGTGTGTGTGCGTATCGATTACTTGTAGTTTCACATACAATTGTTGTTGCACTCATCATGATACATCGAAAATAAATGTACTAATACTTGTCAGTATTTATTCATGTAAGGCGTTTTGAATTGTCTCATTATTGCGTAATGGGCCAAATAATGCTCAAAAGATGCTTTGTGGCTCGCCACTGAAGACTGGAATCTCATCCTCGTCCATGGAATCTACAAAAGTAAAGTTGACCTTGCCGTCTAAGGACAAGGCAAGCATACGGTGATGAGTTTTGATTCCGTGCCAGTGTCGCTGGAGCAAAATTCGATCCACGGGATCAATGTTCTTTAAGCAACAACTGTCGTCGTTACAACGGTACCGATATTCCAACTCGTGACATAGCAGCAAGCAATGATTGTCAGCAATCGTGCCTAGATACAGTCAATGTGCACAGTAAAAAGATAAGATAGTATAAAAGATACAGTCATGTTTGTTTCCAGTTGATGCGCAGGGTCGTCAAATATGTCGGTAATTGTTTTACACTTGTAATAAGGATAGTCGGCAATATATCTGATCTCTACCGTTGAAAGCTTAGTAAGGTGATCGAGCAGACTGTGACTTTGGCACAGAGAGCTAGTGCAATTGGACACTCCAATGGATCATCAAAGCTTTGAAGATACTGTCAAAGGTAGGTTCGTGTAGTAATCCAAAAAGCTGGTGCATATGTTTCAGATATAATGATTTCACCTGAGCCACCTATCCTTGATGGTCGGTATTGAAAGAAGCATTAGCAGGCGTAAGGAAAACACCCCCTAGAGGATCATAGTACGTGATGCGATGCGGCTGTCTCTGTAAACTGTTTTCAACAAGTTGCAGAGAAGGCAGTCGATTCGAGGCAAAACAAAGCTGACAGAAGCAATGGCAATACTGGCAGATAAGCTCTCAAAGTCGATATGTTCCTTTTTAAAAATGCCGTTCAATGGTGATAGGTAGCGTATGGAAATTTGAGAAAAGGAGAGTAGCTCGGTGAGGGTTCTGATGATGGAGCTGCCAAGTCGCGCATATCCGTCAACGTCAATGCTGAGTTTCCATTCTGGGCTGATTTTACCAAGAGACTGTTGCCAGTGCCGCTTTGCTCTCGGCAAAGAATGACCGCTTATGTTGTCGCTTTTGGTTTTTGCCAATTTTTGCAATTCTGTTGACCGTCTAGTGAATATGCTCTTGTTTCGTTGCTGCGGCGATCGGTAGACAACTGACTTGCAGTCTGAAACATCGCATGCATTTGGCTGTGGTAGCGTTTGATTCCCAGCAACATTTTCTCCTGACAGCTCTGCAGCCTAAAATAAAATTAGACGCATCGTTCCTTGTTCAGATCTGACTACTACATAGCAGATGGATAAAAGGCATCGATGTGAAATCTGTTCGGAATATACTGTATTATGCTTACACGAGTTCTGGTTTTGCATGATATGTAATTATGTAAGAAATGATAGTAGCAGCAGCAACTTTTTATACGCATGGCTTGGTGCCCTCTCATTTTACAAATTAGGGAAGGAGTGGCAGGCGCCCTACGTTCAATCCTTATCATCATCTCTAGTCCGTGGAACCGTACATAGTCCTGTTGAAACGTTCTGTGAGTTGCTACTTACATGAATCAAAATGATGCATATCTGAGAAACACCTACTATGAGCCCGAGATGTCAAAGATAACTGAATGCACAGGTTTGCTTTAGTGCACAATTTATGGTGCGCACAAATTCTGTAGCTGGGCGGGCATGCCTCTTCATGTGTCGGAGCCACGGATGTGCGTGGGAAAAAAATCGAAAATCACGCACACCTCCCCCCACATTTTCTTCCTTCCTTTTTTTTTTTCTTTTTCTTTTAGCTTTTTCTTTAGCGTTACAAAAGATGCTTTCATCACGTCTCCTTTCACAAACTGCTCGTGTAAGTCTTATGTCTTGACGCTTATAGCACATATGCACCTTGTAAGTGACCTATGTCTCTTTATAAAAGTCCACCGTCGGCTCCGCTCGCCATGCTTTCAAACGATACGCGTCCTCTGGCGCCTACAACGCAGCCGTTGCCAACTTAACGTCTGAACAGGAAGAAGTGAGTATATGCTACTCAAGATGGTGTTTACGAAAGGTGTGGATGAGAGCGCTCAAATTGATATGCTTGATTTAGCTCCGTGAAGCTGTCCACAGTTACGTCCAGGCCGAACTGGCTCCACGCGCTGCAGAAATTGACAAGACCAACGAATTCCCAATGGATATGTGGAAGAAGTTCGGTACCATGGGCTTGCTTGGAATTACTGCACCTCAAGAATATGGCGGTTTGGGGTTGGGTTATCTGGAACACACGTTTGTCATGGAGGAATTGTCGCGCGCCAGTGGATCGGTGGCTCTGAGTTACGGTGCCCATTCCAATCTGTGTGTCAACCAATTAGTCCGAAACGGTAACGAGGCACAAAAGCAAAAGTACTTGCCAAAGGTATGAAACTGACTTTTTTTCTTTGGCTTTTGAAAAATGGAACGGGTGGGGTAGAATGACACTGGTTCTTACAAAACCTTATGCTCCGTAGCTTATTTCTGGCGACCATGTCGGTGCCTTGGCCATGTCAGAGCCTGGCTCTGGTTCAGATGTCGTCAGCATGAAACTCAAAGCGGAAAAGAAGGGTGATCGGTATATCTTGAACGGCAACAAGATGTGGATTACCAACGGCCCGGATGCCGATGTTTTGATTGTTTACGCCAAAACGAACCCAGAGCTTGGTCCTCATGGTATCACTGCCTTTTTGATCGAAAAGGTAATTTATTTGTTTTGTCGGTAGGAATAGAAGCCACAGAGATGGAGAAAAACAAGCCTTCTGACAGTACTTGGTCGTGGTTTTTTTTAGAACTTTAACGGTTTCTCGACTGCACAAAAGCTGGACAAGCTCGGTATGCGAGGTTCCAACACCTGTGAGCTTATTTTCGAAAACTGTGAAGTTCCTGCCGAAAACGTGCTTGGTGCTGAAGGAAAGGGTGTTTATGTCCTGATGAGCGGTTTGGATTTGGAACGGTTGGTCCTATCTGGCGGTCCTTTGGGTCTTATGCAAGCAGCTTTGGATGTCACTGTGCCTTATGTTCACGAACGTCATCAATTCGGCCGACCTATTGGTGAATTCCAGGTTAGTCTTTTGAAGGACTATATTTTTTTGATAAACTTGGGTGAGAAAGGAAAGCTGAAAAAGCCTTTGTTCAATTGCCTCTAATTATGAAACCATACGTTTGTAGCTTCTCCAAGGCAAGCTTGCAGACATGTACACTAAATTAAACGCATCCCGTGCATACGTATATGCCGTTGGCCGTGCATGTGATAATGGCAATGTTAGCAACAAGGACTGTGCCGGTGCTATCTTATACTCTGCTGAACGTGCGACTGAAGTAGCCCTTGATGCTATCCAGTGCTTAGGCGGTAATGGATACACCAACGAGTACCCTACCGGCCGTATCCTGCGTGATGCCAAGCTGTATGAAATCGGTGCAGGCACAAGCGAAATCCGTCGCATGTTGATCGGTCGTGAATTCAATAAGCTATATAGAAAGTAAAATAATAAGCTATATATAAAAAAGATAGCATATATCATATCATCATATTATACATCCTTAATTTTCATGAGCTCTTCGTTTAACAATATAAATCCCCTCATCTTCTGCCAAAGCATATCATAAAATAAGAGTAAATACAAGAATGTTGCATAGCACATAATTGCCATGGAAACAGATCTAGGCATAGCACCCAAACGTTATGGTAACAGATCCAGGTGTGATAACCAATAGTACTAGTTCCCATGACAACAACGAATCCACTTATAGCAACCAAGTCTTGCGGAGCGATTTATGACATAATAAGGCTAGCGTTATTTTTCAATTCCTCCACCCCTCCGCTTCTTAGCTTCTAAGCAACAGTATGATAAAAAATTACCTGTTAGGTTTTTTCACCTTTATTCTTTTTTTAAAATGTCATCAAATCCACTAATTATAAAATGACATTGTTGTTGCTGTTGGAATCTTTTTTGCCGTCGTTTGGTTGACATTTTTTCTTCGCTACTAGACACCACGTTACTTGGTTATAGTAAATTCTGGAAGAAGAATTAGAAAAAAGAGAAGAAGAAGAAGAATCGAAGAATTCTGGATTTCTTGCTTTGACAAAAGAAGACAACGTCTTTTGCCTAAAAAGGAAATAATGTTATCCTGGACATTCCGTACGTCAAAAGTACGTAGCAAAACGCGCGTAATCGGAGTGCTCGCACTGTGTATATATATCTGTATACCGCCTACGATGATGAAATCGTTGAGATGTAAAATTCACGTCTTAAGCTTTATTGCATTGTGGAGTATCCTCTTCTGCCTTCCTTCTGAAGTTTGCGGTTATACATATTTTTTGGTTAACATCACTTAAAGAAACTGCTGTACCAGCAAGAGACATCAATTTAATTAGTAGCAGTAGTAGTTGCTGTCCAACAAATACACTTTTTTAATTGTGCAGGGAATATATTCCAGACAGAGTAAGAATAAGTATGGTACAAGTATACGTTTTGATCTACTAGATGTTTTCAATGTGAGTATGTACGGGACGATTATATATGATCAGACTACTGGTTCATTGAGCAAGTCTCTGATAAGTGATCTTGGGAACCACAGTAACGGCAAACATCCTTAAAAAGTGGGGTCAAGGGTATTAGCAAAATTTATTAAATCTTTGTACGCAAGGCTTCTTTTTTTTAGACTGGATCAATGTATTTACCTGACATTCGGCGCTGGTATGGCCAGATCCACCACAGTTGCCACATCGAACGACCGCATTTTTGTTGTAGCGTCTACCGCGTTGGCTGGTACGCATTTCTTCACGATAACCAGCAAACAAGTCCTGGTTTCCGAATCCCGCAGTTGCGCCACCAAGACTTCCACCACGCTCGCGATTATGATGACTATTATTGTTGGAGGACGAGGATGCAGCGGCGGCAGCAGCAGCAGCAGCCGTAGCCGTCTGGAGCTGACCCTCCAACGTACTGATTCTTGCTTCAAGTGACAAAATGTATCTTCTGGCCTCTTCCATTTCCGTCTGTTTACGAGCCTCAAACAGTTCCAGCAGTTGGGTTTCGCGTTCGCGGGACAAGGACATCAATTCCGTATAACGGCTCGTCTGCATAGACATTTCTTGCTGTGCTCCAATCAGGGTTTGGAGTAGACGCGTGTTGTCGCGTTGCAGGTTCTGGACAAAGTTGACCAGACTGTCATGGCTCATGACACGCATCTGTTCGGCAGGCACGATATCTTGCTGGTGTTGCATGATGAGCGAAGAGGTGGCCAATGCGGCAGCCGTTGCTGACGCAGCAGTATTAGTGAGACCAGGAGCAGATGACGCGGTGGCGGAAGTAAACGTTGCTGTGTTGCTGGCCATTGTTTGTTGGGGTACTGCTGGAGTTGTTGCTACTGGAGCGGCAGCTGCTGGAGCGGCAGCTGCTGGAGAAGCCAGACCAGGAGGAGGTGGAGGTGCAGCAGTCGACTGTTTAAGGATATCTTTGAGCGTAAAGTTGACGACTTCGTTTGGTTGCTGTTGTTGCTCTGTAGGCGTAGCAGTACCGGACGTACGCACTGATCCACGTTGCTGCTGCTGCTGCCAATGCTGGCTAGTGTTGTCGCTATCCCATCCACTGTCAGGAATACTTCTGGGTTGCTGGTCATCGCTTTGGTCGTCACGCGTGTTCCAACCTGTCGTGTTACCCCATCCACTGTTACCGGCGCTGCTCCATTTGTCAACTGGTTTTTGTTCCTGTTGCTGTTGGCGATCTCTGCTACTGTAGTTGTTATTGTTACTAGTGTTGTAGCTAGTAGATTGTCGGTTTTTGTTATTGTTGCTGGCCTTCTTTTCTTTTGAGCCCCAACCATTGGATCCTTGGGTTTTCCATCCATCATCAGCTCCTACGTTCCAACCACCGTCATCGATCGTCTGCTTTTGCGATGCGCCCGACCCGCCATCGGTCGTCACCTGTGCGTTACTGCCCCATCCTCCATCAGATGATTGTCTTTGTGGTGTACTAGCAGGCTTGGTCTCTTGAGTTCCCCATGTGTTGTCCTTGGCTGACCATCTATCATTCGACGTTTGCTTCGCCTCAGCTCCCCAACCGCTATTGCCTGTTTGCTTTGGTTCAGCTCCCCAGCCGCCTTTAGTAGCCTCTTGTTGAGGTCCCCATCCGTCATTGGCAGTAGCGGCTTTCTTGGCCTCTTGAGAATCCCATCCATCGCTGGCAGCAGCAGTAGGTTCATTCGTGGATTCTTGGATTCCCCATCCACTAGCGACTTTTGTGTTTTGGCTGTTCGATGCGTCCCATCCATCAGTAGCAGGTGAAGCAGGTGCAGCGACCGGCTGTTGCTGTTGCTGAGGTTTCTTTTTGGATACCACTTCATTCCAACCGTCATTCGTCGTTGACACTGTCGGTGCCGATGAGGTTGATGGAATTGATGTTGGCTTTTTGGATTGCTCAGGTACGGTGGGTATATTACTGGTAGTGGTAGTGCTGGCAGCAGAGGGTTCGCGCTTGTCCTTTGTACGCGTCCAAATCGCCGTGTTCTCCGTACTCCAAGCATCCGCCTCAGTATTGCCCTTGTGTGCCGGTGACTCACTCCAACCACTGTCATTTTCATCAAGTACTGGCTGTTTCTTGACATCATCAACGATCTGACGTTGTTTACTCTTGCTCACAGTTGATTGAGCAGATTTTGTGTCGCTGTCGCTGACTGGATTTTTCGACGCGTTCCATCCTTTCACCATGTCTGCAGCATTCACTGCACCCCAACTACCAAGTTCTGGTGATGGTACGACCGGAGCCGGACCGGTTGCTGGTGCTGGTGCTGGTGCTGGTTTAGGCGTTGGGGCATTCGCCTTGGTTGGGGATGCCGGTTTTGGTTTTGGTTGCTGTTGTAGTGGTGGTGCAGCTGTCGAACTTGCCTTCGCTGCGGGTGTTACAGCTGCAGTAACAGTAGGCGGCGGTGGTGTTGCCGCCTTTTTAGGCTCAGGTCTAGATCCATCCGCCTTTGACTTTGGAGGAGAGGGTGTGCGTGACTTTTGAAGAGATGGTGTTGTAGCAGTGACAGCAGCAGCAGCGGGAGTTGGCGTCGTTGGCTTTGATGATGAAGATATTGCTACTGGCTTCGAAGCTGGCATTGGTGATGCTGGTTTCGAAACAGGAGTTGATGCTGTGGGCGATGTTGTTTTGGGCTTCGTAGTAGAATTGCTTTGTTGCTGCTGCTGTTGTTGTTGATGAATTGTCGCCTTCTTTGGTGCTGGCGAAGAAACAGCAGAGCTCGACTTGCTGCTATGATTGCTGGTAGTAGCGGTAGTGGTCGACGCTGAACCAGCAGTCTTTTCGTCCAAAACAGCACCACACAGCTTGTTGAGCATTTCAAATCGTTCAGAAGCCAATTGACCCTCCTGCTTTGAGTCAGCACTGTTGTCAGCAGTTCCGTTTTTGCCTCTTCCCTTTCTCTTCTTTCCGCCACCGCCAGACATCTCTTGCTGTTCCGCTGCCTTTTGTTCCACAATAGCAGCAGCCACCGCTGCAGCGTCTTTGCCATTTCCACTCAATGACTGGAGCAAAGTGTACTGTCGCTGCATAGCCAAATTCTCGCCTTGAATGCGCATGCCTTCCTTCAGGAACAACCGACCCAGGATACCTGCCAACTCGCGCCGACCCGTGGCGACACCATCCTCAAAGTCTTCAAAGAGGTACTGACGTTCCTCGACCATTTCCTCATGCTCGATCGTGAATCGCTTGATCTCCCGCTCAATCGTGATCGCCTCCATCAACTCGCCCTCTTGCATCAGCGCTTCAATACACACAAGGAAGAACTTGGAAAACAACTGCTCGGGGAAGATCGTTTGCGTGAGTTGGTATCGGAAATGTTGCCGGATCGAATGGTACCCTCCTTCAGCCTTCTTTATCTGCTTTTTGAATGCCTTGTTGTTGGCAATCTTGTCGAGCCGCATGGTCACGCTTGGTTTGCCTTCCTCGTATGCCTTTTTCAGCGCTTCGATTTCGGCCACATATTCCTTGATCCGTGCCTCTGTCTCCTTCGCGACACTCTCGATGGCAGACTGGACGTCCTCGATAGGTTGTAGTTTTTCAAACGATTCGGTCACCGCATCACAGTTCTTTTTATGGGTAGCATCATCTCTGTTCTCAAGTGAAGCCATACGCTTGGCCGCCTGACTCATCGCCGGCATGACCAGACTGCACAGGTTGCTCACCAAGGCACACGCGGCCAACAGTCGCGGCAAGGCAAACTCGGATAGAAACTGCTGTGCTTTGCGCACCAAGTCTTGGAAATAGTCATTGAACGCAGCATCCACAGTAGCAAGATCAACGGGAGTCCGCTGCTTTTTCTTGAAATTGGCAGCTAGAGGTGTCCAATAGTCTGTAAATGCCGTGATATCCTGCTTGCTCGCAAAAGAGTCGATATCCTTCTGACACTCGTCCTTGCCAATCACTCGTACCCGCTCCTTGTCGACCGAGCGCAATTGTTCCATGAATTCGGTCAGGGGCTGCCACGATTTGGTGAGTGCTTGCTCCAACTGTACCAGGGCCTTTTGGACCTCAATGGCCAATTTTTCGTTAAAGATGTTGCGGTCCACGTCCAAGTCGCTCGGCGATTTCCATTCAGGTCGCTTATGGTCGCACATGGCCTCCTTGTGGGAGAGTAGCACGTCTCCCGTCAAGTTTTTCAGCAAGTTAAATTCCTTGGATGGAAGATACACGTGTTGTCTTTTCACTACCAACGGGTCCAATAGTCGTGCGGGCTCCTTGGGATCCTCCACCTCGAATAGCGCCTCGTCGTACGGGTCAAACTGTACAGGTTCATAAAATGATGTCAATGTTGTCAAGCTGCTCGGTGCTTCGATCCAAGCAATGCACGCCGAAATGATCTCCTCGATCAAAGTTTGCTGTTGTCGTTGTCGTTGTTGTTGTTGTTGCGTTTTGCCATTGTTGTTACTAGTGAGTGTGGTAGTGGTGGTTGAAGCAGTCCCGTCTTGGTCCACCTTTTGCTTAACGGCACGGAACAAACCGCGAGCATTCTCTTTCTGGTCGTCACCGTTCGTGGCATTGTTAGCAAAACGCAAGCGGTAGCGACCGGCTTTCAACAACAAAGGTTGTTGCTGCTGACTGTCTTGAGCTTTTTGCGACGACGCGACATGCTTTTTATAAATGTACTGGGCCCATTCGCGACAAAAGTAGCAACGCGTCTCCGGGTGACAGGGGCGGAATCGCGTGAGTTCTTTGGAAATGACACCATGTTCAATCTTGAGGGCTTCAATGAGATTGTCCGCGTTTGCCATCGTGTGCGAATTGTTAGTCTTTCCAGCTCTTTAGGAGAAGTGTATAAACGTGGGTGTATGGAAATATCGTATTTACACCACGGCCAAGCGGAAGAAGAAGACGTGCGTGGTGCGTATATGGCTGTCCGTGGAAAAAAGAAAAAGGTGTCTTTAAAAATCGACACCGTTTTTGACAGTCTCCAAGCCATTCATTTTACACTTGCCGCCGAAAAAGGAAATGTGCAAAGTACTCAATCTGTCCCCCGATGAGGATGCCCTCGTTTATCCCGACAGCCTTCTTTTTTTGTTATATCATAACGTTGCATGGGACAATGCTGCACTGTGAAGATAAAGTATGTACCTATCAGTAGATGGAGTGCTTTTGGTTCTGAGCAACAACTGATGGTGATGATGGATAATTGCTCATCACATGACGGTGTCTTTTATGCAAACTCCCTTTTCTTTTAGGCCACACAACAGACAGATGCCTCCTGCTACTCTTGAGAACACCTTCGGTGCAATCATTGATATGGTCCGTACCCCATAGCATAATAAGCGTTGTGTGAAATTATAACAATGATGCCATATATATCGGCAAGACTACAATACTATAAAAAAAACTGCGTTTGTTACAAGCTAATATACTTTTTTTTTGGCCAACATATTGTGCAGATAAGGAGGAAGATCAAACTCTAACAGGTGTAGATGATGCTAAGGGATGCCATTGTCACCAGTATAGATATGATCTAATCATGGTAGTATACGATATACGAGCTAGAAGATGAGTAGCCTAAGGAACAGCCATCATTGGCCACCTAAAGGATAGGAATTTACATTAATAAAACGGTAGATCCAAATAATGCTCGTTCCAGAAATGCTGTAATTATAGTTATTAGAGGAGAAACATTTGCTCTCACAAACAAGAGGATTAAGCTTTTCAGACGAAGAACGTGCTCACTTGATGATGGCCATGCCTAATAGTATAAACTATGTTGTAGTAGAAGCCTTGAAGAAAGAAAAAGAGAGGGAACCAGAACTCTTCCTTTAAGGGGGTCGTGTAGGCTATATCTTTATCATGTCTGTTCGTTCAAACGTAAAAAGAAGATTCAGCTCCCTTACACTCCTACGCTCTCTGTCCTATATAAAGATAGTAACTCTTATATACATCTATTAAGCACATCTCCGTCCCATCCCCGTGGAAAAAGTGCAAAAAGCCGCCTACTCCTCCTCCTCCTCCTCCTCGCACTCTCCGAAAACAGCACATTATTGCTATTATTGGCACACATGTTCCAGCACATTGCTGTTATATAGAGATCAGCGTTTACGAAGCAAAAGAAAAAAAATGAGGATAGTAGCTGTTTCCTATGAGTCATTGGAACAAACACGACAATTCAGTGCTTTTACAAAACAACGACAGCGATACATATTAACTCTCTCTTTATCGCTGGAGTTGTTTTTCGTTTGCATGTTGTTTTAGGAGAGAGGGGAAGCAGGAGAGGAAAATACTATGTAAAAAGGATGGAAAATGCTGGCGGGTGGTTACGGCGGTGGTAGTATGTACTGATTAGGTGAGATGGTATGTGGGATTATTATTATTGTGAGAGAATGTCTCAGGGAAAACTTTAAATTTTGACATCCACGAGGGACGTTGAAGAAGAGCAATAGTGCTTATAATTGTTATCGTAGTCGGCACTTTTACGTAAATGGTAGGCAGGCGGTGGGGACTGAGGCAAGCCCGGCGAACTGATGGAGGGTCGTAACGCATTGGTATACAGGAGCGACTGACATGACATGTCGCCTTCGCTCTTTTTGATCTCGGCCATGTGTGCCGGACTACCGATCATGACAAAGTCCCGCTCGATGTCTCGCCATAACCGCCGTTCCAGTCTTGAATACCGTTTACAAGAAATGTAGTATATCATTACCATGATGACGAGTAAGAGTATTATCGATACGAGTATTAATAGTCCCTGGTCTACGTGTGAGAGTGTGCCATTGTCCATGATATCTTCCTCTGTATTCTGTGCAAGATGTCTATTAGTATCCTATGTTGTGGAAGACATGTGTACATACAAAAGGAAGAACGACTATGTTATCCCAGATAACAAGACAATCATTCACCTGTGTTTATAAGTAGTATAGTTGTGGGGGGCAGCAGCAGCCAACTACCGGTTCAAAAAAAAAGAAGGGTTACGAGAAGAAGAAGTGCAAAAATGCCGTAGAAAAGAAAGAGAGAGAATGCCAAAGAAATACAATGGGTGGTTGAATGAACCGCACATAGCACACCCCACAAGCACTCGTACAACTAATGCTCGTAAGCTCCTTAATATAGAGTTTTCTAAACAGCCCTTTTTTCACGTCCGGTTCCGCCCATTGCTACTGCCACATATACAGCACATGTACTGTGTATATGGGACCACACACAAAGAACACACTAACCCCCCCTTCTTCTTCTTCTTCCCCAGTCCCAAGTACGTAGTAGTAGGCCGTCTGACTTGATGGTGCCATCTCTAAACACGCCCCTCTTTCTCTCTCTCTCTCTCTCTCTTTCTCCAATTCCTCAACCAACCCCCCCCCTTTTTTTCTTTCCTGCTTGAATATGCGATATAGAAAGAACAACATTCTCTTCTTTTATTGTCCCTGTTAGACATAGACGCCGACTGAGACTGACGTAAAAACAGCACCAAAACCAAGAAATATGGATGCCAGAACAGACGTTTGAAATTGTATGAAGAGAGACGTGTTTTTGCCTTGTCTATAACGAGAATAAGAGACGGTGATCTAGTTTAGTCCCAACACCATCCCTTCAAGGGTCAAAAAAATAAAAACCGGGCCTCCAAGCAATCCCGCTTTTATGCATCGTCGGTCGTTAACAACTAGAAAACTTACACGACAAAGATCCCGCCATGCAAGAGTCCTGCGGACAGAAAGATGAGCGCCAAAAAGGGGAAAACGCTCGGTGGAATGGGCGTACTTAGTGGCGAGGCCGCGTTAAAATCGCTCTAAACGTTCTCAAACGGTTAGTTAGGATACACTTGTTATTTGCTTTGGTCAATGGACACTGGATTCTTACTAGTGCTGAAGACATGGAGGAGAAAAGAGTGCTTCTATTGAACGTTTCACAAGAGGAAAAGAGAGAGAGAGAGAGTAAAAGCAGCGTGTCGCACGCAGAAGGGCCAGCCGGAACGCGGAGGCTCAAAAAAAGCATGCGCGCTCGACTCGAAAAGCAGCTTTGAATATAACCCTTTTATCACTTTATATACAAACATGGCAGAATTCACTGGTAAAGCCATTATCGTCCAACGCGAGCCATGGTATAAAAACCCAACGTTTTTGTGGGCTTTAAAGTCGACCGCAATCAACTTTATACTTCCATTCTTTAACGGTGTCATGCTTGGCTTTGGTGAAATTCTGGCCAATGAGCTGGTGTTCAAGTACGGCTGGTTCGGATTCTCGCGCGTGTCGTCGCCCGCTACTGCACTTGGACTTGGCCCTGGCATTCCACCAAGCGCAACTGCCGAATACAAAAAGACGCTGCAAGCTGATAGCAGACGGTTAGAGAAGCTCAGGGGCGAGTAAAAAAAAGGATACATCTTGTATAAGGTACAGTACCGAACAAGTCCGTTTAGCATGCGATTGGTATCGGGGGGAGGCTATCTAATTTTAAAAATGCTCTCTCTTTTGCAGGAACGAACATGCCAACTTTATCACCGTTGTTCCACCTCACAAAAAAAGTCATGTACCCAAAACAACGAGTCTATGTGTATACACTGTTATTACTATCCGAAATAGAAGAACCAACACCATTTTTCCGATATATTCGACACTTTTTGATATTTTCTTGAAAAAAAAGGGTGGGATGGTTGTGGTGTAAAAAGAGGGTTATATATGCATATAGGAAGCGGATGGGGCAAAGAAGAAAGCAGCAATTTTAACGTCTTTTTAGCTTCTTGCGTGAAGACGGCGCGGCAGGTGGCTCGTCGCCATTTCTCTTTAGTTTACGCTCGTCGGCTAGAGTTATTAAACGTATTAGAATACTTTGGCCAAGAAAGAATTCACCCGTACTCTTTCACTGATATCTTACCTTTTCGTGCCTTTTCTTCAAGCTCGTCCCAGTCTGTTTAAAATATATAAACACGGTCAGATATAAAAGTCGAGAGAAATTGAAAAAGTAAAAGTAGTGTACAAACCATCGCCAGAATCGCTCAAGTCTTCTTCTTCCATTGAATCGTCAGAAGCTTCCGACGCGAAATCACTTTCATCGTCACTTGCGCTTTCTTCGAAATCACTTGCGCTCATTTCAAATTCACTTCCAGATTCGGACTCGTCTCCTTCTCCTTCCTCCTAATATACAACACACATAGTCAATAACATGGTGGTAAAACCATCTTGTACTTTACAGATAGATAAACTTACATCACTGCCGCTTGTCAGGAAGCCCCAACCACCATTTTTGTAAAAGTCTGCGGGATCGGCTAGAACAGTCTTTAGGATCATGCTCCAGTTGAGGTTGACAGGGCCTTCTGTGAATGCTACTTCAACCGAGCTATTTGTACATGTTTGTTAGTAGAGTCTTCTGCCTCTATTCATTCATTTAGAAACACATGAACATGAGTTAGAGAGAGAAAGGCGGCTTACTCTAACCAGTCCTTGACATTATCGAGCTGTGACATAGGGACGGTATTGATCTGTATAGGAGGACGGCGCAAATCTTTAAAGACAAACACCATATCAAAGTTCTTGAGACCGAATTGTACACGTTCCAAGTGAGCAATTTCGATTTCACTGATGGTGACAATAAGGAAGGGTGGATCCGACAGGTGCACAAGACAGTCTGTGGTGGGTTGCAAGAGGACGTTCGATCGGAATGGTACACCAGTGAAGCCCAACTCTCGGAACGGAACATCCACTTCAATACGGCCTTCGCTCTATACATGTAGATCATTCAATCTCGTGCTGTGCGCTATTCTTTTGATACAATATCAAAACAAGGACTTACAGCATCTGCAATCTTTTCAGCAAAGGTTTTGAATTCACGGTTGAGGTTTGCTCGTCGTCGTCGTTCTTCTTGTTCAGATTCTAACTCATCTTCATCGCCATAAATGTGTCTCCTTCGCTTGTTGCCAGTTTCATCAAACTGTATATCGGATGCTTCACGGTAAAATTGAACGTCTTTGGTTTTCTTTTTGCCAATCAGTACTGGGTTTTTGAAATGTACGTGTATCAGGACCAACAGTTCGTTATCGCATGGTTGGAAGAACAAGTGCTTCACGTTGCTAAACAGTACATCTAATTGGAAAACAGGTTTGCCCATGGTGATTAGTTGGTGCCATTAGGTTTAGCGTACATATAGGTGTATACAGAAATTGAAAAGAATCCACATACTGAACGAATTATCGGATTTGATGGATTGGTATCGAATACCATTTTGGTGAATTTCAAGTTCACCAGGTAAACGCTTGCCATCAAGTTGTGGACGCACATAAACGTCAGGGAGCCGGTGTGGGCGACGGCCTTTGACAACAGCAAGGTTATCCTGTTCAACCACATCGGCCATCTCCTTCCGCTGTGCTTCTTTCTTGGCAGCATCCTTCTTGAGGTCGGTAATATCACGGTAGATTTGTGCCATGCGATGTGTATCCGCACTTCGGAAAGTCAATGCTCGAACGAACGTGGCACTTGGATCATGGAATGGCTGAAAACAAATTCAATGCTTTTTAGCCTGCTTATCAAGTATATAGATATCATGAGCGCCATCACTTACCATGTCTTCTTTTTTGCCACCTGCTTGATTAGGGGTAATAAAGTTGAGACGGAGCATGACAAAATCGCCTTCATCACTCTTACTTGCGTTTTTCAACGTGGTGATATGGAATGGCACAGCCATACCATAGAAAGGGAGAATAACAGTTTCGTTCTTCTTGTCGACATAAATCTAATTTTTTGGCGACAAATGTGGTTAAAGATCATATGATTCAAGTAGTGGTTTTCTTGAATCAGTGATTTTGCTTACCTTTTGCTCTCGGACTAGGGGCAACTTGGATTCAGATCGATAGCTCTCGAACTTTTTGAATACTGGCTTGTTATCATCTTCACCATTGTTCGATCCATCTCCAAACTTGGCTAGGCCTTCTGCCAGTTTCTTGGCAAACAGCTCCTTTTGATGCTCCTTGCGTTTCTGCTCACGCGATTCTTCATCCTGATCTTCACTGCGGAACTTGCTGCGCAAGACGGCTGATTTGGAAGTCGTTTCCTTCTTGGCAGGCTTCACTGGCTTCTTCTTTTCCTGAACATCCGACTCGCTACCTTCGGCCTTGAAAAAGTACGATATCTCGTTCAAGTTTTTGCTGCAGCCTTCAGTTAACACCACAGGTGGTGCATCGGGCGAGACACGAACCGTATCAATCAGCAACAGCGAGTAGGACTTGCTGCGCTTATCTGCAGGCTTGGGGTTTTCAAGATCAGCAAAGCCGACGGACAAGTTCAATACCATTCCGTTGCGCAGCTCGCGGACATTCTTGGCATGAAGCACGTAGCTTGCCTCACGGAACTCGATACCCATACCGAAACCGATCGAACGAGTGAAATGTTTTTCCAGATCCGGTCTCTTGGCCTTGATATGGTCCATTGCGCTGGTGTACACGTCACGGATCTTGACGCCCTCACGAATGTTTTCCATGATCTTCTTTTGCAGCTCGAGCAAGAACTCGTAGTTTTTCTCTTGGGTTTTGTTAGGATCAATCAAGAACGTACGTCCAATGTTGGAGCAGTAGTATTTGTATCGAATGCCCAAGGAGCACATGATGACACCGGCGTGAAGGTTACTCCCGTTGGACATGGCAGATGATTTCAAATCATATTCACCGCCACTCTGTACAATAGGACTGTAGCACCAATCAACATCGTCCTTGTTGTCAGCCTCAGGTGGCAAGCGCAACTTTTTGATCAGCTTGGGATCGTCGAGAATGGCTTCTGTTTGCTCCGAGAGCTTCTCGTGAGTCACTTGTCGTTCTTCGTCAACAACCGTAGACATTTCGTCGATAAAGTAGTTCTTCATCACATTGACACTGAGTCGAGAAGCAATTCGCATTGTTTTCTAAAAAAACATTTCATATCCCATCAGTTCTATCTCTTATACGAGTCGCCTGCCGATTATTGCCAACAATATCAGCGAGTTCCTCAGATATTCTATACTTACGATTTCATCCTCATCCTTAACAGCGAAACAAGCTGACAAAGCTGCTGTGATATCGACATTTTCGAACGACTTGCCCGAAGATTCAAAAGCCTTTTTCCATTCGTCCACATTTTTACCAGTGAACTTGTCTTTTTCAACGACGCCGACACGTTTCTAGAATTTCCCAATGGTAAGAGGACGCAAAAAAACAACCTTTTTGTTTGGAAATTCAATACTTACGCCTGCCAGTTCGTCGATCAATGGCTTGTAAAGTGCAATATTTTCTTTAGTATCCTTCGATCGTCGAATGATATCGAGCGTTATCTGCTTTTCAGCTTTCTTGAGACCATCCAACATATCAGCTAACATTAACATAATTAGAAGAGACACGTTAATACATACGATTTTTAACAGGCTACGTTATTTGCTTACCTTTTTTGCCACTGCAAACAAACGTCGTTTTTTCGGGTGTTAGAAGAATCAATGTTTGGTACATTGGCGTGCCGAGGAGCCATGTCTAATTACAGATACACACATGCGTCAATCGTTTATGATTCGCAAATACACATTCTTTCGCTCTGGAACGTCAATAAGGGTATGCTCTTTCTTATATGTTACCTCTGCGGTGACTGATTTGCGATAGGGATTTTCGTAATCGTCTTCACCGATTAACAGCAAAATAGCGTCCACGTCATGAAAAAGATTAGCGTTCGATGGACTCTATCAAAAGTTAAAAAAAAAAGATTAATTGACGCATGATCGTAAAAAGAAAAGAGTGAAAGATCCAGTTGGATCTGACCCAAAAAGAAACGGATTTTCATTGTTTGTTTGCAATCAAATTACCTTCCACTGCGTAAAGAGGAATCTTGCCCTTCGAAAGAAACGCTTAGCATCTGCTTCAGAAAAAGACATTGCTGCGTGTGTGTTCAAAAGCAAAAGGTGAAAATCCGCAGAACACGAAAAATAGAAAGTTGGCGCTAGACCACCCGACGCGTTGGAACGGCACTTTAAAATTTGGCTTGTTGAACACAACCAAAGGATTTAAAGGATATACATCTAACCCAACAGTATACTCGATGAAACCACTTATTCTATTCTTTCTATGTTAAAGCTTTATAATGTCTCTACAGTTCGAACAAACAGGGAAAATATACATGAATATGGAATAGGCCCAACCTATCTTAACCATCAAGACGGATAGTTGGATTGAGCAATTTAATAGTCTTTCACCATGCTCGGTTTATAACAGCGATATATATCCTTCAGCACCTAGGTAAACTGAAACTACGCGATGTCTGCAGTAGATAAGATAATAGTATCGCATTACCACAGTTTCACATATAGCATCATATCTCGCTTCAGATTATATTCTAAAAATTTATATCTGAATTCCTCGTACTAGTGCAATACACGCGTCCAACAACCTAATAGCTACAACCTTTGTTGATAGCGAGCTCTCAATTTACAATTTACTTGAGCTCATATGCTAGCTAAACATTGAATGCTTAGTGATAGAACCAATGCTTACGCACTATGTGATTTGTCCAGCAAAGCCCGTCAAGGCGAGGCGGGCAAGTTGTATCTCCGAATGTTTGGCCGGGGTCATTTTACTAGCCTTCCCAAACGAAAAAACAATTTTTTTTCTTCTCCTTTTAAACATCTTCTGTTTGAATATTTGAAAATGTCCGCTTGGAAGTCTGCCGGCATCACGTACGTAACTCACACCTTGTAAACCAATGAGGGAGACGATAAAGAAGAACAGAAAAGACTAATGAACGGTCATTCATTGTTTCATTGTTCAATTAAAAAAAACAGCTACCTCCAATACGCCAACATTTGCGCACGCGCTGTTCGCAACTCCTTGAAGGATGACATCAAGGTCGCTGCCCAAGCTCGCAACCAGAACAACCTCAAGTTCGCCAAGTGGGATAAGGGTGTCGGTTCTGAACAGGTAATTCTTTAAATTGAATGGGACTAGGATGATTACACAGGAATCTTGACAATTTTTTTGTCGTCGTGTAGAAATTCGTTGTCCCCAAGGCCCAGCAGTAAAAAAAAACCATCAAATTATATATAAAATATAACTTTTTTTTTACAAGTTTGTACCAACAACTACATACAACAGTGTCTCATTTGTTCCCCATACAAACACACAACACAAACTCAAAAAATATACAATCAAAGCAATTCGTCATACGTCGACGTTGCGCACACATCATTTTTGGCTTTGACGCGTTCGTAAAAGACGGGACAATCGAGCGAGTCGCAAGGGTGGTCTGCATAGCCTGTTGTGTCAATGGCTGCTTGTTTCTCGCCCGAGGTGGCAGCTGTTTGGATGGGGGAAATTCCAGAGCAGGATTGGCAAAGGAGGAGGGTATTGACTAGCCTGGATTCAGTTTCGGCCTGGCGGGACCTGAGTGTGTACACCATGTGTGCCGGGTTGCTTGCACATGTTGAGCAAATGTTTTGGTCTGTCAGCCGTCGACAGATGATACAGTGGCTGCTTGCATAGTATTGGTCTATCCGCTTAAACGATTTGTTTTGTTGTTGATGGATTTCGTATCTGGCAGAGGCAATGGCGGCAGTCTTGCGTGACCGTGGCATCTCGTCATACCAGCCCTTGACGTCGACCCCGACCAGGTTGAATATCCGGGCTAACGGTGGTATAATCATTTTGTTAATGTAGTATTCGGCGTCCAGCTGGAGGGTACTGTCGTGGAGAATTTCTTCTGGCCGCACAACTTTGTCTCGTAGCCTTGCGTTGGGGCCACCCTTGTAGACGACAACGTACGGCACACGCTCACCGTGCTGTGGGACGTCTCGATGATCCTGTGCCATTTTATCCAGTGCGACCCTGGCTCCGTTTGGTAGACCTTGGTCGGTGTAAGTGCCCAGTCGTACCTCGCGAGCAATGATAAAATCTTGCACGGATACTCGGTTGGATAGTACCTTGGTCCATTGCCGGTATAGATACTCCTTGAGTTTAGACATATCTTGCGTTCGAAACAATATCCTGTACATATACAACACATGTAGTCAGTCGGCGAGCATCTTTCGAATATTGCCATCAGACACTTCATCAGCAGCTCCAACTTCCTGCGCTCCGTGCGTAGTAAACAGGAAATTGACAACATTACTTTAACGATGCTTCCAAAATTTTCTGCGTTGCCATGGTACCATCGCGTCGCACTGTTTCGATTCCCTTGGCTTCAAACACTGGTTCGGTTTCTTCAGGACTCTCGTACTTGAAGCCGACATAACGCTTCTTGGCCACAAGCACGCATGGGTGGTATACTTTCTCAAACTTTAAACGTACTGGGGATGGATTCATGGCGGTGATGGTCTGTGCAATGTCTTTTCCTATTTCAAAAGCTTCCTCGCGCGTCCGACCGGGTAATGATACAAAGACACTATCCGTATCACCATAAACCACTCTTGCATCCCATTTTTTCATTTCATTAATAGTGGCAATTGTCTGTGTTCATACGTACACCAAGGTGGTATTTTTCCAGTCAAGTTAGAAAAAGCATGTGTAGGATAGAGAAAACAGTAAAAAGAAACGAATTAACCTACCCGTTCGAGTGTTTCACGTCCTGTTTGAACGATACTGTCAGCTATTTCCACAGCAGGCATTCGGCCTGAAAACGATGCTGAAGTGTATCCATACGTTACATTGGCAATATATTTGAGCGTCAACTGCCTTGCATCCAAAAGTCGCAGTAATCCGGTGTCGTCCTTGTAATCCTTCATCGATGTCTTGATCATGACGCGCGTATCAAGGATCTCGCCCAGCATTTTAGCCAACAAGCTTTTGCGGACCGAAGCCTTGACAAACATTATACCGTTTGGTGATACTATCCCCACATTCTAGCTTTGGTAATTTGGTCCAAGTAAACAGAGAGAAACTAATGACAAAGATGTCTCCTTACCATTTATCTCATCTTTCAATTCACGTAGCATATCCGGTGTAATATCAAGCTCGCCGACACCGAATTTTGGTGGGTCACCTTGATTTCTTACTTTGCCAAGACATGTTGAGAAACTTTTTTGTTTTGGGAGGGGTGGAAAGGATGATTAGGCTTGCTCTATTTTATGGGTCACCATATCAATAGTTAATTGAGGAATAACGTACCAGTAGTTATAGGCAATCATAATGGATGGATACAGAGACTGAAAATCGAGCACCACAAGTGGATCATTGTAAAACTGCGTCTCTGGCTCCATCACCAATGGCAAGCATTCTGCAGCACGTTGACGACCGACCTATGTTATATTAGTTATTATTCAGTTACTTGGTAGCAAGTTTTACACTCGGTTATTTTACAATGGCGAATTCTTCCAATACCTGTTCACGGCTTGGCGAAATGAGTACAAAGTTTTCAGGCTTGGCTATGCGAAACATGGTCGACTCGACCTTAAACTGTGATCCACGCGTAAGCACGGTATAAAAGTCGATACCAAACACGCGTGCAGATTCAGATGTACGATTGATAATTTCGGATACGTCCAGTAGATCAAGATTCATCTGAACACGGTCCAAATAGTACTTGTACAGTCTGTATTTGAGCACAGCCTCGCCTTGCGTATACCATGTGGTCAATGTACGATAAGAATAGTGAGCCATTCTACAAAGCCCAAACATGAAGATAGGGAGCAAGTTGTGAACATGATCGTCAAAACAAAAAAAGGAATCAAAGAAATCAGCTTTTAATTTACCGGCAATGTAGGATATTGTATGCAACATTTTCAAAGGTGTAACTTGTCAAATTGTATTCGCCTTGCATTGTGCGCCAAACATTGATCATGTGGCGGCCAATAATTCGGTATATTGACGCTTTTCGATATCCCCACTGATCTTGGTGTATCTTATCCGACACGGCTCCTACGCGTGCTAGCTCATCAATCAAGTGGATATCTAGAAAGAGCAATAGAGAAATTACACTGTATGAGGAATTTTCATCTTTCACGGTACGATCCTTACAGAAAAAGCTTACTGTAAACAGCGGCTCGTTCAATCAAATAACCCCAAGATGCGTTATGGAGCTCATAGCCGACAAGTATATCAGGATCGTATAATCGCACAACCTCAATGAATGCTTGAAAAAGAGTTTTCTCATCTTCGACATAAGTGGTTTCATAGGCTTATTTTTTCAAGTATGCGAGAAAGGAAAAGAAATCGATACGTTAGTATGCTTTCGAATATATATATTCATTACTAGTTACTTCTTTTACCAGGAAGGCCGATTTTTTTGGTATCGATATTAAGGCCAACAGTAATGATTTCGACGTGATATCCGTCCTGGAAACCATTGGAGATAATATTTGCATCTTCTGTTTTGAGGCACCAGAAAATTGTCTGTACAGCATCGTGCGCAGGATCAGGAAGCTTATCATCTCGAGAATTGACTGTTCAAATATCAGTTTATCTGTAATATTTTGAGTTTTTTTTTTTACTTGAGGGGAAATAAGTATATTATATTACCATGGATTTCGACACTGAGAATATCCAAGTAATCTCTTGCACGGGATACTTTAGATTTTGGCTTACTCAAGCTGTATTGGAACCCAAGTGTGGAAGGACCATCCAACTTTGATACGATATAGAGAGAGAGTACAATTCCAATTAATTTGATGAACCTCGTTTAATAAGTAGCATTGGCTATTTTAAATCCAACAAACCTGAGACGCAGATGCCTTGTCTACCTCGCCTGACTTATCCTTTTCAGCCTGAACCTGCTCGCTTGCACCCACTTTCTTCTGCTCCTTTTGCAATAGCCATTGCCTTATTTCAACAGCACTCGGAGGCCCGCGAGCCATTTCCCACTCGGTGATGCTTGAATGCTTCCACTCGTTCTCTTTTGATGGATCAAAATACTTTGGCGGTACAGGTTTAAGGTGTTGCACCGATTTGGAGGTCAAACGGAACTCCTTTCCTGAGAAGACTTTCGCTCTGCTCGGCACATCAGCTGGGTTGCTGTAGTAGGGCTCTTGATAGGATACGTAGTCAAGATTTGATACCTCCGGTGGTGGATGCGCATAGGTATATTCTTTTGAATAAGTTTCATCAAATATTGGGTCCACTGTGCCAGGATCATGGATCTGTGAATGTTTATTAGATGGTGATCCGTGGGCTAAACTTTCGAGTAAAGAGTTGTGCTTTCGGTCATGAGTTGATGATTTTAGGTTCCGGTTTTGTTGCCCTGGTTGACTGTATTGCTCCTGTGCTTGCTGTTGGCGTTGTTGATTTGCTTTTTCTTGTCTTTTCTTCAAAACTAGCTGTACTAATGCAGGTTGCTTTTTGACGGATATATAAGGCTCTTCTTTGTATGATAAGGGTGACCTTCGTACATTTGTGCGAATGGGTTGTATTTCGTGATTATCATCAGTATGATCCTCGTCGTTTTCGCTACTACTATCACCGGCACCATCATACTGCGGAAGGTGCCGACTTCGTTTGTACGCCCTGTATATGAGATTGTGTATATACTACGTTAACTACTAAAACAGCGAGAATCCCAGTGAATGCCACAAGATCTTACCGTGATGGTAAAGGCGGCACTTCACTCACTTGCAACTCTGTGTCGTCGTCCTCATCCACATTCATTATAGCCGAACGCGACTCACTATGTTCCTCTTCCATGGTTGACGACTTTGTTGCTTCAGCTTCTCGAGCTTCTATCCTGGCCACTTCTGCATGAAAATCCAATTTTCGTGGTCTGCAGAGAAAACTCGAATTGCATTAGGGGTTCTTGGATGGGAACCTATTGTCTTCAATTTCTTTTTTAAATCAACAACCATTTCTTTGTACCTGAACAAATCTGGTCGCTCCTCTTCATGTTCTAACTGAATCTGTGGTAAACGCTGCTGTGTTCTTGAAGGACTCTGCGTCGGCCACATTATATTTTGGTCCTCTTCTTCCCCATTATCTTGTTCAAGTCTTCGCTCCTCTTCTTGTTCACTGTATTGCCTTGCTAGAGCCAATACATCTTCATCAGGTATATCATCATCTTGAAAAGAGCTAGCACTACGGACGAGCGAGTGGATCATGTCGACATTCACGTTTTCGTTAGTTGTATTTGCTGCGACCTTTTGCCAACTTTGGTATCGTGATGGCGTCGCCGCCTGAACGCTGTAGGGCGATGCGTGGGCCATCTGTCGTTCTTGATTGCCAAGTTCCGAGACTTGAGAATCATTTTGTTCCTGGCTGCTGTTTTGTCGTAACAAGTCCGAAAGATTGGATAGCATACGCGGTGGAATAATGAGCGACTGTGAGCGATTTGGTCTCTGACTTAAAGTATAATATTTGGGTGGATAGAGCGATTCAACAGCTTCAAAGGTAGTAGGAATGTTGGCTGAGTAGATAAGCGCATTTTCCTCATAACCGTTACCATCATCGCTACCGCTAGGTTCATCGGCAGCCTCTGTCGTTTCTGACACACCACCAGTAAATCGGTTTATCATGCGGCGCCATGACGGTTCTGTACTCCAATGTCGATTTTGGGCATTATCACGCGCTTCATTCTGTGTATTCGTAGTAGGCATTGGCACGTTCCGTTCTGCGCGACGGTTTGCTTCGTCATTCCATATCCCTGCTAACGATTTGATCAACTTTTCTTGTTGCGATTGTTCCTTTTCCAAGTCTCTATGGCAATGAATATCCCGTTGCTGCAGCTCCAATCTGTTGCCAATCGTCATGACAGTGGTATCCATTTCCAGTTCACAGTAACTTGATCTACCGACGCTGCTCCACTGCATTTCCCTCGGTACTGTCATTGCTGTATAGAACTCATTATCATTCAGAGAAACAGACGCGTCTCGATCGCTCGTGGACTGGCTCAACAATACGGTCTTGGGTTCATCAAACATAGGCTCTCGAAACCGTAAACTGAACTGCACATTCTGGTCATCGTCGCTATTGTTGTTGTCAACAGTAGAAGTATGCTGCGGTCGAGCTGGATGTACATGAACCCAATTCATGCCGTACAGGTTGTAATCCATCATAAACTGCAGCTCAAATGGAATGTGTGCTTCGTGCGGCTGGTAAGATGTACCGTTGACTGCGCCCTTGACTAATATATCCACCATGCGCTGCTTGTCTGCAGGATTCAATAAATTGATCTTGAGATATGTCTCCGGTTTCGCATGGTAACCGTAAAAAGGTATGCCCTTGACCAACGTAATTGCTGCAATATACTGATCGCCGTTGACGCCTTCATTTCTCCCCTGTGCCAGACTGAGCGCGTGATTAACTGCATTGCCGAATTGAAAGATTTCGCGTTGGATCTGTTCAGGTTCTACATTATGCGTAGGAATTGCATAGGGTACGTAAAAATAAGGGTATGCCTTTGACAACATAGTATAACTTTCATTAGCACAAACACTTGGCAAATTTACAAAGTGGAGTACTAACAATTGGCACTTTGTTTCTACCTGGTGAACGTGTAGACACGCTTTCTGTCCGGACGGCGTTGACCCGAACACACGAATAACGGGAACTTTATTCAGCCTCGTGCTACTGAAAGGACAAAACGCGCGATCCATAGGACCCGGATCGTCCAAGTAATGATCGATATTAATCATTCGAATTGAAATGTAGCGGTCCATACGGAAGAGAAAGTGTACAAAGGAAATCGGTCTTCAAAGAGCAGAACAAAAAAAGAAGGAAGCTATTTGTTTGTGTGGCGCTTTTCAACTTTCATGCGTTCATGTACAAGCTGCCTTGAGGTACCCGTGCCTGATCATGATCATCGGTTAGCTCCGCTTGCATATAATACAACTCTTCTGTGAACCTTGGTTGCTCTTATGATCCTTTTATTTTTTCATATTGGAAAGACTCGTTCTCAACAACATGAAATAGTTATAGGCGCTCCAATTGTTGTTTCTGCTAGCAGCAACATCATAATGGTATTGCTTCAAAGCAATGTTGGGCTCTAAATGAGGTTTCTCTGTCTAGAATAAAAGAAGAGCGTGTTTTGTTCATGATAATCATTTTACAGTCGTGGTCATAGTTAATGAACAGCTGTACCAAAGTTATAACACGGGATCTACGTCGTAGCGCTAGATTGGTAGGGTCAGAAGATATGGCATTGTGCGTGGTGATTATTTAGAATAATAATTTCCTCGGTAATACGACCAATGGCTAGTACATCCATTCTAACAATATCATCTAAATTTCACCATGATTAAGTATAATACTGCATACCCCACAGCAACAGTAGTGTTTTCGCTGTATCTGAAGCGAAGAAGTTGAATATCATGAGAAGCCTCGATATGGTTATTGAGAACTCCTAGCATTAATTCAAATTCTCGTCTGGTCAAACCAACCATATACTCTTTGTATACAGTGGCTGTACAAACAACGACTTCCAATTTGCTACAGGATAAGTGCGGACGACTGAATGAGCATAATTTGGTAATATTGACGTCGGATGGTACGATTAGATGCCTTGGGACGCTTCAGACCGAATTTATTAGTATGTACTGCCTCTAATCACCCACGAAATTTTGCATAAATGGAGAAAGACGGTCGTAGGCAGCATATTTTGATGCAAACATTATTTCGTTGCCATTTGGAGGACAGATTAAACTGAGATTTATAAAGCACTTTTGGGCATTAAATTTACTTTTAAAAGTACATGGACTGCGCTTTTATCCTCTAAACGCTGAGGATCTGGGTATTTTACAATGCCTACTTCTTTAAAATTAAACTCACTTCTAACCCAGGAACGTAACTTTGTTTTCTTGTCCAATATCTTTAAGAAGGCTGCTTCGTAACCCATCTTCTTTGCTTGAGCCATTGCTGCGTACATTATCTGCGCACCAACACTTTTACTCTGGTCGGCAGGATTTACAGCAAATAATTCGAAAATACAATAGTGGTCGTTGCCATTACTGTCTGTCATTGGATCAATCATTACAGTGCCAACCGCTGTTTCATCTGCCTTTTTACTGCTGTCGCTCGACGGATCACGTTTCGTAAAGGCGCACATGAATGCTGACGAGGTTTCATCACTTCTACGAAGGCAAGCATAAATGTTTTGGAGCGTAGTACGATCGCCTTTTATGATGTTTTTGTTTGATGTCCAGCCATCTATATGGTCGATGTAATAGTGCAGAGTATTATATAATACTAGTTAGCTAACAGCTTCAAAATTTCATCATCTATCTATTTACGAAGTTATCGATAAAATAAGCTACTAATAAATCCACAGTTTTTTTAATATATTTTACCATCTGATTTATAAGCAGAGTTAATAATGGAAGTCATTTTAGGTGCGTGCTTGACGTCGTCTATAGTTGCAACTCGTACGAAGAAGTTGCTACTATTCTTGGTTTTACTGGGTGGTGGTTGACCGGGAATCTCTTCTTCTGTTGGTGTTGGTGTCATATATGGGCTGGATAATGAGCATTTCCATCATGCACAAAATTAGTTCTTTATATATGTGTATGTAAGATGTATGCACTTACCTTTCAACATGCACTATCTGTATGCGTATAATTTTGTCGAACGACAGCTGACGTATAGTACGCGATGGTCGACATCCATTTTGGACGCCTATTGAATGCATTTGCTGCACCTTAAACGCATCTCAAAATGCATTTTGCATGCATTCGAAGAAAGCATATTAGAGCGCTTTAAGGTTTTTTGTATATCGGGACGTCTTCGGCCTTTAGCAAAAACGGATTTGTACATTTCCTAATCACTAGCAAGTGAAGCAAAAACCTGCGGCTCGCTTGAAAGTGTTTATGATAAAAGCGATCTGGTAGCTACTAGACAATTGTTATCGCTTCAACCTGCGGCTTTTCATGCTAATGGCATCTTCGATTTTGTATACTTAAGCCGACCTGAGCGAAAAATAACAAGCTAAATGGCTGCTTCTTAAGGTAAGATTTATTAAACCTAAGCCGTTGCATCATACAGTATCATTGCGATCAAAGTATAGCATCATTCGTGTAGGAGCCAAAATCTGTATTGCTGGTACGGAGATCGGCTTACCATTACCGAAATATGTACGTCAGCAATATACTTTTTCTCTTTCTTACACCTATGCTCATCTTCAATCCATACATATGATACTGCTATGTAGCGAAATACTGTAAATGGTGTCCTGTGGCTAAAAGAGATCGCCGAGAAAAACCTTTATAATTTCTGCATTGGCAGTGGAATCAAATTATTCCACTTTAGCTATTTCTTTTCAATACCTGTATACCAAGCAGTGATGCTACTTAGATTGGTTCCTGCACTTAGTATATAGGCTGATCCTCGAATAACCAGCAGTCATTTATATCAGATCTTAGAAACACCGATAAACTGACGATACTGTTAAACGAACGACCATAATAACCGTTTGCAGTATCAAATCGTAGTTCTCTTTTGTATAGTATCATTGTCATTTTTCGCTTACCAGGGAGAAAAAGAGAAGAGTCAGTGGGCGCTACCCTGTGTGTATGCAGCTTCTGCAAGCAACCTTTGTGATATGTACGCGCAACACTGCTTCTGCATTATTTGCTATCAACTCTTTCCCTTACACGCCGTTCTATCCGACGATCGTTCTATTAAGGAATTCTAGCTACTTTTTGTATCAAGTAACACTACCTATAAAGGCCTTATCGTGTACTAGTAAAAAAGAATGACTACTACATATAGGAGCCGTAGAGTATAACGTTGCTCGATGTAGAAGACTGTCCTATTGCTATTATTTTTCTATTGATGTATTTTGAAGCGAACTGACACATCGTATATGTCCACCTGTATCGCTTCTTAATAAAAATAGGTTTTCTGTGTTGATAGCAATTATTGATAGCCTACAAGGGCAAATGTCTGTATACACATACGATATTGACATAATAGAATTTATTTTCAATAGTATGAGTAGAATCTCAACATACACATATCTAAAGCTACCTCTTCTATTCATTCGCAAATGAGCACTTATATTTTCGCAGATATAGCTCTTTTTTTTCTTAAAAGAAAAGCAGTTTATAACATACCATCACCATTAGGAAAGTAACCAATGCTGTGCGCACTTCCTTGATATGTATTTGCGTATCGACGTTATGTATATAGTATCATAGGATGTTAGCTCGCACCATTGCCAGGTATATACTAACGTCGTAAAATGACTTACTTGTTGTCAACATAAATGATTCGATGGGTTTTATGCTGTGAATATGTATTGGCCCACAGTGTTTGCCCAGATTAACCATTTCGTTGGCGGCGGTGTCTTTGGTGGCACGCTTTAAATCGTCCTTTTCCTGATCCGTAAGTTTGGAGAGCTGGATACCATGAGTCTCGGCGTCAATCTTTGGAGCCAACTCAATATATTTCTCTGTAATCTCGTACAATGATGCATTTCCTAGGTCGGCATAGTAGCCACGGTCATATGATCCAAATTTTTTCAAGTTTTAGAAACTAAAAAGAAAACGACACATACGGACATCGATTTTTAGTAGCTTATTGTATTACAGTATGAAAACAGTATGGTATATATTCTCGCAGACACTTCACAATTATTTAATGAGCCATATTATAATGATGGAAGGTACTGTATCATCAAAGTAGTATACCTTATTAACGTCGAGAACCACGTCGTAATTCTCCTTTTCGCGCGCCGTCGTTTTAAAAGCAATCTTCTCGGCAGAAACTATTCAAACTGGTGGTGGAGTGACTACAGTCACTTCAGCAGTTATAGGTGGAGTCGATTTAAAGGTACATGAAAGAAGCAAAAGTGAGTTGAAAGGCGATACGTTTCGTGGCGATAAATCATCACAAAAATGGTTGTTGCATCTTTTAAAGTTTTTGTACATAGAAACTATATCCGGCAGTGGAAGCAATGAGTCAGAAGTACTTCTTATATTCTTTGTGTTACTGTAGCATGCGTGAGAACACAGCGTCGTAGTGTCTTTCAACTTTGAAAGCGAATCCATTTGTATACCATCCCGAACTTAGTGAAGATATCGATAACGACAACAGCTTGACATAGTGGTATGTCGTTGAAAAGCAGCTATCTGGAATGAAGTTACTGCAGATCGATACTCACCAGAATCTATCTGGAGGGAATCAAACATCAATGTAGCTTCCTTAATATTCTGCCTATGATCGCTCTCTGCAGCCATGCAAATTCGTCGAGGGATTGGAACCAGTACACACGGACAAATGCGCTGTCAAAAAGACCAAGGCTGTTGGACGCACCATGCGCCGGAGCATCATCAAATAATTCACCCGGTCGTCCATAGCCATCCGGTAACGAAATGGAAGTCATTATATCTGCAGCTGCTCTTTGTCGAGGGGATTGTTGGCTGCACTTGACGAAAACCATTGACAGTATTAGGATTCCTAACTAATAAAATTGAGGCCTCTCATAATATTCAGCTACGATATAAATGGGATGAGGGCACGATTGCAGTATGAAGGTATATGGTTTTTTTTACTGATACTGCTAGCATGCTGTTCGCTAATGTTGTATTTTCGTCAGTAATAAGTAGCACAGCATATGTACTGTAGTGTTACTACGTTTTTGTATTGACGACGTACACCGAAAAATAACATCAATACTACTGCTCGACTTTAAAAAAGCCTCATAGTGATCGACTATGATAAAGACATTACTGCGCTTAATGCAATGTTTTTGATTCTGGGCATAAGGGAGTAATTGCCCCAAGATCATGATGTTAGTGTTGGCAGCAGTTGTTGGTTTGGTATCATAGTATAACCCTGAGATGTATGGGTGAATTTTATCATAGACCGGTTTTTTATATAAAGTTCTATGGTTTGCTGCCATCGTTTTTCAATCCTGCTTCCTTTCTCAGTTCTATAAACAAAGTGTTCGATGGTTAGCAAACAGTAGTAAATTTAAATGCTTCCCAATTAAACAGGATCATTTTTCCCCTCCCATCTACTTACGACAGACAATACTCGACATATCCCAGTCGCCATGCTCCTTATGGACTGATTCCAAATGGCTCAAGAATAGTTCAGTGATGGGCAGCTTGGTGTTGTATTCCTTGCCCATGTTGAGGATATGGGTAGCATCCTTCTTGGCCGACGTGAGCGGAAAATGTATTTCGTTTTCATACGTGTTTCTGTTCATCCGGTCTGCATACATGGGCAAAAGTGTTCCCGGGAAAAGACCATCCATCAAATCCTTGACCTTATCTTGACCAATACCCGAAGCCTGAGCCAGAGTCATGCCTTCGCCCAACATTTCGACAAACGACGTGACAAAAAAGTTACCGGTCAACTTGAGTTGCAATGCTTGACGCGGCTGTTCACCAGTACGGATGACTTTGGGCCCCGTAGCAGGAACCAGAATAGGCAACACTTTTTCCTCCAAGACTTGCGACCGACCACCAGCAAGGATAATCAAACCCTGAACACGTGCTTTGGCAGGTGGACCCATGAATGGACAGGCAACGAAATGAGCCCCATACCGTTCGACCTTGCTAGCTAATTCTTGAGAAACATCTGGTGCAATGGTGGATTGTTCGACAATGATGCTGTCCTTTTTCAAACCATGGGCCAACAGATTGTCAATCACGTCTTTGACAACGGCGTCATTGAGTAAACAGGTAAAGATAATGTCGGCCTGTTCAGCGACAGTTTTGATCGTCTCGGCAACTTGAATGTCGGGTACTTTCGCTTTGAGTGCTTCCGCTCGGGCCAAGGTTCGGTTGTGCACGAGCAAAGGCTTGCCGCCTGTAGAGACCAAATGTTTATGAATATGCTGCGACGTTTCAAAACCGATAGCGCCAAGACCGATAAACGCGTATTGTGGGATTTGGATGTTCATATGCAGAAATGTGAAGAGGTATGTAGTTTTGGTGTTAAATTAAGCCATAGCCTTATGCAGGAAAGGTGCGCGGGGGGTCCGGGTAAAAGAAAACACCGACTGCATTCAAGGCAACGTTTGTCATAATCTCGTAAGCAGCGTAGCCCTATAGCTGATTGGACACACAAAAAGCGTTAAATTAGAGATGACTTTGATGAGCCATGTAATATGAGTCAGACAACATCCTCAGATCAAAAGCTTATTAATGAATCACCAAACCGGAGCTCGTAGGTGCCGACATGAAACGAAGCGATAAAGGTAATAGAAAAGAAGTATAGACTTTAATCAACGGCGAAACAAGACCTTTCTCTCAAGCCAAGCAGTGACTTCAATCCTCCAACTATTACTGTCACACCCGTCCTTGAATTGACATTCACCCCAGCACATCTTGTCGTTGGGCCTTGGTTCGAGCAGGTCTCAAGCTTCACATCGGCCTTGATTAAAGTTCATATTATAAATACTCCTTCGCGTGTGGAATTCAACGAAACGGAACAGAGCCAAGATACCGGTCTCACTGAATGAGCATTGATTCAATTGGACACCCTGGATAACAGTGGTAGGCACTTTATACTAGCCCCCCTTCACCCGGGTCACAGTTCATCGGTTAAATGTTACTCGACAAAGGAGGCAAATTGTTGTTGCAATCACAGACTACAATCGCTTTTGTGTGCAATATGTCAAGTGACAAAGAAAAATAAAGAACCGGTACTATAATTACAACATCGCAGGACAGGACGGGTGATATTTACATTGTCAATAATAGTACTATTGTAAGGATGGTGTAGGGTGTAAATCATATCATGTTGTGCAAATTAACAAGTTGTGTTGAAGTCAGTATTGGACACATTTACTACTTTACAATTGAACCAGCAGGCCGCTGAATACAAAAAAAGTATTCCAAGTGTCAATACTTTAAGAGCGGGTATCGAGGTGAGAAATAGGTTATGGTGAGGTGACAAGGTAATTGATGATGTATGCATCGCAAGGGATAAAATGTGTATATCATACACCCTGGATGACCGCCATCGCCGTCGTGGTGTGCCATTGGTAATCGAATTCGTCTGGGGCAACCTTAATATACATCTAACAACGCGGGGTCTGCAAAAAATAACAAGAAGATGGTATATTAGGAACACGCGATGTTCTTGCGAATTCATTAATAAAGTACAGTAGTACTTTGATTATTAAATAAGTGAAAGCCTTGTTTCTTTTTACAGTACCTTCTCGTGGTGGAGGCGATTTTATCAATTGAGGAGCTTATTTTCTAAAAGGGTGGTGCTTATCAATACTTTGGAGGGTCGACCATGTCTTCTTCAGAATCCACATGGTAGCCTTAGCTGCAAGAAAAGCCAGTCGCACCATATAGATCGATGCCCTGACTAGGAGGATGACGGTCTTTAACAAGGACACTGCCACCTCCGCGACCGAGACAGCTGTGTCAAAAGTTGAAAGTCAAATGTGGTAAGAGCTTACTGACGCATATGGCACAGCTCTTATCGTACCGCCAGGGATGCATACCGTTGTCAAACAATATATATGGCCAGCGATATTACGCATCCTCAGAGAAATCGATCGGCTCTGTCACCCCGAAGAGCATTTACTGGACGGGGAATCCCCAGGCGAAGACATTGCACCACCATTGCCAGCAGAGCACGACTAAAGTGCTCCGACTATCCTCATTTCCACTGTCATTATTTTATTATATTTGTAACAACAACCTTGCACAGACCTTATCACACATGCACTACTATCATACACTGGCATTACTTTTTCCTCCTGACCACGGGGAGCTTTTCAAGTTCTTACATCTATTCTTTATATAAGACGTATCCCCACGAACAACAAGGAAGCGACCGCAATGTCCATTTGGCGCAGGTCAACAGTCTTCCACAAACAATAAAAACCAAGATTCTAATGAGGGTTGAAATAAGTGAGGGTAAATTTTATATAGAAGCTAGATGGGATTTTATGTTTGAGGGTCCCTTCAACAACAACGTAGACTTAAAGTAAAAAGTACCTTCACTTGAGGATGTTTTCGATGGAGGACCGCTGTGAATAATTCATACGGCTCATTGCAAACAAAAAACAAAAAGCCTTGTCATGCTGCATATCAATCCTCGAAATGGCAATTGATCGAAAGGGCTTTTTAGAAAGGTTCTACATGTCAGGGTGCAACGAAAACAATGGATGACTTATTTGGCCAGATACAATATACGCACTCCTCAATCCGCCACTATATCGAATGACTGTATTGATAAGTTACTGTTGCAGCCGAATAGTACTGTATCAGTATGTATATAACAAAAGGAGGTAATATACGTTTATTATTACTGATAATCAAAAGGCTTATGTTGAGCTTTTTTTTTTCCACAAAAAAAGGAGGGACGAATGTCCATCATAGTAGTGAGAGTAAGAAAAAGTGTGTTTAGTGTGTGAGTGTGTATGGATGGGTAATAGGTAGTGTGGTTGAGGGCATATAAGGAGAGGAGAACAAAATAAAATACAAACTGGTTTTAGGGCTTATTTTAAGAGTGCGAGTGTGAATTTGAGTGGTATACAAGAAACAAAAAAAAAGAAAGAAAAAAGAAAGCGAATTCCTTTTTCTCCTTTTTTTTTTTTTATATGAGTAAAGACGTCTTTTTTTTACAGTGGTTGGTGTAGGGCATACGGTTAAAAGTTATTGATACAAAAAAAGAAGAAAATAATACAAAATTACAGGACGCCAACACGCGACGTCTTTTTACCAGTGACCATGCGCTTGAAGCTTTTCCACAAACGACCCACAACTGTTGGTGGCTCTTGCTCCTCTTGTGCTTGCTGTTGGTCGACTACCTTGTTGGCCGTCGCATCAGAGTTAGCAGAGGATTCCTCAACTGCTGTCGTTGTCGTCGAAGATGGCTTTGGTTGTTGCTTGGGGAGTGGTGGGCCAGTCATCAATGGACCCTTCTTTTTGGGTGTTGGATCAGGACGTAACCACGTAGCCAAAAGCGAACGACGCAGGGGTTTTGGTGGCTGCTGTTGTGGCGGTGCCGGTGATTGTGGCGTTGTGTTAGTACGTGGTGATGGTGTGGTTGTAGTGGTAACTGTGGATGATGCGTGTGGAGATGCTGATGATGCTGATGATGGTGACTTTTTCTTTTCTCGCGTGAACATTCGCTTAAAGCTAGCAAACGCTGACGATGAAGGTGGCTTGCTAGGTACTGCAGGTGCAGATGCCAGCAGCTTATCCATGGATGGTGATGTATCAGTTGTAGTCTTGGGTGATTTGGGTAATGGTTTATTACACAACGTCGTGGCATCAGAAACAACAGAGGATGATCGCGATCTCTGCTGCTGCTGCTGCTGCTGCTGCTGCCGTGATGATGGCTGTTGCTGTTGTTGTTGGTGGTGAGAGTGCTTGAAACGATTGGGCGACAAGCGACCCAACAAACGCGACGTTTTACTATTGGCCTGAGCATTCCGTTCGGCGATGGCCAGATTGTTGGACGTTGTGATATCTGACGAGGACGAGGAAAAGATTTCTTTAATTGACTGAACTGTTCCCCTTTTGATTTCAGGCCGTGCTGTTGCTGATGTGCTGTGGATCGACGACTGGCGTGATGCTGGCGGCATGGATGACGAAGTGGATGACCGTGGTGTCTGTGGCGGATGATGGTGCGATGGCGGATGGTGTGGGGTGGGTATTTGGAACAACGACCGCAGGGATCGGACGGTGCCTCGATGCATGGAGCTGATAATCGAGGCAGAGGACGAACGCTGGCTGCGGAGCGTTTCGGTATCACCGAAATCAACATCATTGTCGTGGATCGACGAGGACTTGGAACGGAGGGAGCGGTGATACCGATATGCACTGTGCTGATCAAACTGGCTGGACGAAGCAAGTGAGGATGCTTTGCTGGATGCTGCAGATTGTCTCCTAGAGCTGTTGGCGGTGCCTGGCGTGGACGGTGCTACGCGCGCCACGTCTCTTGGATCTGCTTCTGCTACAGGCAGGAAATGGGCATCGTTGTGGAAGGGGAAGGCCAAGGGTCGAGGGCAGGAGTAGACGAGATCTGGCTGTCTTGTTTGTTGCTGCTGCTGCTGCTGCTGTAAATGGGCTTTTGTACGACTTGATTTTTTCTTGGGTTGCTTTCTGACGATGGGCGTCGCTACTGGTTGTGTGCTGCTATCGGTTTGCTGACTGGTGGCAGCAGCAGCAGAAGCAGCATTGCTACTTGATGCTTGATGCTGCTGATGCTGCTGCTGATGCTGCTGCTGCTCTTCAGCGGCTGCCCGCAAACTGATCGGAGAGGGCTGTGTTGCATTAGGCGACGACGATGCCGAGGAGGTGTATCCGCTGTCGGCACCGGATGTGTTGGATGATAAAGACGAGCGCTTCTTTGTGCTAGAATCCTTTTTAGAATCGACCCGAGCAGCAGACGAGCGGAGCGCTGCGTATTTCTCGTGACGGTAGCTGGATGAGTGAAAATACATCCACAAGCGCTGTGTGTGTTGCTGTGTGCGGTGTGCGTCGTTTGTCCGTAAAGCTTTTTGTTGATACGAAAGCAGCAAAAAATAAAAGAGAAAAAAGAAAGAACGGAGGAAAAAAAAGTAAAAAGAGACGAAAGAGTGTGCAACGAACGGCGAGGTTTTTTTAAGCACAGTTTACAAATAAGTACAGGTCACACAAGCACTTAAAATACACTCTCCACCTTTCCGTCTCTCTTACTCTCTCACTCTCACTCAGTGGATGTCTGGCTGCCTGACTGCCTGACTGCCTGACTGCCTGCCTGACTGACTGATATCCGCTCTCGCCCCGTGCAATACAAAAGTAATATGCCGCCACACTCTATCCGTGGAAAAAAAGGCCCTTCTGGCTTTATCTCGGCATGCACAACACTTTACATACTAACTGGCACTATGTGCCTATACATGGTGCATATATCCCTTGATTTTATTTAAGTACACACACTCTCTATCTCTCACTCTCTTTGGCGATTGCAGCAGAAACCCGGTAGTCGAGAACAATAGATCTAAATTATCATATAAGAAATACAAGTCAGCTTACTTCTGCTACGAGAACTGACCGGGACCGACCGTGTAACCTTACGTGTACGTGTCACAGACTTGCCAATCCCATACACTATTTCAATGATCGATCCCTTCTTCTTCTTCTTACTGGAACAATTCAATGCTCTAACGGTTCATACGCATAGGACGATGAAGACGGCGTTGCCTTGGTAAAATAGGAGACAATCAAGGCCAGCAACAGATTCATTACCAAAGCAGCGGTTGCCAGGAAGAACGCAACGTCACACCGAGTGCCTTGCAAGGACGTGCACAAATGTGCCATGATCAGGACCGACACAGCACCGGGCACGGCTACACAACACACGCACGCGTTTAACGTACATACGTGATACAGAAGATGGGAGATAATGAGAAGAGCATATGTGGACAAAAAAGAAAACATGCGTTGCTGTAGATTAGACTCACCATGCAGCACAAGCATGCTGGTTATTACAGTTTCATGCGGGTGTGAACGCGCGGACGCGAGGGATACACAACAGCAGTTAGCGTAAGAAGGTTTATTTTTCTTTCCCATGTCAATTGCAAGAATAGCAACAACAACGTTGACTTACACTGACACAACCTTCCATCCTCTATCCCTTTTACGGCCAATGCTACACATTGTTCCGATCACCGCAACGATCGCCAAGGCACCTACCACGCCTGCCAAGATCATCCCTGCTCCTGCTGTTTGCCTGGTATATATACAAATTATCAATCATGGCCCTTTTCTTCTCATCGTACCAATTTATCTGTGACTGCACTGAAAGTGCTTACCAGATAGGACATAGCATTCCTATATATCATACAAGATATAGCAGGGTTGGTATCAGTAAGAATTCAGAGGGTTGTTCGAACTCTCTTACCTGTCGCAGCGCATTTTTCCGCTGAACCTGGAAATGCTTGACATGCCTCGTTGGTGCCACTGCATATCCACGACCGACAACAAAAACAAAGTTACACTCTCATACGTTTCTTCCCCGAACCTCAACCCCTGGATAATGACGACGACATTCATGGGCGTTTTCTCTTATACCTGTGACAGAGTTGAAATAAGCCGTAGGATCGCATCGTTCCATCCGTCAACGTTACCGTCAACCTTGTTTAGATATTTCACGGTTAAAAAACAGACCGAACAAGCGCGGCTGAAAAAGTAGCCTCAAGCATGCTACTGTATAGCTGCTCCTTCTACTTTACCATTTGGGTAGAATGAGCGATGTCCAGTTGAATGCATAACTCGTTATTACAAGTACGAGCAACACGGAATAGGAAAGAAGCGGCATGTAATATGCAAATACGCAACGAGCAAAAGAAAAGTATGACAGAGAAGAGCAAGAGTGAAATTTTATGTTCTGTTCCAACACGTATGTACAAAATAAACACGAGACCACAAACAACGTTAGGCATTGTATTGTACGGATCTACGGGTGCCCACCCACGCAAATCTATTTATACTTTCTTCACAAGTTGGCCGAGGCGAGCACCCTCCACAGCCAACCGATCCGCATTGTCATTGCCATAGTCACCGCTATGGCCTGCCACATACGTCAACCATACTTTGCCAGGTCGTAGTTTCTTCAGGTCCAATATGCGCTCTACCAAATCACGGTTATCCACCGGCTTACCCGAAGATCCTTTCCAGCCGTTCTTGAGCCACTTGACACTCCAACTTTCCACACAATTGATCGTGTATTGCGAATCGGTGCGAATCTCCAGTGAGCCTTGACCAGTCCTACTTTGTTCCAGCGCACGTAAAACTGCCGTCAATTCGCCTCGTTGGTTCGTTTGTTTCTCGCCTTCGAGCGGTCCACCTTCGTTTCGTGGATCGTCCGCCCCCCAGAACACACCATAACCAGCGCGCGCACCACGTTGACCGTTCTTGGATGCGGCGCCGTCAGTATATACCACTTCGTCTGCTTCTTCAACTTTCGCTGCTGTTGTTTTTTGGGCAGTACTACTTGATGCAGTAGCACTCGATCGATCATATTTGGTTTCACCACTGGGCTGCTTGATCTTGCCATCTTTAACAAATGCCTGAGCTTCTTCATACTTTGAGAATTTCCGGAAATGGGGTTTCGTAAAGCCGTCTACTTGAGCTTTGCATTCAGCCCAGGTTTTGTAAATGCCACTGGCGTGACCGCGCCGTACAGCATAAAACGCTTTGCTGATCGATTCCTTTGGCATGCCAAGTACTGATGGAAGACGTGCTGTCGTTATGGCTGTTGCTACTTCTAGGGCTGCTGCTTCTGCTGCTACTGTTACTGCTTTCAGGGGCGTCAGCTTTCTTTTAGGATGGTATTGTCGTATAAGTTTATACGGCAGGAATAAAAACACAAGTTGGAAATAAAATAAATTTTTCGGTTCATGCAGATAATGCTTTTTCTTTATTATCTCTTCGGATAACGGCTAATAAATTTTTCGCACCAAGAAAGCTCGAGCATCCGTGAAACTCACTTTACCAATCGCTTGACTCAATAGTCGTGACGAACGAGGTGCTGGACGACGAGGTGGTGGATGGGAAGGTAATCTCTGCTGCTGCTTATGTTGTTGTTTGCGGCTTGTATCTTGTCAATAAGAAGATTCACTCGCCTTTTTGTTATTGCCGTTGCCCTTGTACCTGTTCCTGTCCACTTGCATTTACCCCTGGCCTTGGCCTCAGCACCTTCATCCATCACCTTGATAATCTGATGATCTGTGATAAAGGACGGATCGTTGGGATCCGACGGCAATGCTTGCGTCAAGTTCTCCTGATTTGCCCATCTTCGCATACTCATTGCCGACTGTTTTCCAAACATTCGACTTCATTTCCTGAATTTGTGTCCAAAGCGTTTGGGAAGGTCGTTCTGGGGTGTCCATGTCGTCTTTGACGGTTTGCAACTTGTTGTTCTCCAGTCGCGTGAGAGGATACGGATTTAAAGCATATCACTTGCTGCGTGAACCCTTGTCCATGAAAAGCATCAAGCTGTAATTTCCAGTCACTCGTGGGATTATAGTATCGATTGGAGGGTCTCTCGTTTGAACAAATATATTCGCGCAGAGCCTGTATGATCTCGTCAAGCTCATCCAAAGCAGAGGCAATGTGCAATCGAACAGGTTAGGTGGACTTGTCTTTCTGATCGCTGAAGACCATGGTTGTTCAAGGCTGTTACCATTTCGTCCAGAAGTCGCTAGCGGTGCTGTTTTGCAATAGCTTTCTACATCGGTCGTACCGTCTCGTCCAAGTTGCGGTCTTCGTCGTCATCCATGTATATTACAGTATTGAACGGCTGCTCGTCCGATTCATATCCAGCTGCCCGCATTTGCGCTGCTAGCTCGTTAAGTTTCTTTTTTCGTTCACTCGCAAGGAGGATGCAGTTGTCAATTGAGCCGATATGATATTATAAATTTAACATACATAGTGTTCAGTCTTCCATTGTACCCAAGTTCCTTCCACTCTCATTTCTTCTAAGCGTTTAATGAGCTCAGCCTTACATGATCTGCGGTCTTGACATTCATGTTTAATCCGTCGTGGCACCAATTGGAGCGGGTTAGTCTGGATGTGGTTCGTATCGCCTCCATCCATCTCGCGGACTCAGCGGATAACTCGGTATCGGAAATAGAGTCGCATCGAGGATCCCCCTTCTTGGGCTAAATACTGCCATAAGAGTTGAAAGATTGGTGTAAGCTACTGGAAGCAAGGAAAGGAAGGCAAGTTATCCGACAGAGAAGACCCAATTTTAATTAGAAGAGTACAAGAGCACCTTGTACTACAAGCCTCAGATTTGACAGGCTCGCTGTTTCGAAGCATTGATTGCATCACCGCTTAGGCTACCATTACACATACTGCTCCCAATCGGTATTGATATTTTGTCTACTATTTCTGTATTAATTAGCTTGTGGCAGCATTTTATGCAGTTCCATTTAACAGTACATGAAAACTAGTGCTTTTTGTTAAAGTATCTCATTAATCGACGACTGCGTTAAGAAAAGGAACGGTCTACTTCATGAATAGCGGCGGGTACGAATGCGAATCCATTCCTTGTAATCGCCTGCCATAACGAATTATGTACCTGCAATGTATCCATTTAAACCACTAGGTTCTAAATGTATACTGGACCATGACTGAGAGATTGTACCAGCAGAGAGGCATACAGATAAAAGGCGCAGAGGCGACAACTTAATCATTGTTCTAAGTATCTTCATTACCGACGATCCTTTTTTTTTGATACCTGTGTCTTGCCTTTAAACTTGCCATCTTTGCAACAACAGCTATGTATGTACATCATGGAGGTCTGGGGATGATCAAGTGGTCGAGCTGGCTTTCACTGACACGAAAGGATGCCACGGATTCTCAACAGCAATCCGCGTAGCAGATACCTCTTCTTCTCACGATTTCCAATGAAAAAAGTGTATGGTGTAATAGGCACACTTGCTTAAGCCTGAAAAGTATTATGCCGATAATGTCGTCGAGCATGAAGTCAGAAGATGGCTTTGGGGATAAAGCTTGAATTTCTTCCACGCGCCACTCAATTTTAATGAAAAGTTACTATGCGATACTTGCAACATGCTTTTTCTATTGATTAAAAAGGTATGTAAAAAGTGCGATGTATATATTATATTAATGCTTTTGAAAACTACTATGCATATCTATGAATTATCATCATCACTTCGTTACCATTGCCAGTAATAGCAGTAACATCGAATTACTCGCGCGACGGGGCTTACATCATTTGTAAGGGTACTGATACAAGTACCTCCCTTCCTAACAGTTGGTACAAGTTTCCGTACAGATTAGCGATGAACGCTTAACTATACAGTATGTAGCAACTGTGGTATCTGTTAGAAACGGATTAAGTACAAATAGCTAATTTTTAGTTCTATCAGTAGTATACAAGGTTTGCCTTTAAAAAGCGTCATATAAATTTATCAAAACACGAAATGTGATTTGATAAAGTGATTTGGTGGTGGATGGCCAAGCATGAAGTGCTTACGCCGATACATTATCTTTTCATTGTTCTGCATTTTGATTTTAGAAAAATCCAAACATTATGGGCAGCATGGTACTTAATATTAAGCAATTTATTTGGCTCAAAAGATGGAGAGGGGGTGTACGTGATAAATGTTATCTTTTTATGTACTCATCTAACTATGCTACTGTACTTATACTTAATCTACTTGTGTCTCTTGACCTATTTCTTCACACAATCCGATTCTGCGCTGCTTCACGATTAAATATGCATCTATGTCCTTTCCCTTCAAGACGAAAGAAGATGTTCTTTAATCACGTTTCATCGAATTGGTTTTATAGGAGCGGTATTCATCTACTTACATAACTAAAAAGTTACAAAGTGTTACTGTTAATAGTAATTTGCATTTGGTGTCTTAATAAAGAAGGTTCTGACAGAATAGAAAAATTCATGTACCAATGTATTTGTCACTAAGTATCGGTAAAACAATTTTTGCGGAATAGTGTAGGTGCGTTCCAAGCGTAAAGTCTTTTTTTATTCGTCGTTCAATCCAGCTTTCACTTATTTGCTTCTTTTTTATTTTTAACTGGCAACCTGATATCACCCAACCGAAAATACCAATTACTACTTTTTTCAAATAAATGTTTAAAATTCGATGAACAATAATCAAGGGCATTTCATTGATAACACCGCACAACCAGATTACAGTATGTCCAAGTGAAAAATATATATATATATATAGAGATTTCTTGTGAGATTCTTTAAGATCAGTCTCTACTTTTTTTTGTTACCATTAACTGTTGATCACGATATTTTTTTACTTTATGAAAAACAATAGACTGGAGCCAAGAAGCCCAAAGAGAGAATAATCGCACGCAACAGTATCCAACACAAACATTGCAGCAACTCTTGAAAAAAGCAAAAGTAGGTACAGCAGCTACAACAACTAGACGAATAACGCCAACAGCAACAGAGACGAATGGTGGTATGAAGACATTCGGCACCAACGGATCACCAAATACCAACACTACTGGTATGGCTTTTAAGACGAGCTTTTTTTTCAAAAGAATTCAATGTATAAAAATGCTAAGGATCTCGGATTGTGTATAGAATCGCCTGTGCAGTTTGCGCTTCCTGCAAACTTGGCGTTGCCAGCCCGACCAGCAACGGCGACGCCAACTGCTGCTAATACCACTGAAGCGCCAACCACAATGGAAGCCACAGCCGCAACTGTTTCGCCGCCAACAGCACCACAATCTCCACAGTCTGCTCGATTGTCATCAGTAGCAGTAAAAGCCTCGCCTTCACAACCACGCAATGTACCGACCACTGCTCCATTCTTGACTTCACCTTTCAACACATCGCGTTACATGGCAACAACTGCATCGCCAACCCAAAGTCCAGTGTCGAATGCAGCTACTGTCGTGAACAGCTCGGCTACCTCAGCTGCAGCGTTTGCCGCAGTAGTAGCAAGTCAGGGCAACACGACTCCTGGTGCTGTTGTTGTACCTTCAGCAGCTACGTCGCCTGTGACTCCTACTGCTCAGAACCCTACACTTGCTCAAGATGTGATCCAAAAACAACAGCGAGAACTGCTAAGAATGTTGAATAAATATCGAACACAACAACAAACGCAACTTAGCCAACAGCGATTCATACAACATCAGCGCCAGCTACAGCAGCAGCAGCTACAGCAGCAACTGCAGCAACAGCGAAACACACATTCTTTTTCTACATCGCCACAACATAAGAATCAACAGTACCAGCAGCAGAGGAACGTGGAAAGCAGTGCGATCGCGCAGCGAAATAACATTCGTTTGGCTCAACTTCAACTAGAAATTTCTTCTGCAACCATGTTTGGACCTGCTTGTGACGAGTTCTTGGAATGGTTAGAGGATGCTCGTGCATATAATCCCGGTAACGAAGTTGCGATAATGGCCTGTGCTGCTGTAAGTGTGTCTAATGAAAAGAAGGATATTTTTCTTCATCCCTTTTGTTCCCTTGTTATTGCATAAATGTAGTAGATCAATCGATGGAATGAGATGAGTGGACATGTTAAACGATGATGATAATTGACAAGCTCGCATGATCGTTACTTTACTTTTAGGCTGTACGACAAAATTTCGAAATGGGTCGATGGTCCAGTTTACGTATCTTTGATACTATCCATAAATATGTCAAGTACCTGAGCGATCCGTCTCGAGGTAAGTTATATCTGTACTCAAAATAAACACTGACATTGATCGTCATACCAGAACCCTCCGACTAAACGTTTGCTATAGTCACAATTGAAAAATGGAGAGATGAAATTCGTACGGTAACATTGGGCGAATCAGGCTCTCCTGCCACTACAACTGTTAATGCTGCGACTACTACATCATCCTCTCGATCGCAAACATCATCACCTGTGGTGACTCCGTTTAACAGTATACCGATACGTCATCAACAGTCAGAATCACCTGTTCTAGCCCAATCCCCACAGAATCGACGATTATTGCCAGCCAACGCACCTATGCAGCCGGCTCATGCGCAAGCACAAATACCCACTTCTGTTGGACCGGTAGTCCCATCCATGCCATTACCACAACAATATCAAAAGAAGCAGCAGCAATATATGTTCCAAATGGCACACCAACCGACTCCTCAAACACCGCAAGTAGCACCTCCAACACCACCACAACAGCAGCAGCAACAACAACAGCAGCAACCGCATGCACCCCTTGGACCACCCAATTTTCAAGTTTCTTGGGACCAGGCGCTATGGAACCATTATTCTACTGTCTCTCCTGATTCTAATCACAATGCCGCGGCAATTACAGCTGCCAATTTGGTCAATGTGAACCGTGCGCACATGATGGCTCCGCCCGCCGCTACCACTACCACTGCTTCTGTGGCCGGAGCGCCAGCACCAAAGACAAATCAGCTCCCATTTATCCGGAAAATCGGATACGCTGTCAATCCGTTCCGTTTGAAACACAATAAGACGATAACTAGGGTACCTTTCTTTATCAATCCCGACGGATATACCAGAATGTGGAAGGGGTCTCATCCAGGGCCTGTGGATCCAAACCGATTACCCATTTCGTTTGTCCTGACGGCTTGGCGTGATAAAACACACGAAAACAAATGTGAATGGCCTGACACTATTAAACTCGAGCTGAATCGTACTATACCCATCATCACAAAGGTACGTATATATGGGCTGATAGTAAGAATGGTCTTTTTACTGACATTATCATAATCACATAGCGAAAGAAAGCACATGTGCCAGGCAGACCAAACAACGTTTTCAGTTATCAAGGCAAAGATAAACCGCTGGATGCTGGCGGTTATTTGAATCAAGGGAACAACGAACTTACGATAGAGCAACTTGATTGCGCATGTGTGAGTACATTTTAGCATTTCTATCGCTGGCAAAAGATAAACGCGAATGCTAACTCTTGATCTCTCTTCGTCTCTTCTTCACTGTTTCTCTTACTGGCACCATAGTCGTACTACTTTGCCATCATCATGTATGTTCGCGAGTCCGAAGAGATCATAACAAATTGGGTCCAATCCCGGATATTGGATATCAACAACGGTCGCGGAATTGTAAATCGGTTACTGGGAGTAGCGGGGAGCAATAACAATGGTGATGACGATCTCGAAATTTGTCAAACCAACGTGAAGATTGGGCTCAAGTGTCCTATTTCCTTGCAACGTATCAAGGTTCCGACAAAAGGGCGAGACTGCAATCATGCCGATGTAAGTCTCTTCTCTCTCATCGTAAACCAGTAGATACATCTGTTTATCATCAGACCATCTGAACCCGAGTCGTGTCTCAATCATTTTTTAAATGATAATAATAGTGCTTTGATTTGACATCCTACCTGGCTGTTAATCACGAAAATGCTTCTTGGAAATGCCCGCACTGTAACGAATACACGCCCCCGGACAAGCTTAATCGGGACGCCTTTTTCGAAGACTTGCTTAAACGAGCCGGCAAAGTTGCAGTTGAAGTCGAGTACACGGAGGATGCTGACCATTTCCGCGTCATTAAGTCTGAAACACCTGATCCAGAAGATCAGCCCTCAGCCGACGAAACGGGCAATGTATCAGCGACAGAGTCGGCGGCGGTGGCGACTACTATTACTACTACTACTACTACTACAGTAACAGCCAAAGTAGAGCCCGAAGTGGAACGGAACGTGATCAGCTTGTTGAGCGATGACGAAGACGAAGAAGAACAAGAAGAAGCAGCACACGGAGGACAGAATGTCAACCAGGCAGCAGGCGTCAACAACAATGGAGAGGACAACAATACGAGTCGCAAACGTACGGCAAACACGGAAGAGTCAGTGCAAACGGCCCAGTCTGAATCTAGCGTGGAAAGAAGTCCAGCGACGCCCGGTGACATTTTTGGCATCAAGCGCCCACGGCACGGTGAAGAAGCATATCAGACCCAGTTTGCGCCAATGGATACAAACGAGCTGCTGAACTCTTTCTTCGCACTGGCGTCACAGACTGGTGGCGGAAGTAACAACAGCGACAACATTCACGCTACTACCAATACAAATAATAATAATAACGATTATTCAAGTAGCGGCCTATGAATGTCTTGTCTTGTTCCCTTACTTCCTTTATCGCCATCGCGAGAAAAACATAAAAAATTGTCCTTACACGTACTCACTTCATATCATCTATCATCTCTCACACTTACACTCTCTCATCCTTTAAAATTTTTGCATACTTATCTCAATTTCCCCTTACCTCCTTCCCGCATATTTGGACAGGATGTTTGTAAATTTTATTTCTTCTTCTTTAACCTTGGAAGAAGATTCTGTGTAAATATGTACAGTTGGTCTTGTTACATCCTCTCTCTACCGGGAATGTCCTTTCTTCATGCTGCGGTTGTACTGCATCAGCGTCGGAGTTGCTGTCAGGGCAGCAGCTGTTGTTGCGTCTTCTTTGTGATCCGATATCTGGTCGCCCTTTATATCCACGCAAATAACTTGGTGTTCTATCAAAACAAAGTATGACCGTTTATCGTGGTTGACCAGGGATGTGCCTCTGCTATCAGCACACTACACTTTGTTGTTGTATTCATCGATTGGGTCCTACGCATACTCTTTGCTACCGCCATCCTTTCGATTGGGTCCGCTTTGCACCGCTTTGTGGAACGCTGTTTAAAAAAGGATGCCAACGTGTCGCGCAGGTTTTAGCTGCGTCACTTTTTCCTTTTCTTTCTTCTAATTGCATAACAGATTGACAACACCATGGGTATTCCCAAGTTTTTCAGATGGATGAGGTAAAGTAACCTATTATAAATGACCGGGCATCCAAGCTTAATGACTTGCTACATCCTCATTATATTAAATCACTCTACACTTTATATATACTAAAGCGAGCGGTATCCAATGTGCTCGCAGCTGATCATGCAGAACAGGATTCCAGAGTTTGGTACGTTTTTTAGTCACCCTATCCTTTTTTGTTTGATTCGATAATAAGGAAAAAGAAAGCTTAGCAATGTATAATAGACAATTTGTATCTCGACATGAACGGCATCGTACACAACTGCTCGCACAACAACAATGCTAGCGCGCACTACCGCATCTCAGAAGAAGAAATTTGGATCGGCATCTTTAACTATGTAGATCACATTTTTGCAAAGATTAAACCCAAAAAGCTATTCTTTTTGGCGATTGATGGCGTTGCACCAAGAGCAAAAATGAACCAACAACGATCCAGACGTTTCCGAACAGCACAAGAAGCAGAAGCATCACGAGCAAAGGCAATGGCTAGAGGCGAAGAGTTGCCAGAAGAGCCACCATTCGACAGTAACTGTATTACCCCTGGTAAGAAAGCTGTCATAGATATTTTAGACACACCTCAAGCAGTTATATAGTAACAAAGAAATGTAATTTTAGGTACCGAGTTTATGACCAAACTGACAGCAGAGCTTCGGTATTTCATAAGCAAAAAAGTTTCCGAGGATGCCAACTGGCGTGGCGTCGAGGTTGTTTTGTCTGGACCTGAGGTTCCAGGTGAAGGCGAGCACAAGATTATGGAATATATCCGTCTGGCAAAGGCTCAGCCAAATTATAACCCCAATACGAGACACTGTTTATACGGCCTGGACGCTGATCTTATCATGCTTGGTCTGTTGAGTCACGACCCGCATTTTGCATTGTTACGAGAAGAGGTTACCTTTGGAAGACAGGCTGCAAAGAAAAAGGCAGCGTAAGTGGTTTGGCAAGCTTAATATTTGTGAGAGAGAATGGTACATGGATGAACGAGCGCGGCATACAAGGGAGAAGGTTGTGATGTATATCTAATGGATTGTTGTCTTGTATAGCCTCGATAACCAAAAGTTCTATCTGATGCATTTATCACTACTGAGAGAATACCTCGACCTCGAATTTGTCTCCATGAAAGACACACTGCCTTTCAAATACGATTTGGAACGGGTGTTGGATGACTTTATCCTGCTCGCGCTCTTTGTCGGCAACGATTTCTTGCCGCATCTGCCCAGTTTGCATATCCACGACGGTGCCCTTGGTCTCATGTTTAACATTTACAAAAAGACGCTCCCCAGTTTCGATGGATACCTTCAAGATGGCGGCAATGTCAATATGAAGCGATTGCAAAACATCTTGAATCAGCTGAGTGACGTGGTGGAATTGGAGAACTTTGAAGCAGAACGAGAGGATATGGTCTACTTGGCTGGAAAGCAGCAGGATGGTGCCACAGAGCGCGAATTACTCCACAAGATGGAAAAGAAAAAGAAGGGCGAATTGAGTAAGTGTTATAATAAACAAGGACTGGGGCGACATAGTGTGGGTGTATGACGGAATCAGTGTAGCTAACAGAAAGTTTAATGAAAATTATCATTAGCTATCACCGAAACTCAAAAAAAACTGTTCGGCCAGATCAAAGAATTCATCATGGAACACAGTCCATCCAAGCCAGGACAGCTTCATTTCCCAGCCAACCTCAAGGCTCGCGATCGCCGATTCATTGAGACGATAGCCAACGATTTTAACTTGCATTTTGCAGTCGAGTATTCGAACGAAGACAATTCCAAGCACGTGTATATTGAATTCTTCGAGAACGAAGAAGGCGAGGAAGACACGTCCGAAGAAGACGAAGGTTTTGACGAGGAGGCCATTGCAGCACGTGATCGCGTACTTGCAAAATACGAGAACGCACAGGTGATCAAAGATGAATTGACAGAAGAAGAGTTGGGTCGAATTGAGCAAGAAAAGTACGATGCTGATCACAAGGAATGGAAGCGTCAATACTATCAAGTAAGCTATATCTTTGGTGTTATGTGGCGGTGATGGTGATACAGACGCCACCTTAGATGATGTTGTCTGTGTGTTTGTTTTCTGTTTGTTTGGGATTCGCCACGTGATGGGAAGAACTGTTGTTGCTGTTGCTGATCTATTTCGTGTGATCTTTTGTAAAGGAAAAAATGGGTATTGATATCAACAATGAAGAGCAAATGGACAAGATTAAGCGCGAATACATCAACGGTATCCAATGGGTTTTGCATTACTACTACAACGGCGTTGCTTCGTGGGGCTGGTTCTTCCCGTACCACTATGCTCCCAAAATGTCTGATCTGGTTGATCTTGAAAAGTACCAAGATAACAAGTTTACTCTCGGCAAGCCATTCCAGCCCTATGAGCAGCTTATGGGTGTGTTGCCCACGCTTAGCAGAAAGCTGTTGCCAGCTGCATATCAAGTAAGTATCGTGTTTCCCATAGAAAGAGCTTTTCGCAGACAATAGTTGCGTGTGTTTCATACACCGAATCCATGCTGACAAATATTACTTTTTTTTACCCCACGCACAGGAATTAATGACGAGCACCACCTCACCGATCCTTGACTTTTACCCAAGCCAATTTGAGATGGATCTGAATGGCAAGAGACAAGAGTGGGAGGCAGTGGTCAAGATTCCGTTTATTGACGAAAAGCGGTTGTTGGACGCAATGGAAACCTACGAGCATCGATTAACAAAGGAGGAACGCAAGCGCTCCACATTTGGAGATGCATACAAGTTTGTTTATGACGAGTCGCTCGCTACCAAGAACGACAATGACGACTTCACATACCCAAGTCCTCTACCCGGCGTTTTCCCGGATATCCATCATTGCATGTCGCGGGAGGTTGTCTTCCATTTGCCTACTTTGGATGGTGGTTTACAGTTCAACAAGCATCTGTGCAACGGCGTCAAGTTAGGCAAGGATGCTTTGGCTGGCTTCCCATCGTTAGACACCATACCACACAGTGGTGAACTTCGTTTCCACAATGTCAATGTGTTCCAGACCGAAAGCAAGTAAGGAGAACGGATTGTTGTATCAAGCTGGCTGATAGTTGCCATTGAAATTCACGCTTTTTTGTTACTACACCTTCTTAGGAACGAAACAATGGTTGTCATTCTCAAGAACACCTATGAAAATGCAAATATCGAAGATGTTGCGAAATCTCTGTTGTACAAGCGCGTATTTGTTCGTAAGTACCCAGTGCCTCTTCATAAAATTATGGTTTGTTTATTCACATTGATGCTATGCTGCTGCTAGACTACCCATATCTTCAAGAGGCTGTTGTCATTGGTGTATCAAATCTGCGTGCCAAGTACTACATCAAAATTGCCGGAAAAAAGAAGCAAATTCGCGAACATGTGTTGGATGACGAGGAAAAAGAAGATTGGCGCAAACGTATTGGACGGGTCGAATACATGACGAGCAAGCGATTCGGTCTCGACGTCGGCAAGTCTGAGATTGGTCTACACGTGTGCACGCTGCGTGGCATGAAAATGACAGAATCAGGAGCCTATGTTAAGGAATATGTCAACCCTGCCCAAGAAGACTTAATTCCGTTACAGTCGGTCGTGACCAAGGTGTCTAATCCAGATGCACGTTATCAAGAGCGTCCTCCATCGCCTATCAATGAAGAATTCCCGTTACAGAGTAAAGCGTTCTTCTTGGGAGGCACTTTGTACGGCAGCTTGGGTACCGTCATGGGCTATGGCAAGAACGATGTAGTCAACCTTCAGATGATTGTGCCAACCGATTTTCGACAACGCAGAGAGCCATCTTTTGGTCGTGACGTGGCCCGAAAGCAGATTGAGACAGTCGAGTATATGCCATCTTACGCGGTCAGCAGACAGCTGGGTATTGATGGACTGGTGCTGTCCATAATCACATCTGCAGTGTCTGTACAAGACAAGGGCCTTCAGCGAATCAATGTCGGTTTGAGTCTCAGATTTGAAAACAAGCAGCAAAAGGTGATTGGTTACACTCGCAAGAACCAAAATGGCCAATGGGAATATTCTACCAAGGCAATCGAGCTGGTAGAAGAATACATGCGCGAGTTCCCCAAGTTTGTTGCTATGATGAATATAAAGAAAGGAGGTGGTAAGGAATATTTCTTCTGAACGCAACCTTTTCTGTTCAGACGCTATAGTAATCAAAAATCAACCCTCTAACCCTTTCTTTTCTGGTGTTTCTGGTAGGAATGTTGCATGTAAACGATTTGGTTTGGTCAGAAAGCGGCTCCAAAGAAGTTCAGAGGATGCGACAATGGCTTAAGAACAAGAAGGTGGACGATTTACCCAGAGCGTCGCTACCCACTGAAGAACTGGAGGAAGTATGCTTCATCTTTTCTCTTAATCTTCAAAATGGCTATCTTTGCAGAGAGAAAACTTACTAAAGCTTGTCCTGGTTTCTTTAGCCATTCGTCAAGCTGATTGAAGATCTATCTACGCAATACACTGATGAGTACGACGACCTGCAGTTTAAGAAGGTTATCATCCAACACATCCCGCGTAAAGTTTTGCTTAAGCCCGCCGACGCCGAAGTCAAACTTAACAGCCAATCGTTCAAACTAGGCGATCGTGTTGTCTACGCACTTGAAGCTGGAGCAGTTCCTCTTGGCTTCCGTGGCACAGTTGTTGGTGTGCAGGAGGAAGCAGTGATTGATGTTATATTTGATGCTGCTTTTATGGGAGGTACCAATCTCGGTGGCAGATGCGCGGATTTCCGCGGCTTTAGTTTACCATTCTGGAGTGTAATCAACTTGTCGCATACATCAAACGCACATCAGCCCTACGACGGTTCGGCAAACGATCACCATCCTACTAGCAACTACAACAGCAGCAGACAGCGGCATCATCACAACGACCATCATCATGCACGGAATAATAACCAGCGCAATAATTACCGTAACAGCCATCACAGCAACCCAAAACGAGTACCCTCGCCCTTGCCCTAATAGATGATTCACTCTTTTCTTTGGCAACCCCTTTCTCTCTCTCTCTCTCTCTCTCTCTCTCTCTCTTCGTTTTGTTGATATGACAGTAGTCAGATGTACCCAAAAAGGTTTTATGGTCTCACTTGTTCCAATATCAATAATGAAAGCAAAAGAAAAAGCAATCACATTAACATAACCATGACACACAGTTTCTGTTCTATGTGTATTCTTCAGCCATGATGAGTAGGACTAAGCTGGTCCAGCCAGTAAAAGGATGGCTCCTCAAGCCTTCGCCAGTTCTATCGTCATACTGCTCCCAGACATATCCTGTCTTGCGATAATCCTAACATAGGATCATTTTGTGAGCGTGTGTTGGACACGGTTTATCTTCAACTGGCCGTCGCACAGCAATAGATTTTAGACATTTACCTTGTAAACGTTGTTGATGATATTCTTGCGCAAAGAGGTGTAAATCTTTTGGGCTTGTTCTTGATAAGGACCGGGAACATTGATGTAGTTCTTTTAGAAGCAGAAAAGACATGGTTAAAGTCCAGTCAGTAAAAGGAAACTCAATCCTGTATTAAAAAGGCGGTCGTACATTATGAAGACTTTGCAAAGTGAGATAATTGATATTCATCCAGATCGGACCACGCCAGTACACTTCGCCCGTTCTGTACTTTGGATCAGATGCTGACAAGGAACGCAAACCATAGGGAGACCATAATTCATCTTCATCGGCAATCAAATCCAAGGTAGCGCCCAGCTTCGGGGAATCTGCAGGCAACAATCCGAGCGCAAATGGCATGAGAGTTGCGTAGCCCTTATGGCACACATGCACTGGTTTGCCTGAAAAACGTAAATGTACATGTTAGACTCGTTCATTCCCATGCATTATTGCTTAGAATTCCATCTGCGTCTTCACCTTCTTCCATAGTTTGGTCACAGTACGCTTGTTGTTCCTCGTTCCAGTGCAAAGCATCCAAATTATCCAGCATGTTCTTTTCAATACGAGTGTATTCCTCGACATCATCAGCATATTCTGGACCAAGATGACTGGATATATCCTTAAGCATGCGCGTAGCAAATGCCATCCAGGACAGCAAGTCAGCATGTAATTCACCCACGTTAGGTGGTTCACCGCGTGGATAATCGTCCAAGCCAGAGGTCAGGGTATGTTCAGGTGTGCGACCTCTCCAGCGATACGCTTCTTCATTGTTAGGCGCTTGACGACCATATCCTTCAATGTGACCCTTTTGCATTGTGCGGAACCATTGCCAGTTGAGCTTCAGTTTGGGGTAGACAGATTCGAGCCAGGCGCTTGCCATCGTTGGGTTGTCGAGATGCATTGTGCGCAAAAGATCAGCGTCGTCTATGCTGCCCATCCTGACTGTTTGTTGTCCAGCACCGCCAAGATTTTGTTGATGATGTTCTTCGTGGCTCAAGAGTCTTTGGACATATCGACTAATAGCCAAGTAGAGTGTGGGCGGATTGCCATAGTGAGGGAATTGGGTTTGGAATTCGGCAGGAACTTTGCTGCGTGCTTCGTCGCCCAAAATCTGCTCACGACCAATCCATCCATTGTCGTCAATAAGTGATACCCAGTGCTTGACAATGTTAAGGCTATATCAAGCAGATCATGGTCACCAATGTCAGTATTTTCCACAATCCACGGTGTTCTTAGCTTATCTACAATGTGTATATTTCTTATACCTGAGATCGTTATCCCACTTGCCAATCACAAGCTGATGGAAACCTTCATCCCTAACAAGGAACAAAAAATTGTGTAAGTCTAGACATACAAATTGTTTTTAACGGTGTTGAAGTTGTTACCAATAAAATCCGCGCGGAAAGAAGGGGCGACTAGGTGTAGCAGTGAATAGTGATTGAGGTGACGTGAATTCAGGTTTGGTAGCAGCGCCATCAAAGCTTTCCTCATCTTGCATAGGAGGATGTGACCGATCCACGACTGCAGAACCATGGAAATAACCCATGCCACCAAGCAGATTGCTCAACAAAAATTGGCCAAACTCGACCTCCTTCCCGGAAAATCCTTTTCTTTGAAGATGGAACACGTTTTCAAACCTTGCTTCGAATTCTTCTCGCTGACGCGTGAGTTCCGATCCCAAAGCCTCGCCTGTGGATGGAGTAGTATATATACATGTGTGTGAGCTATACAAAATATCAAGTAGTGATATGTAGCATTGATCGAAATAAAATCAGGGACATACTTGTCATTTTTTTGGGAGAGCTTCCTGATTCGAAGAGAATATCAAACTATATCATTTTTTTTTCAAGATTTTTAGCTACGATTTTGTAGTGCACGCACAACGATAGTACTTTTTTTTTATCAATTACCTGGAACTCGCCCTTGAACACCTTTTGGAAAGCATAGAGATTCGCAATTTCATCTTCTTCTTCGGTCAATTCGTTCTTTAATGTGAAATAAGCATATGGCTTATCCAGAGCTTCCTGTTGATTGCTTTCTTGCATCAATCGTTCTCGTGCGGAAAGGAGCAAATTTGGCATAATGATATCTGCAATAAAAACAGTAAGAATATACACCCAAGTTCACAGGCACTTATTAGTCGACGTTCGCACCACCAAGTCTTAAAGGTTGTCGTTCTTCCCTAATACAAACCTTTGGCTTTCCAAACTTCGTTTTCTGGAGTTTGTAAGCCCCACCATTGCGTACGTGACAGATCCTGCTGGATACCCGGACCAGGTACGTTGTTCAGTGGCCCTGCAATAAAGCGTTTATATACTCTACTTGTTAGTGGCTATTTGTTCCTTTCTCAAAATGATATATGCATAAGAGGCCACTGATTTATCATTTACCATCAACAATCTTGAATTCAAAATCACCCAAATCCGGTGTATCGCCTTCGAGACGAACAGGCGATTCCAATCCCTAAATACACCCGTGTATCAGACGATTAAAATACGTATAACAAACATCGACACGGAGACTTTGGTGTACTTGAGCTATTATTCACCTTTTTTGAGATTTTGCTAACAATATCCATGCTTCCTTCACCCTCTAGACCCATGTAGAAAATGATGCTGGTGATCGACGGAACTGGACAGTGTTAGTCTCGTAGCCATTAGAAGCTAGCTTTCAGATCACGTTTTTGACGTACCTTGATCCTTCATCGGCACACCGTGGATACGAACACCCCAATTACCGCCTGCCAAAAATAAAAAGAATTTCGTGTTACAATGTAAAATTTCGACGGCATGGACAGAGACGTGGCAACATTTGTTTCATTACCATGCTCGCCGCCTGGGATTTTGACAAACTCGGTTGTGATGGCTATATTGCTTGGACCATCGTTAATCGTCTGTAAACCATAACGTCGGCCATCGTGCTTATGATAGCCATATCCCTTGATACCGTCGCCTTGGTCGCATGCATGACGGGCACCTAAGGTAAAAAAAAAGACGCGCGTAGTTAATATACACGCATATACTCTTTCCTTTCTCAAGTTTTTCTGTTTTGTGTATGTTTTTCCACAGCTCTCTACTTACGTTGGAAACCCTGGAGATGGCTTGCGTCGAACCACATCATGCCTGTCATTACGGATTCCGGGAGACGTGGACGGGTACCAAAGTACAGATTAGGACGATAGGTTCCCCATAAGAGTGATGCGTTCGCTGCTTGATCGGCTTGCGAAATAAACTCGACTTCATCAGGACTGATTGCAGTGTGCGATCCAGGCACAAGCAAGAGTGTTGAAATGACCAAGCCGACTACAGAAGACAACCGTACCGGCATTTCAACTTATGTGTATATGGTGTGTATGTGTATGTGTTGTGCTGGTGGACAAGCTGGAAAAGGTGCCTGGTGTTCAAGTCGTACACGAGCCAACTTTCAGCATTTTCATGCGCCGACCATTCACGCTATGACATGGTGGTAGTATCTCTTTACGACCCCATAATCAAATCATTACTTTACATATATCCAAAAAATTCAAATAATTAGTGTATACAATATTCTAGTAGTAACTTCTTTATTCACAAAAAAAACCTGAGCCACTCTTCCTAATCCACATATTGTTTTCGCTAGTGACGATCATACAAGATGGAAAAAAATTAAAAGAGATATGCGAGTGAAGAGGGTGTTGAGGGGTTCGTTTTTCGAAAGCTTTAATAAATGCGTATTGTGTGCTGTCGTCTTTTGTTTCGATCCATTACGAAGAAGCCGGCTTTTCGGCCAAAAGTTTTTCGTATTCGTGTTGTCGTTCGTTCAATACAAACTTGATGCGTGCCATCGATTTCTGGCACTATAAAGAATGGCATTTCTTTGATTAACACCGCATATCATCATAACCTCATAGGCCATATCACATCACGCAGGTACATGAAAAAGAAGCAAAATACAAACCTTCTTCAAACGACCGGCGTTTGTCCAAATCTGCTTGTTGATACCCATTCTCTTTGCTTCTTCACGCTGTGTTGCCAATACGTTTCGTTCCTTGAGAAGCACGTACCACAGCTTGTGCAAATCGTCAAATGACTTTAAGCGTAATTCACTAGCCTTCCATGCGCGTCCTAGTTTCAATTGTTTTGTTAGTCCAATCAATATTATTCTTTTTTTTTTATATCTTCTCGTCATGTCTCTCGTTCTCTCGTTTCCGGTCGTTGGGCGTGCATTTATTTGTTATATTTACCAGTCCAAATTTGTTTTGGGAGAGCTTCACCATTCTCAAAGAATTGGTTCAAGCCTTTGGAAGTAGCATTTGTGCTGGTAGTTGCTTCGTTAAATAAAGGGCGTGCTGTGCTGAATGAACGAATGGAGGAAATCGTTGTCCGGGAAAATCGTTGCAGGAGTGACATTTTTATGGGAATTGACAAAAGACAGAATGCAGCGGTGTGCAGTGACCAAAAGGTGGTGGCTTTTGAACTGCGGTGTTTTCAAGGCGGTAATTTTACCTGCGACCAGGTCCTGTGGATTTTGACAGCTCGGCTTATTACAACCCATTTTCGCTGGTTGGCATTACACCCACATACTGTAATACTTTGAAACTTTATATCCCTCAAGGGCGCTTGTCCGTGGTGATCTCTCTTTCTTTCTTTTTTAGATAATCTTTACAAACACATCTGTATGCAAAAGTCTTAAACAACTGACCTATTCCATAATGTAGAGACGGACAACTACCATCATGCCATCGTTGAACTGGCTGACCAGTATTTGTTCCCTTCCGCGGCCGACAACCTGATATTACAGCCATTGCCTGTGTGCTTTTAAACCAATTACATGCACATCTATTAAACGGTAATACGAGCATATGGGAGAGAAAGTAGAATAGAGTGACAGTTTAAAATTCGATTCTAACCCTCGCCGTCATATTCTAGTTTATGGTTCGAGAGTTGCTTAATACCTATATGGAGTACACTAAGCAAAAACGAATGACCTGGTGCAACGGCATGGTAGAAGGCACAATAGTTAATCAGATCAGATATTAGAGACTAGTATGTATTCCACCAATAGAACCGAGTGCCTTGTTAGTTAAACCAAGCCCTTCCCCATAAAGGAAAATAATGGTATCTAATAGTGCACCCAGCCAATGTTAAAAAACATTTAGTTTGCTTCCATGATGAATCAGTATCTTCTCCCATGTCTCTAGTCAATATCCACTCTTTTATACTGACTGTACTGTAAAATTTCACAAATTGAGAAATCTACTATGTTGCAAAGCTAGGAAAGGCTTCGCTACCTTCCTGAGATCGATGCATACAGTAGTTGGAGTAATTCCCATTTCTCAACGCGAGTAAATAAATGGCTACTTCGCCATATACACTTCACACAAACAGGTCGGTCGACCAGCTGCGTGCTGAAGTGGTGACAGGGCGAATGGTAAGTATAGAATATCATCTTAAATCCGAGCGGTACCAAACCGAATCTTATGAGTAGCAACACTGTATGAGCAGGTATGCAGGTAATTACAAAATGGAGAAAAGAAGCACACTTCCTAGGAAATCTGTTGACCAGACCACGGTACACAAAAGCCACGTATATGAAAGCAAAGACAAGAAAGAAAGAAACATGTTTATACCAAACTTATACGTTTTTGTTTTTGCTGCTCACAGATGCATTACAGACCGGTATAAGATGTTAATAGTTTGGGAGCGTGTGCACGCTGCGCACTATTTGGAAGACATTTGAAGCATTACATACTCGCCGCATAAGCGAAAGTCTTCAGTATCTCTTGCAACCCAGCCATACCAAATGACCAAAATGAAAAGTCTATGATAAGGTTGGAAAATCACTTTTGCAAGCAAAAAGATCCCGAAAAATGGTGCCTTGCAAACGTATTGAAGTTTAATTGAAGCACGCCAGCCATACGACAGTCGCAGTACGCATCTCAAAACGTTGTAGAAATTGCTTGGACACAATGTTGTAGTATACTTGGCAACAAATATCAAAAAGCAAAGGCCGAAGACATTGTAAAGATTTGGCGAGTAAGTGAGATCTATTGCTTTAACCGATATCTTTTCTGTTATAATTTCTCTATACACGTACCAAGAAAGAATGGTAAACCGACAACCCTGGCACTACCACCAGTTGTTCAAGGCGTTGAAGCCAAGGAGAGCAATCGTCATCGGCACCACCACCACCAGCAACGCAAACAAACATCTTTTACAATGCTACATACTGTTACGAATTTGAAAGTTTGCGGTAATGCTGATCCGCGTACAGCAGGTACTCTTCTCCGCCATCATGGCTACTCTAAGTTTTCTTTAATATTGTGGCAAGCAACTTATATCCAATTGACATATAGTGCAGCAGTAAGAAGCTGACAATAGTAGCCGAGATAGCCAGCGCAGTATCAGCAGATCCGCACCCTCGACGAACTCAACGACACACACACACACACACACACACACACACATATATATATATATATATATATATACATATGCATATCAGCACTACGTACTCATTAAACAACAACATTTAGTGCACCGGAGCTCCAGTGACAGGCATAAATTTAACTGAAGAGTGCCAAAGCTACGGGGATTGTCGATAAAAGAAGCCCAGAACAGAAATCCACTGAATGATGCTCAAATTTTGTAAGTAAATAAGAACAAGTAATGGGCAAATTTGATGCAAAGATTAATAATTATAGACAGTATGCTAATTGCACTTTTTAATGCATCAAAGTCATTGAGCTACGTGTTCTTATTTTCCACAGCACCGAACGATGCATCATTTCTCCCTTCCAAAACCAGCAGCAGAATGCGATTTTCCTTGCACTTAAAAAGAAACGAGCATCCAACCCGCGCTGGCTTGGAGCTCCCAGGTATCTGCAAAACGCATTGCAAGTATAATTTACGAAGTCAAACAGCGGGATCAAATAAGAGAAAGAATAAAGGCCATTGACGTTTCAAACATTCCACTCGGCGGCACAAGCATGGCTTTCCTTATCTTTGTCACTGACCATGTGCATCAGTGGATCGCCAACAAGGGCACCAGAGAAGTTGACCTGATCAAATTAGGACTTCAACTGTTTCGTCGGAAACACTGTGGGTATGCTCGACAATACATTGTCAACTTGCTAAGGAAATGATGTTCATTGTAAAGTACACTAATGTTGTAATATGGCTGTAGTATTGTTAATTTGTACTGACAAACTATTGTGATGCTTCTGTTGACGTAAGTCGCATCCATCACCAGGAACAGACTTTGCTTTGTTTAACGAGACGCTTGACTCGCGGATCTCGTACGGGTTCATGGTCATAGAATTGACGTCTGCAATAAAAACCCAGAGCAAATCAGACCCCGTGGCGTGCGCCTCGGTAATCAAATGAAATTCATCGTTGATAAGTTGGTGTTGGCCGGCGTTGAGAACCCCAATTGCAGCATGTGTACTTGTTCGCGATAAGTTTTTTTTATTCGGTTCAATAGTATACTGCGTACAAGCACATCAGTATGTAATATGCGTAGAAAACTGACTCTTTCTCTAGTGTAGAGACGAACATTCTTCCAAGATGCTTCTGTCTGTCGTTCGCCATCTGGTTGACAGTCTGTATGCAGCTAGTCAAGCGAGAAAGAACAAGCGAATGCAGGGAGATGACCAAGTTAAACACTTACGGCCAACGTGTGGCCGGCCAAGTATACAAAGTTCAACGCAAGGCAGCATGAATCAAACACTTTGGGTTTATCGTGCTTTATTTTGTCGGGGTATGAAATAACAAAATGTAGAGTGGACGCGGCCCTTTCAAAAAAGAGCCCCCGAGTGGGAAGCGGCTTTATGCTTAGTCCCTCCAGAAACCAGAGTGAACGCGGCTTTCTGCTCACTCCCAAACTGGATTCCATTCTACAAATGGGTCAAACCCTCTGTGATTACCAAAACCACTTTAAACTGACATTTGTGATTACCAAATACACCTCAAGGACATACCATATCGAGTGGACGCGGCTTTATGCTAAACCCCTCCCAAAGAAACGGATCCATTCTTTCGTTCAATCACTGGTGCGCCTCGTTCGTGAAGAAGTCGTGGTTCCTTCTCGTTTCGTTGCCACACATATTCAACATCGAATGGGTCATCTTCCTCGCAGTGGGTGTCGCTATCTGAACTACGGATATCGGTGTGTTGGTCCGTAAATTAAAGACAGCGGCCTTTAATGATCCATGGGATGGCTAAAGCGAGGCCACGGCCATAAGTCCTCTGGAGAGAAGGTGGAGAGTAAGCAGTGTTACGTCCCCGTCGTGCTCTCTGGAAACGTCGCTATGCGACGGCTGAACACGCTGCATTCTTACTTGCTTTTCATCAAACAAACACTTACAAGTGTATGGAATTTCGCTATCAATCGTCGACGACGATGTTTTATGTTTGTAAACGAGGTCGTACTGTGTACCTGCAGCAGGATACACCGTCTTCAAGGAGGTTTTGCTGATTGAAACTGCTGCAAAATGGGAAACTGGTACTGAAACGTTATATAATCTGGCTATGTACCAACAAAATGCTCGACCTTATAACATTATACAAGTACACACGTTTATCAATGAAGCGAGCTGTTAAGGTCATCTCGTTTTATAATATAAGCTATACTTTGTCTTTCTTGCTTTCGTAATACTCAAGTCAAATTCGGCCGTCAAAAGAAGGTCAACGTGGGAAAAACCAGCATATTTGAAGTGGTGTGTTGATAAGGTTATAGTGAAAGCCTGACCATAATTTTAGAAAACTGTTCATTAAAAAAAGGTACCTACATATATCATATAATGCTTTTCAGCAAATACAGCAAACCTTTAAAATCAGCAATTGACTAAAGTCATTGAGTTAAATTTTTGCCCAGGAAGAGCCTGAGTGTAAGGACCGCGTCTCAGTAGACATCAGCACTCTCAATAAAAAAAATGCAGATCAAGTTGACCAATCATACTACTAGTAAAGGGCTATATATTTCCTGAACTTGAAGGATAACCGTTCATGATAAGGAATGACAAATAAAGTTGCTACCCGCGATAACGTGGTCAGCTCCGTGATGTCTAAGAATGAACTTACCAAGTTTCGCGCACACAGTATCTGTGAGTTAGAAATTATTTGTCGATTAAAAAATTGTTCATAAAAGTATGCATGACCTGAAAGTACTACGGCGCGTTGGTGAGTAATATATGCACAAGAAACTAAAGTTGATGCTGAGCGATAGTGGGAGCAGCACTGTGCTTGCTCCTGCTTAATTATATCTCCTTAAAAGATTATGCGAGCAATGATTGCTCAAAGCATTGTCAGATATACCGCTCGGAAAGGCACAGATTTATCAGAGTGTCGAACTAGTCTGTCTCATCCAGGGTCACACTTTCATATATATATAGACGTCGAAACAAAGGGTATGCTGGAATTGCAACATGGGTTAAGGGATTATGTATTATCAGTAGTTTTCTAATCAAGTGGGAAAGTGTTTCCTCGGTCACAGTGTTTACCGCAACCATGAATGACTTTGGTGGAAGACCACAAAGTATACGGGGGTCACCAACCGGTTCTAATTTATAGACCTCCAAGTCCGATGATTCGGTAGTATAAGGGTACCCTGCCCACCTGAGGGAAAAAAGGTAGGACTTGAAAAAAAATCTGGTCGCAATTTTGGCCTGAAAACTCCCAAAAAACCCAGAGACACGCGCGCGTCTCTTTTTTTCTCTTATTCAAACAAAAAGGCAAAAAATATGGCTAACGATCGTGAGGTAAAAAAGGAACCAGTAATATAGGATCATTTCTCCTTTTTCTCTTTGTAAATTACTTATACATTCTCCTTTGTTTACTATATCATAGCTTGGTTTGGCTATTCATGCCATTGCACTAGATGCGGAACAAATGGCTGCTAACTTGCGCAAGTTTGCTACCTTGTTCGGCGTTCCTAGTGATGACAGCGCTGTTGTTTCTACTACTGCCGCCAAAAGGGGTGCTGCTGCTGCCACCAGTGACGATGAAGAAGAAGGTGAAGGCAAGAAGAGAAAGCGCCAACGCAAGGTCGTGGATCCACTTGCACCTGAAAGACCCCAGAGCGCGTACAACCATTTTATCAAACAAAATTATGCTGCGGTCAGAGCAAAGAGCGGTGAGGGTAACAACAGTATTCTGATGACTGAATTGGGCAACATGTGGAAGAATACCAGTAACGAAGAAAAGAAGGTAAAATGAAAAGATAGCTATAACGAGAGAGACATGGAGAATGCATTCAGACCTTGATATTAACTATACATCACACGACTCCTTCGTATCATTTCAGAAATTCGAGGATCTCGCCATTAAAGACAAGAAGAAGTACGAGGTGGAACTCAAGAAGTTCGAAGCCTATCGTGCCGATCACCCATACGACCCAGAGAAGGAGGGTGTTACGGTGAACTCAAAGAAGCAACAAAAGAAGCAGGCCAACGCTTCTGCTGCCAACAACAACAACAACAACAACAACAAGAAAGCGGCGGCTGCCAAGGAGACTGCAGAGTCTAGCGGCGACTCTGATTCGGATGAACTTGAAGAAGAAGACGAGGAGGAAGCACCCGCTAAAGCAGCAGCCAAGGCCAAGGAGCAGCCCAAATCCAAGAAGAAGACTGACGGAAAGAAGAAGCCATTGACCGAGAAGCAACCTGTGGTCAAGGCAACCAGCTCGGATGCTAGTCAGGATAAGAAGAAGAAAAAGAAAGCCACTAAGCATAAGAAAGCTGCTACCTCAGGATCGCAATAAACTTGTTTCTCTCGTTTGATAACCAAACCAAAGAAAGGGTCTCTTTCGTCTGTAGTGTGTGGGGTTAGTGGTTTGGGCTATATTTTCCAATGTAATGCAACAGAGGTTATGAAAAGGGGATAAGACTGATCATATCAAAACAACAGCTGGCCCAGAGGTGTGAAATAATCATTGTGGATGTGCTTCTCCTCCTTATTTTGCTCTCCCTCCTGGTTCAGTGTGTTTTCGGTCTTGCCTTGCCCACATGATTACTTTTTGCATGTCCGTTAGTAATACATAGTGCTGGCCTGTTTGTATGTGGCAAACTCTGCATCATCTGACATACCTGCTGTAGTAGACGCTCTTTGAACAAGCACAAAGGATGAGCCACTGCCGCTTTATTTTTGTTTTCGCTTTTGCTTGGAAGCTTGCCTTCAGAGAGCACACATCCTTTTTACCGTCCCGTAGAAAGCCATAATATGGATATCTACTTGCTGCATTTTGTTGTCAGCACGTACCTTTCTTTATACTTCTTACATATTGCTCTTTTCCTCAATGTTTACAGAGCTAACCAACATCTTCTGACTATATCTCTATGTAGCCTTTATCGAGGGCCAATATCGCACTTTTTAACAATGTCTAGTAAGATACGGCGTTACATTTTATAATACACTTGTACATAAATTAGCCGGGCGCCATATATAATCGGAACCAAACGGAAGCATAACGATAGATATCTGCAACAAAGCATCCAAGGCCATTTAAAGTATGACTTCTGTAGCCTTAGTTTACTTTTGTTGACTACATAATACTGTGTATCGCTAAGCGGTGCAGGTCACTGTTTCCTCAAAGGAGCTGCGCGCTTGTGAGAGCTAGAGTATGCATACTGGAAAATATAACAGCAGATGTGCTATGTCCCTTTCAAAGAGGGACCAGTAAGCATGTATAGAAAGCCGTGGGATCTCACGTACAGGATCTGGGCACTCTGATGACTATGTCCAGTATTATTAATCAGTGCTTTTGTCGTATTTGCTAGATGTGTTTACAGCGTCCCAAGCACTTGGCCTCGCGCATCGAACATCGTAGATGTCAGAATCAGAACAGTTCGGAACTCAGAACGCAGTTATCAGTCAAAGCTGAAAAAGAGAGATATCCGAGCTCATAACAGAGTCCCGAAAAAAGGGTATTCCAGAAGATCTGTGTACTACTTATCGCGAATCAAGTCATGTAATTTATCGTCTCTCTTCTAAAGTAGTCAATTCCTTTCGGTAGATGGACAGTATCAGTGGGCCCCTTGTTGTCAACGCCTTTTCTTAATCGATAATCAGCATCACAGCGAACCTTCATATATGCACGCAGACAAACCTGCATACATCCTACTGCATTACACATTAAAACCCAAAGTCGTGGATTTGATCTTCTACGCTGAACACAAAGAATGTATAGGTATACCCAGAGTAGTAATTAGCATATATTATGTACAACACACACTGTTCTCTTGAATTACAAATCGTTTGAACACTGTAGTATTAGTCTTAATTTTAATGAAGGGGTACGTCGAGGAGACTGGTGATGGACGGTTTCTCTTTAATAGCATTGATAAGTGTATGCCACGATCTTCCTTGGTAAAACTTACCACTTGGAGCGTATACACTCTAGACACGCACATATCCAGCTCGTGTATTGTCGAACTAGCAGTGTTTGGGTGCTATAATCAGCCTGCAATAAGTTGACAGGTGGAAGAACGTTATGTATTCCGTTCCGCTAATTAGGCCCCGACTTGCCGGTTGCTTCTTTTGCTGCAGCAAATAAGAAATTACCGTTTAGGATGAAAAGAAGGGGCGCAGTTTCCGCAAGAGAGTTACACGAGACCTTAACCCTTCTTGGAGTATGAAGAGATGCTGAAGCAGGCGCAAGACCGGTTCCACATTAATAAAAAAAAAGGAGTTGAAATGATGTTCCATTTCTTTTCCTTCTTCTCTTCCTTTTGTTTTTGCCGTTGCTGCCGTTGCTGCCCTGCTGCGTGAAAGAGAGGCCTTCTTTTTTGTTTCTTTTATACTCTTGACCAAACACACTCAGGCACACACCGAAACCAACGTCTCGCCATGGTCACTCTCGAGAAAATTGTACGTACCATTTTTCTTACGGATTTCCTTTTTTCCCCTTCCGGTTCCTTTGCTATTTATAAACAAAAAAAAAAATAAGCTCATTTCAACAATAAAAAAAGGGCCAGCGGATAAGTCAGTCCAAATGGACAAAGATATACGTAGCGCTAGCAGTGGCTCAAGCCGTCCTGATCATTGCCTTGCAGTCGGCCATAGCCAGCCAGAACACTAGCCAAGCTGGCGTGCTGCCTGAAACAGCGTCGACCTCTTTCGGAAACGATGGTATTGTCGACAATATCGCCTCAGCATATGACCGCATCGAACACGCCCGCGACCGCCTAAATCGAATAAAGTGGGAGAACGTTGCCTTTATCGGTTTCCAAGTCTGGTTCTGCGCAATGGTCTTTGATGCTGTGAGTTTACTTTACTTTTTTTTTTATGCAAAGGGGATCATCATCCCAATCTCCGGTACTCGTGACCTCGTCGATAAAACTTGTATGTGGTTATTCATAATGCTCATCATCATCATCATCATCATCGTCGTCGTCGTCGTCGTAGACTGTATATCAAAACGCACCCGAAGTCATCGCTCTCGCCGTTCTAAACGTGATCTGCTCGATCTTGGGCGGTCTCGAAGTCATGGACGGTAAACGCTGGCTCAGCCGGATCGAACAAATCAATTCAGACTACAACCTCGACATAAGCGTATCGTTTATCCGGATCGCCACCTACCTAGAGATCGCGCTGACAGTGCTTCTTGTTCTGTTCGCCCTTTCATTTCTGTACGTGTCCTACATGGTCGTACGAGAGTTTGGCTGGGTGATCTATAAAAAGATCGGTCCGGATGTAGGCGTACAAAGTAAGCGCTTCATTTTAAACACACGTGGATGCTGCTGTCACAGAAAGACTCACTGGAAGTTTCGACCTTCAAGGAATGTACCGTATCTTTCAGTTCTTTGTCCTGGCGCTTAAAATCGATATTTTCATTGAATTCCTGGTGTCCTGCTTTTACTTTATCCAATTTGCTATTGAAAGCGGCTTTGATTGGGATACGTGGATCCAGCTGGTTGTCACCGTCTTGATCTTGCCGATGCTGTACTTTGGACGAATGACGGTTGCATCAGAAAGCTACGGACGGATGATCGTCTTTATTGCGTTCCAGTTTGTCGTCGTCTTTGAGTTTATTCTGATGCTTCGTCAAACACTGGAGCCAGGCAATTTGTGGTACACTTGGATCTGCTTTGGTGAGTCAGCGAATCAGTCAGGCACACAGAAATTAAACAAAAAAAAATAGAGGCTCAGCTACTGACTAAAAGTTTTGTTGTTGCGTTATCACTTTGACTAGTCGTTATCGGTATGGTGTTTGCCTTGGTAAGACAGAACAAAAAGAATCTTTCTTTTTCTCAGAAAAGAAAGGAACGAAGGAAGGGAGAGAAATGCTTACACATACGCATTTATCTGGTATTAGGCAACGGCTGTGCTGGGCGCGTGGACAATGCATAATTTTGGAAAGGGTCTTGCGCCATACGTCCAAAGAGGTGACAAAAAGAAAGAACATCCCACGAGACATGAGCTGCGGGAGCAGAGCTCTCTCAACTCTTGGCGGATTGATGACGATTGAAACAACAACAACCGCTCTCCGCCTTGTATCTTTCCTTCTTCTCTTAACTGTTCGTCATTTCTTCTTTATTCTTTTCCCCTTTTACCTGTACATGTACTGATAGCTGTTACTTTTTCCATTCTTCCTTTCTAATAACTACAAGCCTTCCTTCATTATACCCCCTTCCAGCTGCTTCGATCTTCCTTGATCCGTCATCGTCGTCATCCCACTCCCAAACAAACTTATAATAATATGTAAAAGAGAAGTAATATTGATTTTCTTTACTCTTAATCTTCTGTGCTACGGCGCTTCTTCAATGATGCCAGAGCCTGTTCACGTAACTGCTGTGTCTTTTCTGCCGGATCACCATCTTCATCACCAGCCTCAGTTTCCCATTTGGATTTTTCAGCTTTAGGTGGTGGTGAGGCTGCTGCAGGGCTTGCTGATCTTCGTCTGCGTGATGATGACGATGATGCATCTGCAGGTGGTGATGTCCGACGGCTCCGTTTCGGACTGGGGCTTCGGCTTCGGCTTGGATTGCGAGGTGACACACTGCGTCTACTCGATCGTCGTCGAGGTGTGCTGGGGCTTCGCCGTCTTCTATATTCACGACTACGGTCTCTAGGCGATGCGTGACGACGAGAATAGCGAGGAGGGGTTCGGCTACGGTAACGACGACGGTGGCTGCTGCGTTGCGATGGGCTTCGTGATCGATAACGGTGGCGTGGAGGTGGCGATCGGCTGTCACCATAACGACGTGATGATCGATGTGATGATCGACGAGGTGGCGAACGCGATCGTTCACGTTTCTTCGGAGACCGGGATCTTGATCGTGATGATGGGCGTCCCGCATCCTGAAAACATAGAGGGTAAACTAGATTAATAACATATAAAATGAAAGGATAACCCACTATGTATCGTTATCCCATAAACCATATCCACTATCCACTGATCAAACTTACAAATCGAGATGGCCGCTTTCGTTGAGTCCCACGATCTTGTCGCATATCATGTTCTTCTGCTTCCTTTCGTCGGCGAATAGCATCCATGACAGCCTCCTGACGCGCCTTGGCACTTTCTTGCTGTTCCTTATTCCGCATAATTTCCTGCTTTTTCTCCTCCAGGAACTTTTGTGGTATACCACTCTTGGACTGCTGTGCACTAAGCAAGAGCCGCCATAGCTCTAGAATGAACGTTTGTGTATTCTTTTCCAGAAATCCCGTGAGATTGATTTGCATCATTTTCGGATCAGGATTCTACATGACACCGAAAAAATAAAAGTTTGTTAGTAATCTTTACATAGACACACTCTTTCTCTTTCTCTTTTTTATTTCTGGCATAGAATCCTAGACAATGCCTGCTAGTACCTTCTCTTCCAACAGCCCAAATGCAAAATTAATAACGAGTTCATCCTCAAAACCTAAAAGTTCTGTAACGCGTGTGGTGATCCAAGGTTTAATTACATCGAACTTGACTTTGGTCATGTTGACCTGAAAAAAAAAACCAATGATCGAATAGTACAGTAATCAGATTTGGTACACTAATTCAGACCTTCTTTTGTTATATGACTGTTACCTTTTCATCAAACTCTGGTGGGAAATCCATGGATTTCAAGAGTTTCTTGTTCTTGTTGCTGAACCGCATGTCTTGGTCAGCACTTGTGCCCTAATTCAAGTTTTTTTTTTTTTTTTTGTAGCTGTGTGTGTTGGTATTGACTCATCCACGAACTAGTAGTAGTCCCAAGTGTTTAGAGAAACGCATGCAAAATAAAAAGAACAGTATGATCACCACCTCAATCAATTCATACCTTGAAAAAGCCAGCGTCACCCATGATTGAGATTGCGATTGGAAAGAGAGTGTATTATATGTGAGGTGGATTGCACTACACATATAACTGGGCCTGAATTATAATCCTCTCTCCCACAGCCGCCAGCCGCTTTATGTTATATGCGAACAACGAAACATTGAGGCAGAGAAGACAGCTTTCTTTTTGGTTATTCCAAATTATTATTGTTGTTTTCCAGTAATGTCATCAATTCAGCGATTTGATTATTCAATTCTTCCACTGCTTTATCCTTCCTTGCTGCATCCTTTTTGAGTAGTTCGTTGTTTTTCAGCAAGGATGCTGCTAATTCTTGTTCCTCCTGATACTCCCGCTTTTTGTCCCGACACTTGTTCTTCCATCCATCCAACTTGCGTTCTGCTTTGCTTCGTTCCTTGTTCACTTCGACTATTTTGTTGCGTGTGTCGTGTTCCACTTGCATTAGCTCCTCGCGTTCCTTTTCAGCCGCCTTGACGTTCATCATCAAATTTTTCACTTGGGCCGTTAGTGACGAGATTTGGATTTGGATCTGCGTGAGTTGTTCTTCGTAGTGTATTCGTTGTGATTCCAGTTGTGATGTCAACATGTATGTGTATTCTACAGTCATGGCATCTAGTTTTTCCTGTTGAAGAACATTCAAAATTATTAATAAACGATTTCCAGTAATGCTATCTAATTCTTTTTCTTTACCGGTGCCGTGTTGCCATTTTTCTGATATGTTTGTTGACTCGCTGAAGCTTCAGTCGTAGAAGAATGAGGTGTAGTCGCTATGGCAACGGGAGCAGAGCTTGTAGCGCTAGGCAACTCTACGAGACTTCCATCCACCATATTCTGTATTAACCGATGCACATATCTGAACAGTCCATTTGATATTGTCAGTAAGCTAGTGTGATCACAATAACCTACAACCTAATTTTCTTTTACCTATCGCCAGTATAGTCCCATATCCGTTGAGTCTCAATTTCCAAAGCATATGAATCGCCCGTTTCCATGTAGTGATCATATGCATGTGCATCGTGGTACCGACCACAGCCGATATGCCCACACACCATACATATCCAAAGACTTTCGGTTGATCCACATGTAAAGCATTGTGCTTCTTCGTCGGGTGTTGCGGGCTGTTTGGGTATCCTTTTGCTGCTTCCTTCTTCAAGTACAGGCTTTAACGAGTAATTACATACTGGACAACTATCAGCATCGAGAAAGAGGGACACACGGTGAGACTTTATACTCTGTTTTGTACTAGCTCTGATGTGGAAAAAAAGAAGATACATACTCGCCATCACCCCATTTGCTCAGGCAGTAGCATTGAAAAGTATGCTCGCATTGGATGGTCATTAAGTCAGTGACACTTTCGTCCATACGTTCCAGGCACACAGGGCATGTGGGCAATTCGAGTATGTTGACTGGAGCGTTTCGAACGTAAACAACGTGGCATAGTTCTGGTTCCATTACATTGAACTGTTTGCCGTTGAACCGTCGATGAAACTCGTTTGCTGCAGTGGGTGTTGTGAACTTTAACAATGCTGTGTATTTGTTAGGTGTATGGTCCCTGGATATAAAAAAAAAGAGCCAAATGTGTACCTCTAGTTAGCTCCCTTTGTGGCTAGTTATTTCATGCAATTTTTGTAAACCAGATATTATCATTGTTGTTACCGAATAATGCGGAAGGATTCGACAGGTGTATTACTACCACTACTACCAGCAAACTTGACGAAATCCAATGCTTGCATATAGGTAGGAACCGCTAATATGCATAGGAAAATTGAACCCTCTGTCGGTATATCGATGCCTTCCGTCTCTCGATAGAGATGCAGCGTACCTGAGCCGCAATTCGTTGTCGACACGACTTTATTGGTTTGAATAGACTCGATCGTAATGGCGCCAAAGCGGAAATCCCTGCGTGTCACTGTATTAGATTTATTGTCATGTTGTTCCTGTTGCTGCTTTCGCTGTGATCGTTTGTTATTCCTGTTCGTAGCGGTGTCGGTGGTTCTTTCAGCAGGTGTTGGTGGTGCATTGGGCTGCCGCGTAATGGTCGACGACGACGACGACGACGACGAAGGCGACGACGAATGTTTACGTTGTGGTGACGATCGTTTAGATCGTGCAGGTTGTTTTTGGTCTTTTAGAGAAGCTTCATGGTCCTTGGCATCGGGAAGAACTTGAGGGAGTTGTTTGAATAGATCGGCGGGACCATACTGTAAAGTGGCCAAGTTTAAGCGTAGTTGGTAGAAAAACATGTATAAATCAAGCTGCGCTACAATGCTATCATCCCCCACTTAAATACTATGAGATAGACCAGCTGACTTTACTTGAATAGTGTGCCGCATAACAAACGAAAATAGATCCACGAGGCCCTTTTGTGCATGGCTGTTATATGCTACCCTCAACAAATGTGTTTTATTATCAAAAGTAGTTAAGAATGTATGCTCATCAATTCCTCAACCACTTGGCAGAGTCGTTCCACTGTGTAATCCAATTTTCGACCGCCATTATGTCCCTCAACAACGCCTCGCATTTGCTGCGGCGTCAGGTCCAAAAAGCTTTCGATGAGATCTCCATCGATAAAATGTGAGCTCTTGTCTCTAATATCGTTGATTGCTATACTTCGCCAACTGCAGAAAAAAAAATTAAGTAATATAGCACCAAAACAAAAAAAAAATGTACAAAAAGAACAGATTAATTCCTTACTCTGTGTGGTTCAAATCACCCAGACTTGGTACAATCTTGAGAAGGTTATTCTGCATTTGCCATAACAGTTTAAAGTGATCGGCTGAGAGATCCGCAATGACGCCAATTGTGCCGTTGGTTGTACAAAAGATCAAAGATGGTGCCACTGGCTTGTTGTCGTCCGAAGGATGAGATCCCAGTGAACCTGTCCGAAACCGTTGAATTCGCTCACCAAAGTGCCATTGGCTTACAATCTCCAAATTGGTGTCACTATTACTGGTACTGTCATTTCTCTTTTCGGTATTTTTGCTGTTATTGCTGTTGTCGGTGCGCTTCAATACGAGCAAGTGTCCGCTTTCTTCTGCTGCTGCAATGTATAAATCATCACTGAGAGCTTCAACGGATGTGATTTGCTTTGGCTGTGGATCTTGTGCGGCAAGTTTCATGGTCTGTTTGTGCGAGTCGTAGTGAATGGCAACCACCGATGAAAGCATGTCTCCACTAACGATGGTGTCGTTGTATGTAGCAATTGACTGACTGATGGTAGGAACACGGATTGTGCATACGGATGCCAAGTGGCCTCGTCCACTTACTTCGAGTTCCCATCGATATAAATGTATCTGTCATGGCCAATTATGAGATATCAAGGACCGCGAGCGACATGACAACATAGCTACACTTACTGTCCCAGAGACACTGGCAAGTAATTTTCCTTGGAATGGACGAATGTTCTCAACCATGGCCTCTGTTCGGAACTGGTTGACTAAATGTAATGTCCGTTCAGGCGTGATTCGATATACCAAAAGTCGACCTGTGCTTCCTCTTTCATATGGATCGCCCATGACGCCTGTGCCCAGCACATAGTATTCAGTACCATCGTTATCAAACACCATATTCGTTAAAGATAATATTCGCTCAAAGTTTTGTATATAGACTCGGTCAATGACTACGCAATAATATATATGAGTTATCAATATCAATTTCAAATCTCCTTGTTCTCTTATGTTTCAGAAAGTTTCTTTTATACCTTTGAAATTCTGCTCATCCCGAATTTCAAATGCACTCGTTGTGGTTTTTGCAGTCAGCCGTGTTCCTGGTATTAATGTAGACGTTACTACGCCAAACGTCCTTGACGATTCTTGGTACTCGATCCTTCGGGGTGTGTCGTTGGTGGGTATTTTGGTGATGTGTAATTTTTGAATTTCCTCCATTTGTCCGATAATCAGCCCATCTTTAGTCGTGAGAGCCACTGCATCCGGGAATGACAGGCTATTGAAAGATGTTGCACAGCGGACATCCTGTGTGATTAAAGAAATGATGGTTTAGAAGGAGCGGCCGCTGACAGTGAAACGTACTGAATAATTCGGTTACCTTGAGATTGACATTGGAATAAATGAGTTTCTGATTTCGGCTGTGGATCACACTTGGTTTGTCTGAAGCTGCAAAAACATGCATCGTGCCATTGGATGAGAACGTTCCGAGAGAAATCGGCATTTTGCCTAAAAAGGATCGTTTCTCATCCGAAAGCTGTCCTCCCTCTTTCATCTTGTAGTTATAAAATTGGCCATCACCTTTTTAAATCACGACGACACGTGCCATTGTTTTAGATTGAATATACTTTTCCTAAGTGGATCATGCAGAAAATTAAAAAGAAATTACCAAGCGCAACAAGCAGATACGATATATCTTCAAACTTGGCCATGAGAATCGAACGAGGCATGGCTGTACCTGCCAGCGTTTCCTCGGCAACCATGTCAAGTGATGGTAACGATAGTAGCCGGACACCAACTTGTCGCCAAACACCCACGGCTACCACGGATGCTGTATATGGGTTCATGGAATCCAATGAGGTGATGTCGATACAAGACACTTCTTGATCTAACTGGGTCGCTCTATTGTTGATCTTTAACGATTAAGCGTCGGCACCACTTACAAATCAAGAAAAAAAAAGTATCCTTACCCAATTTGTAGTAATCGATCATCGTCTTGAATTTGGAGCGCATAGAGACGCCCATAACCGGTAGACACAACGCATTGCGAAGGATTGACGCTTGCTACGGTGATCTGCGACATGTCTGATGGTATCCATTCGTCCAGCAAGGGACTATCCATCCCACACCCCATCAATCTCACACTGTAGTCCGTTACTTGAATAACACGATTGCCAATGACAGTGCCAGCAGCTAATGTCTGTCGATCCAAAGCAAATCCAGAATATGTTGATAACTCACGCATTTCGTCCCCTCGTAGCTGCAATATCCGAGTTTGGCTTATGAACGAAAATACTAGCATATCATCATGCCTAACATTTGAAAAAGTCATCGACGTTGTTAGAAGCAAACTCGAAAAAAAATTTTCGTTAAATAAAAAGAATGGTCATCACCTTGAATCAAACGATGGTCGTAAGCCCCAGATGCCTTTCACACCACTTATCTCAATTGTTGCCAGTTCGTTCAATCCAACACCGTTTCGAATGATCCGAAGTGAGCTGTCACGACCCACGCCTGAGCAAGTGATCAATTGATCTTGTCCCTATATCCATGATTCACACATACATCTTTTAATAAAGACGAATACCCCCTTTTTATCTTTGGTAGCCCGTTGACAAATAACACACATACCTGCTTATCCAAATCTGCAATACAGAAATCGGTGATGGGTCCGATATTCGGAAACTCCTCAATAACTTCAATCACGTCTCTTTCCGGTGATCGACGCGATATATCCAGATGCACTAGTTGAGAATCGCCTGTGGTAGAGCCAATGAATACAACATCATTGTCAAGGTATGTAAGACAAGATGGAGTTGAAACCTGACCAAAATTCAAGCAAAATAATCAACACGTTGTTCCCTGTAACAGATCCTCGTTTTTATTTTCTCCATACCAGCTCCTCCACGATGTTTCGTCCCATTTACTAACCTTTCCCAATGCTGAAAACTGTAGTCGTTCGACTGTATTCGGTTCTTTTTCTGATAAAGTCAATTGCAGCAAGTGCAAAGTGCCTTGTGCCTGATCACCCAGCAAAATTCTTGTTCCGCTTTCATCCATGATAGTATAACTGCAATCAATTCCAAATCATAAGCCCACCTTGAATGGTTAGCGTCTCAAGATCTTCTCAATTCTCGCTGGTTTCTTCTTTTATCCTTCCTTGTAACTTTACCAGTTTATAGAGCATTTGTTAATCCCCAAGCCGCGCGGTGCCTTCCCTAACTTTAAGAAATGAACGGATGCCTCGCCGACTAACAAGGTACCGCCCAAGGGAGCTGGTAATGGGACCAGAAAATTATCATTCCAACTTGACGGAAACTCTTCAATCATTTCATCTTTGGGTACGAATTCGCGCGTGGTCGGATCCAGCTCGTACGCTCGAACATGTCGCATCTCGTCGTCTGGGTCATCGTATAATATCGCGAGCGTTGGTACCTGAGTATCATGTAAAAATGCCATAGAGACCAACTTGTTCCCTCCCAGTCTATAAAAAAAACATCAAGCGCGTCAGACCAGCACCGATTCAAGACCTCTTCTTCCTTTCCATACAGTTAGGAGCATACCCCAAGTTGATTTGCTGTTGTTGTTGTCGTTGATTCTTATTACGAGCCTTCGCAGCTTTGAGTGAACTTCGACGTCCTTGCGGGTTGGTTGCATTGTTGATAGTATTACCAACGCCGTTAATACTACTACTGCTTCGCTGGTTAAACGCGTCAGATTTCGATATTGCCACCATGGATTCGTTAAGTGCCGTTGCAAAGTATTTGCAGGTAGGATCAAACATCCCAAAGACGTCTTGAGATATTGCATAAGGTGAACCGGTGGCTCCAATTTCTCCACTTGCTTCGGATACGATCTGTTGTGTCTTTTCTGAATACGTCAATACGCAGTAGGTGAGTCGTCCAGTCAGAACAAACAGCGAAGCCTTGTCGCAGTCCTACAATGTTATTGTTGTGTGTAAGTTGATCGACTTGAGAACATACATCAAAGAAATCGATCGTTATGCAAAGTGTTGTAAAGTGCGTCGTGTTTCTAACCTCGGGTCGATACAGATCCAAAGCTTTGATCGTGCCATGAATACTAAATTCTAACGTTGGTTTCAATCCATCGGGCGTCAGTGTATAGATCTCAATCCGTGTCCCTTTCCTAAACGCGAAAAAAAAGAGTATAAAGTTAGACTACTCTGCTCTTGACTTTGTAACATATATTTCTATTTGAAAAGGATAAACTTACCCCAATATTAGATTCATTTCATCGTTTGCTGTAAATGGGCCTTTCACAGAGTACTGTGTAGCAGTAGGTTTTTGCGCTGTTACAACATATTTGTAAAAGGCCATGACACGGTTTCTCTCAAGATATAGAAGTTAGAAGGAGAAAGAGCAGCTTTGAATGAAAATTAAGATAAGCAATGGAGCGTCCCCTTAACTACTCCTCCCCCTCTGCAGACTGGTTGAATGCTGAGCCGACAAATCAAATGCCGTGTAATCGAAGCAAACCGCGCAGAAACTCACGTCTGAACAATTTGGCTGAGCTTAAGACCCACGCTGAAAATTGGAGACATCAACTGGTTTTTATAACTTTATACTAATCGCACAGAACGAACGCGTCAGAGTATTGATCTTTTAGCGACGACTTGATGGACTCTATTATCGTCACTGTCGACCGTAGCGCAATTGCAATAGCCATACGCAAAATCCAAGATGTACCTTTACACATGATATTCCACGTCTATATAATCAAGTGTCACATTGAGAGGCAGGAGCTTAGGTTAACCCCTAAACAACCATGACCTACAACTAAACCTATATAAAGTCTTTTGGTCCCAGGGAAGTATTAGCATAGTATACCTCAAATTGCTACATACTCTTTCTTTCGAGCAGTGTTACCATTAAATTGAGCGCAGTGGCTTCATGTTTGATTTAGCCTCTCAACTTTAAAGCGTCGCCATAAACCTTCGCCAGAGTCCTTTATCCTCCTTACTTGGAGGATAGCACTCTCAGTAATTCTGGCTTGCATGCTACAGCGCACAACGTGATGTACTTGACCAATACTCACTTTCATTAAATTCACTACGAAATATGTCAAACTATATTTTTTTAAGTATTATCATATAGAACCAGTAGTGGCCATTCCATATCGTAAACGTTACAATCTTATGCTATGTTAATTTGATCCCTATATGTGTTAGCCTAATACAGATGGTCTGAAATATGTGGACTGAACCTACATTTGAACAACTAAGAGACAAAGAGTAGTAAAAAAAGAAGCCAAAGCTTCTCATGGAAAACAACTTTCCAACGTAGGTAGAGCCATCGTAGATTAACCCGTTCCTATGGTACTGGTGCTGCGGTTGCTGCGGTTGCTGCGGTTGCTGCGGTTGCTGCGCAACGCCAATGCTGCGGTAATGCTCTTATTCAACAAGCTGTTCATCGAATCTTTACAGGGTAAAGGGTTCGTTCTATTTATAGTTGTTCCTTTTGATAATTTGGGGGTGCAAAAGAGTTGTAGAGTTGCTGCGGTTGCTGCGGTAGTTATGTATTGTATTCTGATTGCCGCTTGGTGTGTGGTTCTTTTGTATGTTTGGTTTATTTGTTATGGGTGGTTCTCGGGGTAACAATAGTGTGTGGATCCCTTCTTGAGTTCTTCAATCCACATAACCCCCTATCCAATAGAACAATTTTGATCTGTTGCAAAGGGTAAGATGAAACGTCAACAACTCTTACAACAGGAGACCTTATCGACAAGAATCCGTGAAGCATGTAATAATGTAATTAACCAACAGACCTCATTGGATTCGTTTTTTCATTCACATACAGTGTTTAGAGGAGGCGTCATAGAAAAAAGAGCCTGTAAAGCTTATAGCGACGACAGGTAATAATTAACAACGTAAGTATAAAAGGTAAGGTTTTTTTATTTATTTATAGACGAATCATCAAAAATGATAAAAATAATGTTTAAAATGGTCTTTATTAGAAAGCTTATGTCAACCTTCGTAATGTTGCTTTTGAAAGCAGGCGACATCTATACTAAAAAATGCGACATTATTTTGCTGCCAAGCGACATTTATTATTATTGGCCTGCGACATTAGTTGTTGGAAATCCTGTACTGCATTCAGCAACACGCGCACATAAACAAAAATGTCATTAGAACAAAAGGTGTCATGTTTTTTGTTATCATATAATATGGAAGGAGTCAATCTCAAAGAAGGAATACAAGTTTTTACAGCAAGTCATAATCATGACGATAGTCATTACAAATCTCATTGCTTATCTATATAACAAAGGGTACTGACCTCCTCTGCTTGTAGGCATGTGTAGTCACTTATTGGCAGTGGAATTATTAAGTATTTAAGGATGTAGATAAATAGAAATAAAGCATGATACTGTAGTGGTCAGGTTTCCATATCATATATACCGGCTAAAAAAATGGAAGAATAAACACTTCGCTGGTAAAGGGCAAATAAAAAGCAAATGCTATAGTGAGATTCAACGATATAAAAATACATATTTAGTTTAGAACTTATATTTATTGGAAGGCTAATGACGATACGCTTATAGCATTCTTGTCGCTTCCTTGCGGTGCAGTGATTTAGAAAAAAAAATACAGAGTAGGAGGTGGTGCTTTGGCTGAAAACCCCCTTCTAGAGAGGGAAAAGGCCAAAGCGGATTAAGATGTTGGTGAGGAGAGGTAACAAAGTAAAAATAAATAAGGAACAAGGAAGAGATAAGTGAAGGTGTAAGAGGGGGGGAGAAGAGCTGACTATAGACGCTATGAGTGTAGTGAGGATCAGGGGATGATAATAAAATACAAATATACATCATACGGGAATCAGGTAAAGCATTCGCTCTGGGTGTGCTGCTGGCAGGGAGCGGCTTTTCTTGATTTTATAGCTCGTCAGTTGCCAATTCCTCGTTTAGTGAAGTCGCCATCAGGATGGTTAAGCTTGCCGATCGGCACAAGGAGGCTTGTCTATAATGTAGTCAAGCGGCTTAGGATCGGTGGCAGCTCGGAAGGAACGGCTCCAAAAGCTTTAACACAGGACGTGGCAATGGCTTGAACGGAGGGGTTTTAGCCTAAAGTTGACAGAGAACAAAATAAAAGGGCATATTAGAAATACGTGTTGTGCTCATTCATAGATAAAGTGGTAGTATGATCGCCGGTAAGCTAAAGTTTTGATACCTTGTTTTAAAGTATTAATTTTTATTTTATGGTGCGGCATCTGGACCCCAAGAAGAGCACGGCTTATTCTGCTATCTTTGCAGAATATAGCATGTCTTCTTCAGGGTCCAGATATATAGTGGCTTTAGCTAGAAGTATAACCAGCCGCACCATATAGACCGTGATTTTGGCCGACAACACCGCGGTCTCCACCAAGGACGCCCTCTCCTCCGCAACCAAGATTACCGCATCCGAAACCAAAGCTAGATCATCAGCCGTGGTCTCGAAAGGGTCCTGGTCGCGGTCGCCCTTGGTGGTAATGGAGGAGGGAAAGGAGGAGAAGAGATGGTGAAGGAGGAGGAGGAGGAAAAGAAAGGAAACTGGCTAACCAGCGGCTCGCAGATTGTAGTGCCGAGGCAGCAGCAAGCAAAAACGATTTTGTTGCCTGTGTGTGAAATAAAAAAAAGATAGCAGTAAAGATGTAACAAAACAAAAATAATCGGTATTTATGATGTATGAACAAAACCCTTCGTATCCGACCCATCTATCCGAAACAGCTCATCACTCTCTCAATTCATTCATCCAACCTTTTCTGGTACCTACCTTGTTCTTGTCCGGTTTCTCTGCTGGCAACACTTCTGTGTGGTTTCTTGCGACAGGGCATCTGGTACACATACTTTTGAAGATGATAGATGAACATCAAAGAGCTACCTTCCAGACAGGGAACCCCCAAGAGAAAAAGGGAAGATTCAAATAGACAAGCCCGAGCTCCCATGTTCTTGCTATATAACGCTTTAACCTCCTCTTGTATCATATCCATCTATCTCCGCAATATGAAAGCGGCATCCTGTAGTTTATGTGACCGGACCGTAAACATTATCGTAATTCGAAAAAGTCGAGCTTCATGTTAACACGTTGTATTCCGGAATTCATATATGATGTTTTAAAGTTGATCAGTAACTCTGTACTTACTTTTGCTCCTTCTTGGAGAGGGTAGATAAGAGGATGCAACTGCACATTACAGAAGTCAATCTTGTTTTAATCTATCGGATCATGAAAGCAGTATAATTTGCTTACTGCAGCCTGTCCCCCGGTGGGGTCTACATTTTGAGACGATGGATAAATGATGGGAAGGATGATAATAGAGAAGCGGTAGCTTATTATTAGATAGTAGATAGGTAAAGGGATGGTTCTCAGTCATAGGACGACATATTATGCTTAACCGCACAAGAGAGACGTCGACACCCCACCCCCCCCCCCCCCCAAACAGCCCACACAGCGGGACTGGCGACGTTGATCCCGGTGTTTTGGTATACAAAAACAGCGACCAAGACGATCAAAACAGATAGAAATTAGCTTGCAGAAGAAGTTTACATGGTCCCGACCCGACGGTCCTCGACATGAGGGGGACAGCATGCTCCTTGTTGTTGTTGTTGTTTCAAAGTATTAATTTTGGTAATGATTCCATGGGAAGCATAAGTTGGTCGCTTATAAGTTTCGATTACCTGCTAGCTGCTATTGTTTTCAACCGTAACATAGATTTTTCCATGGTTCAAAGCAGCGATCAGCGCACTATGCAGACGAGCACAAGCAGCACAACAGCATGAAAACAAAAAGGAAATGCTTCTTACATCCTTCATGTATATACCTCTTATCTTATAAAAAAAGCAGAGAGACACAAGCAGCGCAGTTACAAAGCTGTGATGTCGAAGGCTGAATAGCGTTTTGTCACTCTTCTTTCCAATACTTTCAACAACCACGGCAACAAGAACAACACAACCAACGTTTTCCATACGATAGCGCACTCTTATCTTTGATTTGCCAACGCACAACAGCATGCTTGTGACGACAGTTTCGACACAATCAGAGCAAAAGCCACCAATTGGTGAGCATTTTAGATTTGCATTTCATACACATTCTTTGTTGCGTGTGCTCTTGCCTTTGCTCTCTCTTCATCTTTTTCACAAGAAAACTAACGCTCAATGTAACTTAACTTTGTCTTTGCAGGATTTAATCACCGAGCAAAGACAACAGCATATATGCTCAAGAATCGATATTATTTCAAGGGTGTACTACTTACAAACACGAATGCTTTTTTTCCCTTTTGACTCGAGCAATGCAAACGAAGGAAGACCATAGAGACCGGTTGACGAACCATAACGGACCTTACGAAACGACAAAACGTGAAAAATTCATAACATACACAGGAAACAAACGCCAACGAATCATGTGACGATTGAAATCTACCGCCGTCGATCTTCAGGTATGAAAGCTCAAGTCCATTTGAACTGCTGACACGTTTGGCTTTTCTTTTTTCTTTAAGCATTCTACAGTCTTTTTGCTATGAGTGGGTGGGCATGTTGTTGCCGTTCAGACATGTGTATGAGAAAGGGTCTTTGTGATTACGGAGGACAAATATTGCCGTGCATGCTTTTCTCACTCACCGCTTTTCGTCACACTCAATATGCTCCATTGGTTGCGGACACCCAGGTGCTGATACTATATCCTCTGTATCTGGTTACCGTCACCGCTGGCACTTGCTTTATATGACCATTCCCCTTTTATGCCAACGCCGATTTGCTGCCATATTATTATAGGAATGCGAGCGCAAAGTGGTGAGCCATCGTTCCTCTCCAATGTGAGAACTAGATAACCACAGCTGCTGGATCAATGTTTTGCAGGATCTCGTTCACCTTAATATTAGAGCGTAAGGAAAGGCATTCAATCATTCCCTGGTAATTAGAGGGGAAAAGTGGTATTACGTGTGTATGTTGATTGAAGGAAGCACATATAAATGACCCTTCTTCGTTTGTATGTAGACGCTGGATTTTCTTTGGGTCTGAGCTAGCAGTCGCATGATCGCATGCTAAGTTTTATCATTTAATTTTAGGGATGGATGCAAGTATTACTGTACGATCAGAAAAAGCGCGACATAAAGTTTATATTTAATTTGATCGTATTAGAGATTCAAACGGTCGTTTCATATGTATATATTCAAGGCTCCGGAAGACTGTATTCTGTTGATCGGTTGGTGGCTCCTGTACTTCATTGCCTTTCGCAACAGCTTATTTTACAAAGCAATTCCGAGCCACTGGTTTTTTTTTCGCAATCACTAGTCTTTTGAGGGCATGGCCAAAAGCTAGGGATAGTACCAGTATCCGTCTGAGTATGGTAGCACGGCTTATCATCACAAGTTTGATCAGGCAGCAAACACGGATGGGGATCGCCGAAGCAACATCTCCGCGATGATCCCTGGAAACGCTGCTATATAGCAACGGCTAAGAGTGTGTCATTTTTTCTTATCTGACAACCTTTAATATGGTATGCCTTTTACAATAGATAAACTGATGGTTGTGGTTACGGCGAAGATGGAATATTACAATGATCTCTACTCTCTCTCTCTCTCTCTCTCTTTCTTTACTTGTTTTTTGGTGCAAGTCTCTTTTTTTTTTTTTTTTTGCTGAAGAAATTGTTGAAATGTATACACTTATCTATCTCGATCAATGTCGAGTGCTGGATATACTACTGTACTTTGTCTCAGATAGGTGTGGTTTTTTAAATAGGTACGAAACACATGTCATTATCTTTTATTATTTTGTGCGTGGAAAGAAAGAATAATATGCATTGGAACTCGTATAAAATAGGACTAATAATTGATGCGCTGTCTCTGTTATCTACTTGCAACAAGTTGCTGCTGCATAATGATGCTTCCAGACTAGAATGCACATGGAAAACTCGCACGTTCTTTTGTACTTCCAATTACAATTATAAAGCACGCAATATGATAATGCACATGTAACAAGCGAATTCAATCTGGTCTCAAATGGTGAAAGGAGAACAATCTGCTAAAGCGGCGGTAGTATGTAGGTACTTATTATATTGCCACCGCTATTAGACGCGGTGTTCAGTAACACCGGCACTGTTAGACACAAAGCAACAATTGCTGTCGCCTACAATTTTAAGAAGACCGATGTATTAGCACGGTTTCTATGTGTGCATGTACTGTTAGCCATGCTACAAAAAATTATTGTTGTATACAAAACAACAGCGATAATTTCATGTATGTGAGTGGTAAAATATAATGCTAGCTAAGCTGAATTATTTTATTTCCTTGGTTGTCCTTTTCACCGGCATCAGCAGTTGGGTGTGCCGCATTACAAAATTGTGTAACTTTCCTCCAATTGTTTTCGATACAGAAACAAGCTTTTATTTAAATGAACCTTGCTTTGCTATCTTGCGATTTGTATTGATATCGTGCACACATAATATTCGAGGTAAGTATGATAGAACGTTTATTAAATACAACAGATACGATATAATGTATAACCGCTCATGCTGTTGCGGTCTCTCGTTCTCCCGTCATTATGTACGCATTTATAATAAAGGCACCTTCTATCAATCACAGCTTTTGGTCTTTTGCAGACAATCGCCATAGTCACTATTTTTATCTTTAGATTAGGATATCATTTAATACAATAATGGGGTTTGCTTGGTGTGGGAGTGGAATAGTAAGTTATGTTGGTTGCAAAGATTTAAAGCTGATTGCGTGCTAGGTCATCTGCATGACGACACAAGTGGTCAGAGACCCCGGGGATCATCACTGCGCACATCAAATATGACAACAAAATGCATGCATTTGGCGACAATAACTTCCACTATATGGAAGAGTACCAACATATATGTAGCCACTCTAATCATAGTTTTGTAAACTTTTATAATTGCTTGCAGTTGTAGTTAGCGATCCAGATTATAATGATGAGCTATTCTGCGCTTACTATTGTATGATCAAGAAAAAAGAGGTGTATAAACAACTATATTACGTATGTTGTGCAATGTGAGTAAAGATAATAAAAGGAGTGCCAATAAAATGCCAGGTACATTGAATTAATAAGGACTTTACGTTGAAGAACTTGAAAGATCTATATTATACAGTTAACTAAAATGTAAAGTGATTTACATTAATATACAACCTGTCACACCGAGCGCGTATGTACGCTTACAAAAATCGAGGAAAGAGAACGCGATTTTGTTCATGGTTTGCACCATTGATGCAACCAAACAAAAAGTAAGCCCACTAAAAAATATAGACAAGATAAGAAAGACATGGATGATGAATGCACAGCAGAACAGTATGGCGCGATTTCGTGCGAATCGTCGCAACTTTCATAAAATAGCACAACAGTAACGAGAAACATATAAAAGCTTGCGTCGCATGTATTTTTCTTCTCGTATCTTAATAACCTTTTTTTACATAAAAAAGTCCTACTACTGGCTTATCATCATGCCTCCCAACGTCGTTGATACTCAAAACGCCGAAGAGCTTACCGAATACCTCGAACAACTCGATTTGAAGAAACTTGTTCGTGAGAATAAAATTTATGCTGTCTATCCCGAAGTGTATGTAAGTATGAATAAGGACGTCCATATCGTGCGTCAGTACTTTAAGCATATATGCCAAAGGAAAGAAAAACCGTTGTAGATTTATTTGCAGCTCTTCTGACCACGCATTTGCGTATTATAGTATCCTCCATTGAAGCCTTATGACCACAAGGATCCTGGTCTATTGGCCGATCCCAAGAAGGCATCCATTTACGATGCTGCCGAGAAGATTTTTAATTTGACCCCACATATCGGTACTGAAGTCCATGGCATCCAACTTTCTAACCTGGCTGAACAGCAAAAGAACGATCTGGCATTGCTCGTTGCTGAACGCGGTGTTGTCTTTTTCCGCGATCAAGATATTCGCCCAAAAAAGTCGTTGGAGCTTGGCAGATATTATGGTAAAGCAGTTTTTAATTTAGTGAGCCGTGGTATGCTACATACCCCCAGACATACAGTTTTAAGTAATTGAATATGGCAACACTATCTAATTAGGTCCATTGCATGTAAGGACCGAGTATTTACAGCTCGCATTTTTATGTTTCTTATCTCGTTCTTGCACTTTACACAAATTCTGATTGCTGATATTCTTTTCGGCTTTGTTCAATGTTTAGATTCACAATGTTGGCGGCCATCCACCTAATGTAGTAAGCAAACACATATGAATACTTTGCTGTATCTTCTTTTCATAAAATGGCAATAAGTAACTCATGTCGAAGACTAACATGTGTGTTTGCACGGTATCCGCTTGCCTATATTGACAGCCCGAGATCCTTACACTTCAAATCGAGCATACTGATCCAAAGGTCCGTGAACGTCTCAGTTACCGTAGTCCTGGTGACGGTTGGCATAGTGATATCAGCTATGAGTTGCAACCTGGCGGTCTTGCTTTCCTTAAAATCGACACGCTACCGGGTGAAGCGGGTGGTGATACACTTTGGGGTAGCGCGTATGAGGCTTATGATCGGCTCTCTCCTGCATGGAAGAAGTTTGCTGAAGGCCTCAAAGCTGGTAAGCGTAATCAATTGCATTCAACACCACAATGACCAGTAGTCTCTAGATAGCGGCGATTGATTCTTATGCTTTTGACCCCTTCTCATAAAAGTCCATTCGGGTGACGTCCATCGTGAAACTGCTCGTCTTACAGGCCATCCTTTGCGTCGTGAAGCACCCGATAATGTCCATCCCGTGGTGCGGTAGGACTTTATTTTAATGACATAAAATTGAGGAAGAATGCTGAGAGTATAATCTGGTTTAACATGTGATGTGCAATTTTTTAGAGTTCATCCTGTAACCGGCTGGAAAGCATTATACGTGAACCGTGGTTTCACTCGCCGTATTGTCGACTTCACGCGTCGTGAGTCCGATGCAGTCTTGAACTTCCTCTTTGATCATATCGAAACTGGAGCTGACTTTCAGGTTCGCTTCAAGGTACATCTAGAATCATTATTCATCACAGCTCATACGTCTACAATATTACTGCAATGCAGGCTGCAGGTTTTCTATGGGGAGAGCAACATGCTAATTCGTTCTTGTGTCCCCTATGTTGCTATCAAAATGTAGTGGACTGAAGATACGGTAGCTGTTTGGGATAACCGAGTAACTTACCACAATCCCGTCTATGATTACTTTGGCTCTGGATTACGCCATGGCTATCGGGTCTCCCCATCCGCTGAAAGACCTTACTTTGATCCCAACGGCAAGTCGAGACGCGAAGCTTTGGCCGAGAAGGAAGCTGCAGAAGCTAAAACAAAGTCTTAATTGATACTGTATAACCCATGTTTGCAGTGGAAAATAATCTTCTTAGATAGCTCATATAAGTTTGCAGATGTAATAAAAATATTCGCGGGTGTCGTTAAAGTGACACTGAGAACGTGCATTAACAATGACCGTGGCCACATATACAAATTGTCTGTACAGTACCTCTATAGAATGGTTTAATACGCTGGAAAATAGAGTAGTGATTTCTCGTGTTGCTAATCCCTTATTATGACACGTGCAGTGGAAAAATATCGATTGGTTGAAGTCTCTCTGAACCAGCGCTCATTAAACTACCTTATGTGATGCTGTTCGACCTTTGCAGAAAAACGAGTGATCAGTTAGAGCAGCCGAACCAAACGAGGTGGAAGAATCTCTGTTGCACTGTCCATCTAACACAAAAGTAACTGATAGAGAAACATTCCCAATGCTGCGGGCGATCAGCTATAAAGAATGTTTTAACAACATGAAATACTGCTTTTTTACCTCTATCATCAACAAGAATGGGCCTTTATCAGCTGTATTACTGCCCTTGCCCGACTGCAGATGAATATTTTTTTTTCGTGGTAGCATTAACGCGACTGGCCACATCAACCGCGTTTTCCGAATCTATCTCTTTCCTTTTTTTACATAAAACCCCCTCTCCATATGACCCTTTTGTCGGTAAACAAGCTATGTAGTAAACGTAGCAGCACTACCTCTAACGAAACAAAAGCTGACATTGTCGGTCGGTTCACCGTCGTGACTCGGGGAAACGACAACAACAGACGAAAGCGAGGTGGCACAATCCTTCTTACCGATCTCGTTACGCACGATTCCCTTTATTGTCGCATAGACCTATTCCATCACGACCTCGTCAATGTCGCAGTCAACATTACGCGCTGGAACTATATTCATCCTGATTATACCCTCAAGAATGACGCCAACGACGTGTTCAACAACATGCCGACGACAGCTTGGATTGAAGTGTATTTAGACGACGTATACCCACTCGGCAATCCGACGACGTCTATGCTGCAACAACTGCTCAATGCAGACAAGATTGCCAACGAGTTACTTGCTTCGATTCCAGACATTGATCTGGTGTCCATTCCTGATTTGTTACATCCGATCAAGCGTTTATCGCAAGAACAGCAGCAACAACAACAACCAATTCACGTCCTTGGTCGTGTCAGCGCAAAACCTGTTCGCCATCTCGAACGACATGGAACAGCAAGGTTTTATATCGAGCTTGTGGGCTATCGGGGTGATACGTCGACAGTTATGGTGTTTGATGGCGATGATCTGATGTCTTGGTATCATACATTTCAGACAGATAGTTGGCATGTGTTTATGTACGTCGTCCCGGTTGATACGCAACTGGATGGGCAACTTGGTCGTGGTGCGCTTGCGTTTATCTCGGGTAAATCGCGCTGCTATCGAGTGGATGCGGATCAATTCGAGCGAATCAACCTCGGAATATCATCATTGCATAATGCGGTTCAAAAATCTGGAGAAGAAGAAACAGCAGAAAGCTCACAGGAACAACAACATCAATTCTTTCAACCATCGGCAACTTTGCGACCAGCAGAATCTACCAGCATGAGCACATATTCAGCCACAATCACGCGAGTGATTGACCCAGCTTTCGGTGTATATGAATTGGATAACCAGCTCATAACGTGCCTGTTCCACTATACCGATTATTCACTCGTTTACCCGTTCCGCCTGGGCATGCAGATCCAAATATCCTGTGCACACATGCTTGCTGTGGACACTGGATCTGCCATCATGCAAGCATGGGAAGCACCTGCGGTCGAGCGAGGTGACTACAAGACGCATGTGATCCTTGTTGGTTGTCGTCGAACCCATATCCGTATCGTCGGTTTCCCACAACATGTCCAATACCCATCCACAACAACAGCAGCAGCGAAAAAGGCATTGTCACTCTACGGACGAATTTACAAGGAATGCATCGAGACACGGGCGGATTTTGACACGTTACTGCAAAAGCTGGAAATGGAGGTGGCGCTGACACGCAAATTCAAAACAGGGATCCCCGCAACAGCTCGGTTACGCAAGATCTGTGCCATTACAACACGCAAGGTGAAACCCAAAAGACCGTTTGGTGGCAGTATGTACATGGACGTTTTTCATCACGATCAGTCGTGTTCGGCCGTCAAGACGCGGGAAAGCACGGTGAAATTGAATAAGTTTCCGTACATATGCGATTTGGCGACGTTTTTGTTGGAGGACGAGGAGCGGGCGCTGCAGTTGTCCAGACATGCTGGTGCAACGGGTACTTCCCGCGAGGATCAGCGGGTTGATTTGATCATGGCACCATATGATACTGCGGAATCGGATATGACGGTGATGGGAATGGTGGATGCAATGCCTGACGGACGACTGTACCTGTTGGATGACACGGGTAAATTGCCATTGCTGATATTGCCCGAAAATAGCGCGCGACGAAGGCAGCTACAGCTTGGCGACGTGTATCAGATCCAACGGCTCCAGCTGGTCAAAGAGGATCTGGATTACCAGGAGGAAGGAGGCTCACGGGTCTTACTTGATTGTACATACATTGTTTGCGCTGTGGATGACCTTAAGCGCGTAGGCGTCGTTGAGTCAGCATCTCGAACGTCGCTCATGTTGCCCGAAGCAGTGGATGTCCGCAAAGTGACAGGATACAAACGGGAGCGAGTGGAGTTGGCTGTAGATGGCGACGAAACTGAACAGCAAGATGATGCTGCATCTCACCCGCCCATGTTGCTGTATGTACTGGACATCCAACCGCCAATATTGTCGCATAAAGATGAAGCATTTGAATTGAGCAGCCATGTTCGAGCGATCCGATACCCCGTTGTCAATGAAGAGGACAACAGCAATAAAAAGAAACCGGAAGAAGTGCATCTCATTTTCAGTTCTCGGACACAGAGTCTGCGATTTTTGCCGCAGCTGCGGGCCGGCTGCTGGATAGGCTTAGGGGCCAATATTGACGAATTTCAACGGGTGGAGTCCGCTAAATACGTGCCAGAGAACATCAAGATCCCCACTTCTATTGCGCTCACACTTGTCATCGATTTGAATCGACACCATATCTTCACCACGAGTCCTAGCAGATACAGCATTGGCGTTACCCCTACTACCATTGGATCGGTACCAACAAACATAAAGGGTCTTATTGGATCAGCAAAGAAGCAGCGGATATACCAAGTCAAGGACATACTTCCGACGACGACAATACCGCAGAAAGCCAAGCTGTTGGTGACGGAGAGTGACGATGACGATGACGATGATGGAGACACCGGCCCTAGCATGGTGGAAGTAGGTCATCGGTTTTTTCAAGACACGGTGAACGTACAAGGCGTGATTGTCAGCAAAGGATTCCGCGATCAGCTATGGAGGGCTCGAGCGACAATAGACGCAAACGCGCGACATGTATTTGAAGAATTCGGTGTGGGTACCGGCCAGTCGGGACGCAACCAGCTATTCTTTCGACTGCGGCAGACAGACGGCTTGGACACAGTTGATATTTACATGGACGTATGGAACAGGACGTATCCACTCGGACTAATCCCGGGGGCTCTGGTCACATTTTATAACCTTGTACGAAAACGGAGTGAACATGGGACTGTACATTGCCAAATGTTGCCATGCACATCGGCGGCAGTATCGGAACAACTTGATCCGCGAACCGAAACGATAATCACGGAGCAAATTCCGCAAAAGAAATTAAGTGATATTTCCCGAAAACCGGGTAGCAAAAACAACAACAATAACAACAAAACGGATCCGTCAGTATTTAAGACCCCATGTGCAATTAAATCTATATCCTTTGTCAGCATGGGATGGGTCTGTGGTGAATGTGGTACGGGCGTTCAGAAGAATAAATGTTATCAGCTCTGCAAAACGGCGAAACGGATATTTACGGCAAACGCGGTCGCTACGGTGAGCGATGGAACGTCCCAGGCACGTGCTAATTTTGATGGAGACGGGCTTGTGTTCAAATTACTCAACATCCAAGACAGCCGAGCCGACAAGATCAAAACGGCAGTCTTGGAGCATGGCAAGGTCACGTATCAACATTTTGGAAACGATGGGCATGACGACGACGACGACGACGACAACGATAATTATGATCACCATGGTAACAGCAACAGCAGCAACAATCAAGGCGGAGAAGAAGAAGGCGAACAAGTTGAAGTGTTGTCTGGTGGAATGACGCTACCAAAACTTTGTCAACGCGTGATGAGTACGGGCAAGGTGTTCATGCTATTTGCGCGCGAGATTGGAGAGAGGCTGAAAAAGGACGCAACTGTCATGCAGCAATTGAAAATTCGCGCAGTGACGGAAGAGGATGGACAACCAGTGGCGGTGGTATATAGACCACGGATTGTTGCGGTGGAACTTCAGCTGCTTGATCCTGCAGACTGCGCGTGGGAGATGCTTTCGAAACTGCAACAAGGACAACAACAACAGCACAATGAACAATAACCAAATAAAAATTTGAATATATGTGAGTTTATACGAAACAATATTTGTTTTAGTAATGATCATTATAATAATGTATATCCAAATCATATTTCAAAAAGTTGTATAATATAAATGGAAAGAAAGTCTAAAACTATGGTTTCATAGTGAATAGCAAAACAATGTTAATGAAATGATCATATACAATGTAAACAGTCCTGGCCGATTTCTCTGGTTACACCGGTACGCAATCTCTAGTTTCGGTCCATGCATCAACGTTGTCATGTTGCACCAATGGAATTGACGACCTCCACCACTTCTTGTTTGCGTCCTCAAAGGACCGACTCATCTGGCGAAGCGTGTGGCGAGACCTGCTGCTTATGCCTGTCAAACATCATCATATCGAGGCTGCCATATTCCATATATGCAATTACCACACGACGCACCCGATCTACCCAGCTCTCAGGTCATCACAGTAGTTTTACATGGCTTATGGCCTGGGAACTGGGCTTTGAACTTTTTTCATCATCTTCTATCTCAAATTCTGCATTCTTTATGTACCTTTACAAGCAAGGAAAAAATATTCAATAAATAGTTGTTCGTTATAAAAAATAATCATTTACTATAATTTCAAGGAGTATTGTTGTACATATAGTGCTATGTTAATATAAAGGTATCCTACCAAGCTTTAAGCTTCGAAGATGCGAAAAACGCACTATACAGTTGTACCCCGGTTTTTGCAACCCCTGGTTTTGCAATTCCTCGTATATCTGCAACTTTTTTTGAAAAATCCAAAAAAAACTTAGTAGTTTCGCAAATTTGCAACTTGCAAATGAGTTTATACGATTTGCATGTTATCGGGGTGAAAACAGCTTCAATTTTTGCAATATCAACTGAAAGAAGCATCTGTTGCGGATTATGAGGAATAAAATGATGCGGTTACTGCAAGATAAATATGTAAATATGAAGATGTATTTATTGTCGAAATACATAAAAATTATTATTTGGTAGTTGAGCCAGTAGAATCGGGACACATATATAGCACTGATTGGATTGAATCCACAAAAGAAATGATGAAGATATAAGAAAAAGGGAACACACTACATATAGATATAGAAATAAAATGTTTGCTCAAAGGAGCTTTTAACTACATATCGAAGAAGTCATCAAGGGATGATTGTCGGGAGATTGATTGCTGCCTGAGACTCTCTGGAATCCTACGCAAAGACTTCTTTAAGTCGTAGTTATCGATATTATCCAAAAAGCTCAAAACTCCTGCAATTGCAACCTGTTTTTCCTTCGACGTTGGCCCTGGAATAGGCGAATCAGCGCTTTGGTCCATCGCCCGCTCAAGTGCTCGTCGTACGTTCGATCCTCTTGCTTGGATGTGAACTTGTGGAACGATTTTGTCATGCTTAAAATAGCTAATAATTATCAAACCACTAGACAGCTTCAATGAAAGAACGGTCTTATATATGCAAGTAGTAACATCTAGAGCTGTATGAATATTCCCAAAGAACGTATCGTACATCATCTCTGACAGATAAACAATGGGCTAGTGTTAATAGGATGACTTATCCAGTGTATACTTAAAGCAGAATTGTTTACCCCGTTACTTGCAAATCCTCACTTTTTGCAAAAAAAAATCGGAAAACCCTCGGTTGCAAAAACCGGGGTACAACTGTATCTTGGAAGCTAACTTCGGCGCATGAATCGTTCTCTTCTGTTATCCACTGGCATGTTGTTATTGTAAATAGTATCCCAATTGTTTCGCTGAAAATGTACTGGCCATGGTTCAAAAACGGTCTAAAGAAGGGTGCCCTGTTTGAACTAAGCTTTTACATGTTCTTGAGTGGATCTACAGTATTACACATATATATGTTCAATTGTTGACAGTTCAGCTTTTGGTGCGATTGTATGATGCCAGCGCGCTTCAATCATGTTATGTACCCCCTGTATTATGAAATGATGACAAAAAAAGTCGTCCACAGTAAAAGGATTATCGCATTTTTACCATTGGCCGAATTAACTGAACGCAACCTTAACGCTAAGTACCTACATTGATGACCGACGACTTAAAAAAAGCGCAGACACTTTGAAGCTTCCAATGAAGCGACTGAAACTAAGCTATCTTGCAACAACATCTCAAATTGCTGGTGATATGCCAAAGGTTGTGGCGACATGTGTATAATACAACTGATTTTGTCAGGCGAGATACATAATCGCAAGTATCTTAGAGATACTGATCCAGCCTTGGAAGGTGATGCTACCCAGGGCCTTGCCTCTTTTGCGGCGTCAAGAGGAAAACCCCTTGCGACACGTGTCCGTTGTATGACACGGAGCGAAGAGACGAAGGACCGCTAGTACATCTTTTGAAGGCCGTGGTGCTCTATTTCAAATCTTTAGTTTCAATACTGTACCACATACAAAGATATATTCCTACATTCAATCAGAAACTTACAAGCGATGCATGATGTCTGCAAATGCTAATAGATCTTCATCTTCTATTTCAGCAGCTTCACAAATACAGTATCCTTTCAACTTTCAACATTTTCTTGGCTTATTCAGTTACACTTTATATATTTACCAAAGTAATACGTACCAACGACAAGCGCATCTCCTTCATCTTTTCTCAGCTTACACATGCGATACAAAGGTTGATTCCTTCCAAGTGATGCATTCTGGAATGAATCCCTTTTTCTGGACGATGGCTGATCCAACAAAAATCATTTTACAGGGCCTCATTTTCCAAATTGAGCTACCTAGGCTAAATTGATCGAGCCACGGAAATGGAAGTGATGCTAGATGGTGTGATGATATATACGTAACGTATGTAATAGAATTTTATGTACAGTGATGATAAGAGGGGATGGTATTAAGTAGAGTGTCTTTTTTTGTTGGGATATGTGAAATGAAGTTTAGGAGCGTCGTCAACTGGATATTCATCATTCACTATTGCTTCGAATCTTCTTTTCGTTTGGTTATCAGCATTTTGCAATATTTCTTCAGCTGCTGAGACGATGTAGTACTATATAATATATAAGTACAGTAACATGACAATCTGTAATAATATCTCTCAGACGTGTGGAAAATGAAAAAGCAACCTTACCATGTAATTCAATAATAGAAAGATGCTGCCATTATCAGAAAACTCTTCAAATTCAGCAAGCGTCGTTGGTAGTACAATGTGTTTGTCGGATTTCTTGGCAGCAACAAAGACATCTTCATGCTTATAGACACCATATAAATAGCCACGAAGCCCTGGAAAACAATTATGTTAGATATATACATGAATGAATGACTCCATTTATTTAGGACCATGAATCACACCATCTTTCAACCACTTTTTGTTATCTTACCCATTACATCCATTGCCAGAGGTGTGACAGTGCTGGAACCGCTTATATCCACCCCAAATCTTTTTTTCAGTTGTGATAGTATACAAATATTCGACAAGATGTTTTTTGATTGTTGCTCGAACATGAGATCATACTCAGCGTTTGCTTTCTTGTGTTCGTTTGACGCCAATTCAACACGGTTCTCTTCTCCATCCTTTCCATGAGTAAGCATGTCGATTTTGCACCCGAAACCACCATTTTCCTCTTTCATCTCTTCTCTTGTGGCTTGGGACAAGATCTCACCACTAAAGCACGTATTAATTCAAGTTCGCTTATAAAAATATACTAAGCCCTTTGTTTTGTTTACTTACGTTCGTACTTGGATAATCGTGCACCGAAAAAGAACACGGAAAACATATTGCCACCGAGCAAAGGATTCATTCTCAGACATCATATAACTATGTCTGTTTTGGAAGTCGAATTGGATCATGTCAAATCTAAAAATTAATAATACATACATAATTAGTCAAATAACGATGGTGCATTGATCAAGATAACGATGTAATAATATTAAAACCCCTTACATATATAAAAAGATATCGTAAATCTTCAATACAACCGAGCTTCCATCATATTCTCCAGCTTTCAACATCTTGATCTTTTCTTCAGATATATAGATTCGTACGGCCATGATACCCCCCTCTTCATACTCCTAGAAACAAAGTTCTCGGTAAAATTAGCATGATAAACATGGGATTTGTGGCTCCCTCCTTTTATATTACCTTAAATATTTGCTTTACAGCATCATTCGCTTTGTCGTTGTATACACATTCGTTGTGAAAATTCTCGCTCTTGATCATATTGGACAAATGGCTGAAAGTGATTTCACCAATGTACTTCTTCATGTTGACTTCCTTGTCAGTTTTCAATGTATTCACAACAGCAGACAATGCAAGCCTACATATCATTACATATTATGTTGGTGTTTATTCTTTTAATTTATTACTTAGCAATAACGCAGAACAAAGGAAAAAAACTTACTGTAAATGTTTTTCTTGTGCTTTTGTCAATTTGTCCATTTGTAGATAGACATAACAAGCACGGAATAAGTCTTTTTGAAGGCCATTGGTATCAGCGGGAGGAAGGGGGGGCAAATGAAGTCCATCTCCCTTTTTCTGGATGAAAATCAGACCAAATCACAAGTATGTTAGAATAATTTGAAGATAGAATATGCTTGAACTATATCTTCTATACCTTTTTCACCAAGTACTCCTTCAATGGTTGTAACAAATTTGTGTCGTGCGCCACGATGCTGCCACCATCCTGTTATAAATAAAATAATAATGATACACATTGAGTAAATACACGAAAAATATGTTGTCGTTCGGTCGTGAGCAAATAAATATTACCTCGTTGATTGTACAATAACTGACTTCAAGATTATCACTATTATTGTGATTGTTCTGAGCTTGATAAGCTTGCTATATAGTTTGAAAAATATTGATTATTACACGATCATATTTGATTATCAGCGGAATCTTTAGATATACCTTATCTTTAGCAAGTTCCGCCCAATTGACATTTCCAACGTCAGCTACAAAAGAAGCCTATGATATAATGTTGTGAATAAGAGCGATTGAGAATTAGAACAAAAAATGTAAACAAAAGCTTACACTGGAAAGTATGTTGGCTGCATGAGTATTAAAATCTTTTTTCAAGAGAGATTTTAGCTCGTCTGGATTTATTAGCTCTGGAACATGCTGCAAGACTACATCCTTGTTCAAGTTGATGAATTGTGATAGTTTTGCAAAGCGTATCGCTGTTTTACACCACTCTAAGTAACCCTTCAGCTTGACTAATAAACATCAAATAAAATATTATTATATATGAGCCACACGTTTCAAATCTATACAACCTACCTTTGTACTCGGTTAGCATGGTGATGTTACTAAACAGTTGGCAAGGTTAACAACCGGTTTGTTGTTCGGATATAAGCCCGCGGCTACGTAACAACTGGTAAATTCCCTTTTCCAAAATTGGACAGGTCCAATTGCACACACCCAGGCAGGACTGGTCATGCACACCCTTTGTTAAAGCTACAGTAATGCAGCTTATTTCTAAAAGCTCGTCGCTTTTTTGATGCTCTCATCGCAGGCCGCATTCGCCTACGTTATTTTTTTAACGTCTCCGCCTTCCTGGTTCGAGCGCTCTTGGGCGCCACTCAAGCCTCTTTGGTAGCACGGATGTGGTCACCAGCTTGTTCCTGCTTTTCATGACATCAGCAGCACGGAACCTCTGACAATCCGTGCGTTCCGACAACTATGCACTGCCAAACTATCCCATCCTCTTTCAGCCAATATTGGTGTTCTTTCTGCCTCGCGTTGGCGTCAGTTTTGGGACGCGACAATGTTCCACCCAGCCCGCAACATTCGGTAACACGCAATCCATTACACACTCCCACATGCTGAACGCCTCCACGGAATAGTTCGAACATTCATGCTAGTCCGCTTTGTCAATTATGTTGTCATGCAAATGACTCCCTCCAACAATTTTGAAAATTCTTGTCCTTTACGCTGGCAAGTCTGGTGCAAAACATAGAGATCAATCTTTTACACCGAGGCACATCCAACAGCGCTTTCGGTTTCATTTTCAACCTGAACTGGACACAGGACTCACCTTTCTAGCCCCTCTTCGCGTCATGATCGTCCAAGCTGTCTCTTAAGCACCTGGCGCACTTAGTGAGCCTTCATCTTTGATGATGTGCCTTTAATGCTAACAGTGCTTTCTCTTCTACCCTCACCCTCCTCTCTCAACTCCACAACATCCTCGGTTGACCGAGGATGATTGATAATAGACTTTCTTTCTTTTTCTCGTTTTGTTTCTTATACTCGTAAACTTTATTGTATCTCTATGCGCATTACATTCAAACATCCACACATTTCTGCTCTGTACATGTCTCGGAATTCAGTTACAGTGGCCACTCGTTATAGTGATATGCCCAGTGAGACCCAAATCCTATTATCGAATTATTACTTTATCGAATTGTCGTTCCGTCAATGATATTCGGTACATAGATTACCCGTGGCATTTAGCAAGCTCCACAAAAAAAGCTCTAGAATCACGTCCTGTCAAAATTGATAGTATGCAACTACTAAAAAAAATATACTGTGGGAGAAGAAGAATAGAGAGGCTGGAGAAGAAGCTGAAAGGCTTCTATTTGAGGAGCTTGATGCTAGGATTTTGGAAATATATGAGGAAACATGTGGCGTTGATGGTATTGAATTGATACCACATGAAGAATCGGAGGATATCCATGCACCAGCTTCTTTTGACGACCTCATTAACGATGCTACTATTGATCGTAATTAAGGTACGTTCATAAACGGCTGATGTAAATGCATATATATAAATCACAGGCTTGTTTCTGATACAGACAGGTAGATGTTGATGAAGAAGAGAATAACCAGAGAAGACGGTGATGAGGAGAAGGAAGCATTGAAGCCACTGCACAGTAAAAGAGAGAGGAAGCAGTATATGAGCGATTTATTGAAAACAATGGTGGTCGAAGACAACCTGAACGCTCAGTAAATTAGGCTTCTTAGAAAAAGATGCGCAAAGCACAGTAGACTCTGAGATATCAACTAGCGCAAAGCAAACTGGTCTTTTTTCCTTTTCTGATAAACAAAAATATACTATTGGCCCGCTCGATATAATGCTATTTCTGATGGTTGATATCATATATCACAATAGCGAACTAGTAATAATTCCCGGCTTAATTTGATTTGGATCCAAAAACAAATCACTATATCGAAATATCACTATACCGAATATCGCTATAACGAGCGGCCACTGTAAACTGACTCCAACCGGTCACTTAAAAAAAGCTTATTTCTAAAGCTATGCAAACTTGCAGTAAAGAAATAATACAGCTCAAAGTATATGCTTAAACAGAAATATATATAAGACACGTCTTCACCTTTCATCGTTGTATATGGCTATACACAGGACGGGCAGTTTTATTATGTAATAATTCAGGAACACTTGAAGTGATACATACCCGCCTTTATTCATTAAAATTTTTACCTTCCTCATCACTGCTCATTTAAGCACAATGTCAAAAACAATGAACTCAATTTCAGAAGAACTTAACACCACGTGGGATGGATTCGATCTCGCAAAGGCTGCTTGCTATGCATGGGACAAGAAGAATGGTGTCCCGTTGCGTAATATTAGAAGTAATAAGACGGGAAATAAGAGGAAGCTCCAGATTGCTTGCAAGCATTATGGTGAGCCGGTCAAACAAGGGCGTATGTGAAGAGCAGAAGACTACGACAAGATAAATGGTCATAATAGACGACAAGAGCGAGGCCATTGCGTCATTCAAGGATAAAAAGATCGACACTGGTCATATGGACTCTCAACGGTTTGGTTGCAAATTCTAAATGAACCTTCGTCCTTTGAACCAGACCAGCGACCAATGGCACATAGTCTCTTTCTATGAAGGCGGCCACAACCACGAGATAGCAAACAAGCCTTCTTCGTACCCAATGCTCCGTCGACTCGATCATGATGAGGAGGTCGTTTAGAAGACGGTACAAGCGCATGTAACCAACAAAGCTGTATTGTCTTATCTTGCCAGCAAGAACAAGGTTGCTCATTCAAAAGATGTCAGCGCATATTCGACAACGACCCAGATCATGCAATGTTCCAGCTGATCAGAAGCTTCAAGAAAACGAGTACGGAGTCCAATAAAAGCAAAACAGCAAGGCGACAGACGTTTTTTGCAGTCTCTCTTCTTTGCGCACATATTGGCAACCGCACTCGCTCGCCAAATCCCGGAAGTTGTTACCGTGGACGCCACTTATAAGACAAACAAGCACCGGTTACCATTTATCAACATTGTCGGAAATGGCAATATCGGATACCCGCATTTGATGAAGTTTTTGCATTGCTGGTTGCTGATTAACAGAGGAAAACAATGACAGCTACGATTGGGTGATTCGCAAGCTTCAAAATGTGGTTTGGCCAGTTGATCAGTTCTCGTCCCCTGGTGTGCTTGTAGCTGACAGTGAATCTGCCGTAACCGGTGCTCTTGACCGCGTTTTTCCAACGTCAAAATGCAAAATCCATGTACGACGCAACTTCAGGGTCAACCTACGCAAGCTTTTTGATGTCATGGTTACGAGGAACTTGGAAAAGCTAATAATTTTTTAATGGCTAGTGAATATCAAGACAAGTTCAACGATACGCGATCCAAAATATCAAACGATAAGCTCGAGATAAAGGCAATGAAGATGCATAAGGAGGCTGCTCAAATGGCAAAAAGACCCGACGTTCTCAAGGATTATTTTCACAGGTGTGTAATATTGAACAAGCATGGGGATTTTTTGACCACATGCTACTTGAGATTTAACATGTTTTCGTAGTACAGAAAGCTTGCTTCCAAAGACAAGTGGTTAGACAATTACCTCACTCATGTATGTAACTCATTTTGAAGATGAAAGCACCAACAGAGTCGAAGGGATGCATGCCAACAATAAAAAAGGCGATAATGTCCTCGGGTGGCAATTCCCTAGCTGCCTTTACGCAAATCGACGAGTTTCATCGATTGAAGGTATATCTCTTGTAGTAAATATATTGATTCGTTAGTGTCGAGGCTCTTACACGCTTTATTTCTTATACAGTGGACCCCCGTTTTTGCAGTAGCAAAAAGTGGGGAACTGCAAAAAGTGAGGATGGCTATAAGGGTGTTACACAGGCTGATATAGCTTGGCTTAAGTGTCAATTATCAGCTGGAAATCCCCTCCGCCAAGACTGCTATAGTCACTGATAGAGCTTTGCGGTTTAGACTATTTGGTCTAACCGCAAAAACCGCAAAAACCGCAAACTTCGGCTGTTGAATGATTTGACCTCAGTCCAGGGCTGGTGCAAAATTAACTATTCGTTTTTATTACACTGCATCTTAATGACAATGCTCCCAAACAACGACACCAACCTCATCCCTCTGTACACGTACGCCCTTGCAATTTTTTCTAAGGAGCAGCGCCTCAGAAGCGAGGTGGAAAAGCGTTTCCTCGAGACTGAGGAAAACGTGGTGGGATTCCTCGTGACCAATACGGGAGGTGATGTGCAGCGTTCTTGTGCGCTTAAAAGCGAAATCGCTCGCTTGAAGGCTCTTCGCGATGTCAGAACCGTGCAGCAGGCTGACGAGGCAGCATCTTCTAGTTTTGCTGGAGAAAACGCGACCATGAAAGCCGAGATTGCGGCAATGGAGAAGCAGCTCACTGAGCAGTGGAGGACTCGCCGTGCCGCGATTGCCGAGAAGTACGGAGAGGATGTAAAGTCCTTGGATGCACCAAAGTTGCCTTTTCTTCGAAAGAACGCTGGAAAGGTCACTGCATACAATATGTTTCAAAAAGAGTTGTATCTCGAACAAGGTCGTAAACATTTTTTAAGTTACTTATTTGTAGATCGATGCATGCTAACAAGTACTATTTGACTATCACCAGACCGCAAACGGTATAAGCATGATCGCAGCCAAATAGGCAGCATCATGAGCGAAAAGGCCTCGATGTGGAACAGTCTTAGCTGGGAAGATAAAGCTTTCTACCAGGAAATGGCTGACGAGCATAACAAGCAGCAACCCGCTTCTGAGCTGCAAAAGAAAAGAAGCGCTTTTGTTAAACTGTCAGGTTACCTTACCCGTAACTTGACAATGTTGAGAGAAGAATGTGGTGTGGAAGGAATCTGTTTTGTCGCACCATGCAACATTAACAACGCTATCCAACCCGATCAGGATGGATATGGCTCTGGTAACATTCTGTGGTTCTATTATAAATGAACGCGATATTTATCTTATCAATTTCTGATGAACAAAACTTAGATGGCGGGATGCACTTCTGGAGCTTGATGCAAGCAGGAGCAATTGATTTGAATGGGAAAAATTTCAGTCACCATTTCAAAGATCAAATGCTTCAATACAACAAACAGCTTGGTAAGCTTATTTTGCTCTACTTCAATTTTTTTGTACCAACTACATGTATGCTCATCTATCACTGAAGCTGCGTCCAAGAATGATACTTCCACCCAACAACCCTCCTCTTCTTCCTCCGCATCCGCATCCGCATCCGCAACCGATAGCACTGCTGCTCCTGTGACATCTATTTCCTCGGGCCCGAATCAAGTGCCATCCATGACGACCCAAAGGCCCCGAACGGCTCAACATGATGGAGTGCAGAAATTGAGGAATATCATTGCCCAGAAGTACCGTACGTTTTTATTATAGATTAGGAGTGTCAACGACCTGACTTTGTGGATCTCGACGTACGAATACCTTTTTAATACGTTTTACCTTAGGACAAGCAATATTTGAGAATTACCAAATTGCTCTCCCAGAAGGAAGAAAAATGGCATGGCAAGACAAAGCAATGTATCGCGATATTGTCATGTCAGGCTGGCCTGAAGGAACCGAACGCGTCAACCCCAGCCGTTTACTGCAGCATGAACGAGATGAAATCGAGCGTCGGCTGGTATCGGGTGAGCTCAAGTTTGTGAAGGCGCCACAACAGCAGCGACAACATGATTAAAGCCTTCTTCTCCTTCTTCTTGTTCAAAAAAATACCTTTTCTACTATCCTCCACTGACAAATTGCTAGGACCACTTGAACTACTCTACACTTGCATTGCTGGAAGGACTTTAGTGGGAGTTTAAGACTATGAAATAGTATGGCTGCGGTATGTCTTGGTAAGTTCATGATGTGTACATAGGGAGAAGCGATGGTACTTAAAGACATGCATGTAACGCTTAATCACATTCGAAGTATATGTCTCCATATTTTCCTGCTGTAAGTAAGCGTGATCCACTTGTATTTCTTCGCAGTACGCAGCAATTTTTTTGTTGATATCATAACTGGGAATAAAGCAATTAAAATCAAAACATATCAACATTACATTTAGTTCAGTATTCATAATTTAGTGTAAGCATTTCGATATTTATTATTACTAGCTAGTCGTTATGATTTCTTTTCGCGCGGGAACATCTATACGGCAAAGTGTGAGCTCCTTTTGCTCAGAAACGAACCGTCTAACAAACAACTTTTAATAATAATTTTCACCTCAAAAGAGGGGATGGTAGGGTGGCATGGCTCTATCTAACGTATCCAATGATACTGCACAAGTATTCTTTAAAGATTTTACATTATTTCCACAAAGGGCAAGTCTACTGTCAGTGAAGTGTTAGCTCAATGATAACTTGTAGGCTAAAAACAAGAGAATGTTAAGTCTATTAGTTATACATGCATCTCATACACATTATCCACCTCTTTTGATGACAATGAGCAGATACAACATACATATTACTGTCATGGTGACTCCTATAGCAAGTGGGTAGGTGGCATCGATGAAAGCACCCTTGCTATCTGTCTAACTTAATGATGGTAGCTCTCTGTCATCAGTGTACCGGCATTCCCTGCCATCGACTTGACGGCACCCATCTTTCGAAGTGCGGCAATAATTTGCTCAAGGTTAAGTACACTTCTTGAGATATCCCTTCAGTAATCCGCTTTGCTACAGTATTACTTCGACATAGATGAAAAACGAGAGCTTAGAATTTGAAATAGTCTACTAGAAATAAAAAAAATGTACGTACATTGAGGCACACAAACTTGCAGACAATACAAAAATGTATCTCGAAAAACCCAATCCTGTTGGTTTGTTTAAAGTAGATATCTGATAAAAGGTATTAGCAAGAGCAGGCGATCTTCTTTAGTAGAGTTCATAGAAGTTCAATTCTATTTGTCTCTTAGCTTTCTTTGTGAGATACCATTTTTTTTAATATGAATAGTTCCTGACTATCATGTGGTTCTTCCAGTCATTACCACTATACTTGAGTTGTTAGATGGTATGATCACTACTTGTGCGATGCTGGAATGATGTAGTCATTTACATATTATACACATATCTTTCTGTTTTTAGGGTCGATTATTTATCATAGCCACGTTTACGATAATGCATACGTTGATAGGAAGTATCTGCAAGAGATGAACACTTTCATCGAGGCAAGTTTTTTTGGGTATAGCACAGTTCATTGTGAAGGATGGATGATTGATAATCTTTTTCTGGGATACACTCGCGTCGACTCCTATAAGCTCACTTTTCAGTGAATTTAAAATGAAATGAATGAGCTATGGGTTTGTAATAAATACTATTGAAAGCATCTCCGTTGGTGCTATGGATTGAAGCTTGAACCTCTATAGACAATGATGGCTACAACCAATGTCAAGGCCGGGATAATAACGATGTGAGAAAGAGGTACTGTACGCACTCAAATCTGATCTCTACAAGCACCTATGTAAAGATATATTGATGCCAAAATAAAAATACGGAAGATCTCTTAAACTACAACGACCATTTTACATAGAAAGAAGCGATAAAGTTCTATATACAGCGGCAGATCTTATTATCTTTACAAATAGACACAGAGCAAAGCATCAACAAACCAAACGTTGTACTTATCTACTGCTCGTTTAAGGACGGTAAGCTGCATCCATCAGGTACCTTATACTTCAAATATTTCTTCCGTTACAGTGAGAAAATTAGGGTAAATTGCAGACAGTTCATTCATGTAATTTGGTTATACTGTAGCGCTTAAAACAGATGCATTGTAGCATGGGTCAGGAGAAGGATTAAATGGTAACGATGATGCTCTTCGTTGCTTATTTACATACGCGCAATCAGCAAGCTTCTCCCTATTGTATAGGCTTAACCTACTATCCTTCAGTCTTAATGCCAGATAGCGTACACTTAATACATTCTACTATCGACGTACAGTGATAGCCAGCCACTTACAAATGTATCTTTGCAGAGATGCTTTTTACTTGCTATCACTTTGAGCTCCGCTATGTATAGTATGTACTAGAGTGCTTTTCATTTGACATTGTTACAAAGTCTAATAGGTTTAATGACTGGCACAGTATACGTAATAATTACGAACAGATGATTATACTGAGAAGCCACCCACTTTTATAGGTACAAAATAACAGACGTACCGACTTATTTTAGCTATAATAGATGCGCACGCTTGTTGCAGCTATTCTTTGCGATGAAGATTGAACCTTGACACTTTGATTTGGCAGTGTTTCAACCCAGCCAAAGCATCTGTCACGATTGCAACTATGACAGACGGACTCACCACGTTGCAACTATATGTCTATATTTTTTGAGAACTAAGTTTATCGACGTCGATCAAAATACCTTTATATTGAGAAAGGCATTTTATAAAAGCATATTACTTTGGTTTACTTGAGTTAAACTGTAATTTACAGCCTTGCCTTATTAAAATCGTGGTAGATGCCCTTATTCTTGCTGAGTTGCAACGTAGCATACGTACCTGGCAGGGTTGCAACTACGACAGACGGACCCACCAAGTTGCAACTGTATGTCTTGGTCTTTTAAGAACTAAGTTTATCAACGTTGATCAACATACCCTTATATTGAGAAACGCAGTTTATAACAGCATATTACTTTGCTTTGCTTGAGTTAAACTGTAATACACAGTCATGCCTTGTTAAAACGTAGATGCCCTTATTATTTTTGTGAGTCGCAACATAGCATACGTACCTGGCAGGGTTGCAACTATGACAGACGGACCCACCAAGTTGCAATTCTATGGCAGGAGCATGTCAGTAAGTACACCATAATCATGTCAGTTGCTTATATTGAACTACATTCAAGGAAGATACATTTCATTTTAGTAGACATAAGCCCATCAACAGTCTATATACAGTATATTAAATTGTTACTACCGAAAGGTCTACTCAATTGATTCCAGCATATGCTTGATCTGCATTTGCCATTACTATAAAAGAGCAGAGATGTGATCTACAGTATTCAGTCTCACATATTCCTATATCAAGAACACAGACACTAGTCAATCTACTTCTTAATACAGTACGCACAAATATAACTGAGTAAACTGTGCTTTGAGTACGTTTATGGGACCTATGTAATGATCTTTACTCGACAAAATGTTGAACGGTAGTAAATGAACAATTCATCATGAATATTTTGTGATAAGAAAAACGAAGAAAGATAGGTATATACACATATACTGTACATATGCAGCAACAACATACATCTATAAAAGTATAACATCTGTATGATGATTACAGTCGATGGCACAGATTATACTTGCATCGTGGTAAAAGTAAAAAAATATTACCGTATACGTATAATCAACTACAACGTTACTTTACTTGAGTATTATATATTAATGAGGGATAAACAAATAGTACTACTAGTTCTTGCCCCTTCTTCATAAACCAAACTATACTTCATCCATATGATAAAGCCAAGTTAGCAACTAGAAGCTGATCACTGGTCTGCTCTTTATCAGAAATAACATTATACTTATCAACTGATATGATTTTTGCTCTTCATAATGTGTATAGTTATTACAAATATGTTTGATTGGCGTTTACTAATAGCTTTATCCCGGAGCAAGCAAGTAACAGGCGAAAATGATAATGCTTCTCGCAAATAAGCAGCACCGAATTGCTTAGTTACAACGTCAGAAAAAGCAGCTGTCAGAGTTGCAACTATGACAGGCACTTCTGGCTCCGCGATAAAATCGATGAATGAGTTGCTTCACATAAAAAGAGCACTGGCTACCACCACTATAAACTACCTATATGCGCACCCCTGGCAATGTATCATTCTAGGTTTTACTGTGATTAATCTTACATCTTCATATAGCGTGTTTCTTTTTCAACTTCGTACTTACGCACTTAATACAGTACGCCTTTCACTTGACTTAAAAAGGTGTGATGAGAGATTGCAGTTTTAATCGGAGCTCATTCATACTTTGTTATATAAGCTGTCTTTTTTACGGTCCACGAGCTCAAAGCCTTCTTGATATTCCTACTGCGTTTCTTGCTCGAAAACTATGTCTCCAACTCCTCCCAGGTATGTTTATTCAAGGAAATTGATTTATCGTGGTAATGGTATATACTAATATCTGAGCAGTAGCCAATACGCGCTCAACGACGCTGTCTTTTCCACTCCATCCTTACCACCTCCACCTCAATCCACTTTGCCTTGTGGTCGCCCGCGCCGCGCCTCTATGACACCCGGCATGCCAACGGAAACGTGGTACTCCGACAAATATAACCCAACGCAGTATCCGTTGCATAACTATTGCATCAACTGCTCTACGCAGTTTGTAGCAGACCACACCTATAAGCGGCACCTAGTTGATGTCCACAAAGTGCGGTTCGAGCCAGTCAAGCCTGGTCCTAAAAAGACGATATCTGGAACGCTACGTATCTTGAACAAGAGGCAAAATGAAAGGAAGCGCGCTCTTGCCAAATCGCTGGTATACAAGGGGCAAAGGCGGGACGAAGCTGCAAAAAAGTACCTGAACAAGCTCGTTTCGTTGATCGGTGCAGAAAGTTGGCATCACGCGTACCTCAAAATGTTTGAACATATTGATGCTACAATCGATCAAATTGAAAACGAGCCGACCATTGCTGAAAGCCGTAAGAAGTTTGGTGACTGCTGGAAGTACGCCGTGTACAAACTATGTGCCCTAGAAGGACGGTCAGTGTTTGACCCAACATACGAACACTTCTTTGGCAACTTGTTCATGGAAGATGCGTATGATGCCTACAGTCAACTGTCCGGCAGGGATACGCTGAGCGTCAACGATGCGGTCAGAAATGCATTGAGTGACAGGGCGCCCAAGTTTTTAGCCAACTATGGCCCCAAGTTCCGCGCTTTCCGGTGGATTGGCAACCCCTTGTTGATGCGCGCCACTTCTGACTGTGGTATCGAGCGAGGAAACGCCACTGACGATGACGATCACGGCGACGGCGACCGCGTGTCGTATTCCAATATATTACGCGAGTCAAGAGAGAAGGAGTGGGCCAGACTCTTGTACAAGCGGCACCCGGCCAGCTTAGAGGCAGGAGAAGGAGTAGGAGGAGAGGGAGAAACGGAGGAAGATTGCAGCACTGGTATTGAGCAGAGTGACGGGTATATTAGTGATGATGATGGAGGATTGGAGAGAAGAGAAAAAGACTTTATGTTCTAGATGCACATTTTAAAACTATCTACATCATCTTTTACTGGCTTTCATATACAATCGATTGTAGGTGAGCGAGCAAATGGATCTTGATTTATGATGTTGCAATTTATTACGCTTGTTCGAATGAGTATCTATGTTTTATACTTAACTTTTTGTAGCTCTTCGTCTCCCGCCCTTGGGGGAACCGAATGACAAACGGTAAAAGCTAAATAATGCTACTCAGTACGTTTCATGAAAAGATAGCCCTCAAACCAGCAGCAGTAAGTGCTAGCGCTAGAATACAATCAATCGCTTTATCCATAATATTTTCCGTTTACCTAATTGTTTTGCAACGGTAAGTTTCACTAACGAAGTATGCGTTGAACACCTACATGCATAATCGATAGTGCCGATGCATTCTGTTTTCCATGGTAGTATACACCCATTGATTAGAGATTGCCTGCAGACGCTGTAGCCAAACATCGATCGGGATAACTTCTAAAGATATCTAACCATAACAACAGTAACATTTGATCTTAGTTTTGTTGATATATTTACTACTTTTTTTATACCGGAACTTCATCGGCAGCGAAAATGCTCTCGAACATGTTGTCATCTTCATCGATCCACTCTTCGTCATCGTCATCGTTCTCATTCTCTCCTTGCAACTCGGGTGCCAGCTCTACTGTCTCCTGGTCACCTTCACCTTCTTCATCATCTTCGTTATCATCTTCGTTTGGCTGTCGTACTGTTGTCGATGCAAGTCTGGACTGCGTAGCGGTGCCGTTGAAAGCTGATCCATCAGCAATTTTGGCTAATAGCCGCTTCTGATCTTTCACCCATGTCTCGGCTCTCTCCAACTTCCGCTTCAATATAACCACCATGCCTTGTCTCTCGTACCAGAATCCGGCGCTCAAAGGTACTTGCAAGTTTTCCGGTACAGATGCAATGGCGTCTTGACGCTTCTTCACGACGTCATCGCCGAATCTAATAACTGAAGCAGCTTCGTCCTTTTTTGTTTGTTTGCATATTAGAGTCGCAGATACATTGCTCAGTTTCTTACGCGCGATTTATTACCTTCAAAATTTCGAGCTCTTCGTTGGCTCTTTTTAAACCATGGAAAGCGTCATAGGGTGCATCGTTTTCCACAGGAGAAATGATGTTACAGCGGAAACGAAAGTGGCTGTTCTTTTTCAACACAGTGTTTGAATCCTTGTACAAGTCATAGCCTGTCGTTATAATTGTACCCTTTAATAACAGCTTCAGTGTATGTATATGTATTCTGATAAACTTACCAAAAATTGGAGCTCTTGTTAATTTCTCGATATACTGGTCAAATTTGATATCAACCTGCTTACGAGCGGCTTTTCTTTGCGCTGCAAGGTTTTGCGTACGATTGTGACCTAGAAAATAATGGCATAATGCAAATTAGTCATTAACCCCATTAAGACATCCTTGATAGCTAATTACCATTGCCCTGTTGTTTGAATGCCTGTTCGATTAAATCGTAAATGGCGATGGCAAGACGCAAGTTCTCTATGGCTCTGCTAGAGACGCCAAACCTTCCACCTCGTCCTGTATTGCTTGTTTCTCTCTGAACCGTCTCATCCAAATGGTCCTGCCATTTCATTGCCATTAAGGCAATGGAAATGTTATCATTCTCTTCAATACCGGCGTTCCTTAGTGCTTCCAAAGCGTCAGCTTTGAGTTCCACCGCGCGTTCGAACCTACGTCGGAGGTTCACACCTAGTAGTAAGTTCATTATTAGCAAAGAGCAACGCAGTTTTTAAAAATGATCATGAGAGACTCGGTACCAAGGTTGTCTATTCGCTGCTCGGTAAAGAAGTCAAGAGCAATAGTCAGAGTAAGCCGTCTGTTGAGAGACGACATGTTACGTGTCATGGCCACAAATCCGTTGAGGAAGGACCAAAGCCGCTCGAGATGCTCCCCATCCTGTATTCCCCACCCCTCTTTGAGGCGAGGATGAAAGTGGATCTGGCATTCTGGCGAATGACCAGTGATATGGAAAATGCCGACCGCAATAGGTACATCCTTTATACTGTCCAAGCATTCCGTTTCCTAATAACCAATACACAAGTTTATCGATGTTTAAACTTAATGAAAAGAGTCCAACAAAACTCACCTGCAGGGCCTTGCGAATTTTACAGCCAACATCGTACATGATGCGGATGTCTGATCCATACAATGGCATCTCAGATACTTTTTTTAAACAGCTGAGAACATAGGTGAACCTAGTGATTTATAGATAAGAGAATCAGTCTTTCGATAATCTTGACATCATCGTATCATCATACTCACTGTTCACCGGCTGTTGTTATGTCGATCATGGCCAAAGGAAGACCGTGACCACAAGTGCATGCGAATGCACCATTCTGATCAAGATGGTCCATCCGGCCACGTCCCTTTTCAAGAGCTTGCCAAGTACTGCATCCATCAGTTGCCTGAATACATGAATTTTTAGTATTTCAGCTGCATACAATTGCAATTTTTATCGCTCAAATCGTTTAGACTTACTGATCCACCATACGGGACAACTTGGCGATTTTTCACCCAATACCAATCTACTTCTTCTTGGCCAGCAAATACCACGTCTTTCGGATCCTGTGCTTTTTTGAATCTGCGTAGTTGCATGTTGCCATCTGCAGCAACAATCTTGGACCCGGACTAGCAGAAATATCAGGTCATCAGCTCAGTATATGAAAGTAATTATATGCTAACACTAATCGTGCAAAAGTTTACCTTGTATTTGCATGCTGGACAAGCCCTCTCAAGATCGCAATCGTCTCTAAGCTCCTTTTCCAAGTTAAGCATTAACCTTCCATACATTGGAAGTGCTTCACTAAGACGTTGCTTGAAGCTAGCAGCAATCGGAAGCTACATGAATAATCAACTATAAGTGACACTTGTCCAATAACGCTTTCACCGGAAAAAATACCTTTTGATGATACTCTGCTTGGGCCCAACTTGCAATGGAATGGACCGAAACACGGCAAATGTAGTGCAGGTTATGAAAACTGCGCATTTGCTCGATATGAACAGCGTGATTCGGCCCTGATGGTGTCATGGGAAACAGGTGGCGGCGCATCAATACCAACGGCAACGAATGATCTGGGCACTCGCTGCAATATTTAACTGTGGCAGTACGGATACCTGAAGCATACATGTTAACATCAGTAACATATTCTTCCTTTGTTTCAAAGATATGATTTCCTTTTATACGCACCGCACTTGTAAATACAAGTAACAGTCTTTTCCTTTCGCTTGCTTTCAGGACAATGGCAAAGCAGAGGATCGTCAATGGGAACCAGCGCCTGAGGTGCAGGCTCCTCAATACCATAACCTTGCTTATAAGCTGTAAGAAGGGAAGGTAGAATGTTTGCCCAGCTTTGAGCACGATTGTCAGCTTTTCTTCTCTTGTTCGAAGAATTTGTGTTCTCATCGCGCATGGGCGATCGCTTGGACGCTGGCTGAACTACAGGTGGGACACTCAAAGTGCCTCCAAGATCCAAAGGCTGCGTGATCCTGATTACTTTTCTCGCTCCGTTGCTCTTAAGACTTGCAAAAGATGAGACGCGTTTGTTGCCAAATCCTCGTGCACGTTTGGGAGGCATGTTTATTGGAACTACGGAGAAGGAGGGGAAGTCATGTATTATGGGAGTTAATACTGCTACATATCAAAGTCTGGGTCACACGATTCAATTACCGCAGTTTGCGGTTTTTGCGGTTCTTGCGGTTAGACCAAATAGTCTAGAAACCGCAAGTTATAAAACGACACTAGCGACAGGGGCCGGAGTATTACTAGGATCAAGCGACAGTACTGCCTCCCGTGATTTGCTTACCATGTACCAGGTTCAGTGAAGCCGTATTGATGTCATCCTGCAAGCTCAGCCGTGCCTCTCATACACTGTCGATGCTTGGACAAGTGAATGGAAGGTTTCGTTTCTTGGTATCACTGCCCACTGGATCGATGACGACTGGAACCAACAATCCATTGCCTTAGGTCTCCAGCTTCTCTCCAGCCCTCACACTGGTGCCAACATGGCGGGGGCGTTCCTGAAAGTTTTGAACGATTGGAACCTCGTGTCCAAGCCGTTCTTTCTGACTACCGACAATGCATCCAATATGACGACAATGGCCACAGAGATTGAACTTGCTGTTGGACGCGATGTCTTTGATGCCGAAGAGAATCGTATCCCCTGCATCACGCATATAATCAATTTGGCGGTGCAAGCGATCTTCCACAAAGGTTTAGAAGCGGAAGCGTACGACAATGCAGAGCAAGCCTTGGACAGTGACAACCAAGAAATAACTACAACCATCAATGCAGGTAAATAAGCAAAAAAAAGCAATATCCACCCATCAACATGTGTATAGTAATTAAACTTAATTTACCTTAGGCAAAACGTTGCGTAAGCTTCGCAAAGGGATTGTTGCCATCAGAGCGTCTCCACAAAGACTGGATCATTATCATAGCTCGTTCAAGGTCGTTGCCCACCAACATCCAACTACCGACGATAACGACGAAGCCGTAGATCAGGACGAGATTGAAGATCGCCGTGAGCTGGTATTGGACGTTCGCACTCGTTGGAATTCCACATATGCCATGCTCCAAAGAGCTCTTACAGCCAAGCGTGCATACAATACGACGTGCCGGAATCTCGAGGCCCTTCAAGGATACTTCTTGACAGATGACGAATGGACATGTCTGGAGAAGGTGACCGAGTTACTCCATGAGTTCGCCCGAATGACCCCATTGCTGTCTGGCGCTAGCTACGCAACTATGAACCTGGTCATTCTTGCTTACAACCGTTTGCTTGAAAAGCTCGAACTATACATGGATAAATGGGAGGATGTAGGTTATAACTCTATATATGCGTATTTCCATCGAACACTATTTATCACATACTTACACGACTACTTCTTCATATGTTAGACATGGCCTGAGCTAGTGCACGCAACACAATGTGGTTGGGAAAAGCTCAAAGGGTACTACTGCAAGGCTCAAGGCCACTCTTTTGCCGTTGCTACTGCCATGGACCCTCGATTAAAATACGAATAGTGGGAAGACGAGAACTGGGGAGAGTATCGCGAGGAGGCTATTGAGATGGTGCAGAAGACGTGGCAAACATATAAGCCATCAAGAACGCAAGAACCATCCCCATCAAACCCGGATGCGTTGATCAAGAAGAGGAGATCGAACACGGACCAGCTGGAAAGATATGTTTCCACAGATACAGTAATCGACGAGTCTGACGGTGAGCATACTTCGATCGTTTTGGAGTTCTGGCGGAGGGACGTGAACAGTGGCCAAGAGTTGAGGCAAATGGCACGCCGATACTTGGCGATTCCAGCCTCATCAACAGGATCTGAACGGCTTTTCTCCCGTGCCAAGCAATACATTCCAAGTGAACGGAATCGGCTTGGGTATAGTAAACTGGAAGCAAGTGTGCTGCTCGACTCGTGGTCCAAGTATTTTGGTGAAGATTAAGAAGGAGTTGCTGTTCGCCGTTTCCACGTTGTGTTAGAGAAAACAAACAGCGGTTCTGCAATTCTTCGCACTCACCCTCCTTTTTTTACTTCCCTTTCCCTTGACCCACGGTCACCTACAAAAAAAATTCCACTTCCCTTTCCCTCCCTTTTTTTCAATATTTCAAAGCCATTGCCTCATTGATCGTTCGACTTCTTTATTACTTTCTTCCAGTAGCTATGCCCTGGTTGCTTTTTCTTCTTCCCTATCCTCTTCTTTTTTTCTGATGTTCACTACTGCTAAATTTAATAAATGCCACCTTGTACCATCTAAAGCTTACTTTTCAGTGATTTGTATTCAAAACTTAACTCTATACTCGGATTTCGGATTTGATCCAGATTTATACGAAACGGATTCAGATCCCATATTTACAATCCGGATCCATTCCGGATTGCAAAAGAGCTGATCTGTTTTATACGAAACGGATTCGGAATCGCTCGATCTGTTTCGAATCCGTTAATGACGACCCCTACCCAGAGCTATATCTATAGTTTTTATAGAAGCACTTGTAATAACATGCAATCCCATCCCACACCTGTTTATGCAGACAACTGAAACATAATGACTACATAATGTATGATCTTTTGCTTTTATTTTTTTATCCCAGCCGTAACATCTACAGTAACAATGATAAAACCCTACATTCCACCCGTCAGCATATATAACTACCTTATCCATCAAGACCAGCAATGTTCGTGTTGGCATATGCAAAAAGAAAAAGGTAATCGTCGTTGCCATCGTGTGTGTGCGAGTACAGCGAATTGCAGAGGAGGATTATAGCTGTGGTAGTGTGTATGCATCATAGGAATATAATTATCATCACATTGATGTGTATACAAACAGCAAAGAAAGAGATGGCCGTCATTACGATTATGATGTGCTTGAGCGTATAAGTATCAAAACAAAAGACCGGCGTCATAGTCGTCATCGTGTAATATGGGCGTACATGATAGTGAAAGGCAAATGCGTCAGGCTGTATATTTTGCAAGTCAATGGCGGATCAGCGTCATGTTGTATATGATTGTGTTTGAGTAATAGAGAAGAAGATTGTTGCGTCGTTGTTGTTGTGAGTACGAATCGATTATGCAAGTCGAAGACGATGTTGTATTACGCACGTAAGTTTGACGTTGGAATGGTACAAGATGGTGCATAAGTATATACATAGAAAAAGAGAAAGAAGCAGTAATTCTGAATGGGCATATCTCCACTAAAGCTATACCTCAAGCACACCCGATAACCTTTTCCTTCCTTTGTTCACTTACCCGGCGTTTTTTAAGCAGTAACGGCGGTCTACTCCTTACAAATCTTGAGCAAGCGCTTTTTTTATTAGAAAACAATTACCTTCATTTCGTTTTTCAAGAAATCCGTGGATTGTGCCGTTTTGTTTTCTTTTTTCTTCTATTCATCGTGAAGAGAGTAGGAGCCATTTACAAGTGTGCGTCGCAGCTGTTGATTTGCAAGGCGAATGGTAATGAGAAAAAAAAAACGGATCTTTGGTTGTTGTTGTTTTTTCCTCCCTGCTTCCGCTAACAAACCCCACACTTTCCACCTACCTCAGCCACCACCCTCCAATTTAACGTTCAGACCCTGTTCCCACAGCAAAATAGTAGGCTTGTGCACACAGTGAGTCTCTAACGCACTCTTGCCATTTCCTGTACGTTAGCCTGAAAGCTTCCTATCACGAGTAAAACAGCCATACTATATCTTACTTGACTTTGGCTTTGTACTGCTTGACTTTTATCATGTCTTGACTTGAATTGAAAATCTTAAGTACTTGCAAATTCTGCTGATCTACTCTGCTACACTTAATATATTATCTACTTCTTCAACTTTTTTGAAGTCTTAGTTGACTAAAACTATATCCAGGCTGACTGTTATTATGTCCAGGTTGTCTATTATTTGTGTTTGGATTGATTATTATTCTTGTCCAGATTGATTTTCATTCACGTACAGATTGTTTATTATCTTATCCAGATTGATTTTACTCATGTCCAGATTGATTTTAATTCATGTCCAGGTCGATCCTTATTCATGTCCAGATCAATCTTTATTCATGTCCAGATCGATCTTGATTCATGTCTGAATCAATCTTTATTCATGTCCAGATCAATCTTTATTCATGTCTAGCTCGATTTTCATTCATGTCCAGCTCGATTTTTATTCATGTCTAGATCGATTTTCATTCATGTCAAGCTTGATTTTCATTCATGTCCAGCTCGATTTTCATTCATGTCCAGCTCGATTTTCATTCATGTCCAGTTCGATTTTCATTCTTGTCCAGATCGATTTTCATTCATGTCTAGATCAATTTTCATTCATGTCCAGTTCGATTTTCATTCATGTCCACTCAGATTAATATTCATGTCTACTCTGCCTAAATAAAAGTTCAAACGTCCGCTAGGAGATGAAAAATCCTGTAAGGCTTTGTTAAAGTAGTAATTTTTATGTGCATTAATTTATTATCTTTAATAATCTGTTTTACTTTATATATATTTAATAATATTTTAAATAATAAAATTCCATCAAAATTTTACATATTATATATATGAATTGTGTAACCTTTATATTTAGGTCTCATAGTATCTTCAATTGATTTTAATAACATTTCTTTAGAGCTATTATAATCTGTTAAATAATATAAATTTAAATTATAACCATTGTACCAACCACAAGCATATAGAATAAAATTATTATTAATATCTCTATATGTCTCAATATCATAACTAATAATTTTATCATCTCTAATCATACTTTTTTTACTTTTATTTCTATGAATAGGTTTGCAATTAATTATTGATTCATTATATAATAAACATTCAGTACTATTATCAATTACTAAAATATGTTTATTAATAAATCGTTTTAAAATATTTTCAGTTAAAATATCTTTGAATTAGAATAAAATATTACCTGATTTAAGTACATACCCAATTCTACTATTTGGATTTAACTCAGTGATAAGAATATCAATATCTAAAGAATATCTATATAAATTACCATATAATGAATTATAATAAAAATCTTTTTTAACTAAAATACCTAATTTATTTAACTCAAAACTGTACAGTAAATATTTACTAGATAAAATTTTACTTTGAATATCTCTTACAGGTGTTGTGTTTGAATACTCTTTAATTTGATGTTTAATACTTTTGAATTGCTCTAAATCAATACTTTTAGATAAAATAATATTTCTTACATTAAGATAGATAGTATCACCTAAATCTAAGTTATATTTTATTGCTTCTAATTCGATCTTAAATTCAATAAAATCAA